TTGATGTTCAAGTCCCTTTAAAAAAAAAAAAAAAAGCAACTAAGAAGTGTGGATGAAATGCAAAGTGGATTAGTTTTTTGTGGAGCAGAGTGCTTTGGAGCTTTATCAAAGACTTAGAATATACAGCCTGGTTAGAGGAGACACGTCTCATCTTCTGGGCTGCTTCAACATTAGTTTACCTGAGAGGTGATTGTTCCACTCACATCTCCCCCTCACTGATCCAATCCAGTGTTTCAGAATAAAAGAAAATATATTTTTTTGTGGGCTTAGAAATCCTCAAGTGACCCTCGATTGGTTCATCTGGTAACCCAAAAAAGAGTTTAAAGGTTCTCTTAGTGCAGAGTAAAATCCAAAGGCCTAAATATAACATTTTGTCTAACTGTGTCTATCGTCGCTTTAATAAATACAAGTGTGGATTTGTAATTAATGCAATAAACTTCACTGTGTGAGCATTTTCTTACGCAAGTCTATTACAGCCGAGGAAATCACACTTCCTGTACAAGTGGTCAAAGTATTTATCGATTTGTTATTTCCCGACATATCTCTCTGTTCTTTTTGTACTTTGCATACTATTAAATCCACCAAGTAGGAAGCAGAGTATGGTCCAAGCAGTGAGCAGCACGCTGAATGATGGGGGATACGATTATGTTACAGATTCAATAACTTCATCAGTTTGCTGTCTCTACCTCTTAAGTCTAATTCTGAGAAGCTGTTTGATTCCTAATAATAATGAGAAGAAGAAAAGTGAATTGTGCCCTGCACAACGCCGTGCAGGGCACGCACTGTATTAAGAGACAAACAGAAACCGTTGAGGTGACTCCAGGAAAAATAAATGATTTCCCGTGTCGTTTATCATTTGAGGATATTAAAAACTAATCTCGCAATATGAATACCAAAGGGAATGTTTGTTCTACACACTGATTCTGTGAGTGGTTACGTTTTCCGTGCGCCGCCTCGTTTCTGGATGATAACAGTTGGGGGAGATCAAGGTGCCTCATAAAAAAAGCATTGGCGTTTTGAACGCGCGTCTCTCCAGCAAACGCTTCAGCCCGTAAACGTGCACAACATTCTGAGCGCTCGGCCCTTTGAAGGCCTACTTGGTCGCTCTCCCTGTGCGGACGGGTCACATACAACAAAAGATGTGCGTTCCCCTGTGCGTCGTCTTTGCACAATGCTGCGGCGCATCCATGCGCACCTTGTTCTCTCGTCGAACGTTTCCCTCTGACAGAGCAAAGGAACCGATCTTTGTGGTAAATATTTGATCAAATGACCCACCGATTAAAGAGCAATGCTGATTTGCGCTCCGGTAAAGTACACTTGATCTTCATGGATGATGTTGCAGTCACTTAAGTATTGGTTTGTAATGCAAAAAATAAATCAAATATACATCTAGAAATGCGGTGTTGATGATGTTGAGGAATGAAAGGGAACACGCGGTGAGTAATTGATATTCAAATGGTTTGTTTAATAGGATGAGAGTCTTTTCATTCCTCCAGTTTAGTTTGTTGCCAGCACAACAGATTATTAAGATGAATAACACCCATTAGTCTGCCCGGAATTACGTCATCAAACCGCTTTTTGTGTTTATTAAACTTCAAAATGATCTATAAAACCACCGTCTCATGTAATCAAAACAATTAATGTATGCACGTTGGCCTTCTTTGCTTCATGCTGAATCTACATTTGCAGCGTAACACCATGATAGTGTCTTATTTTTGCTGGAGAAATGTCTGTTAAAAAGTTGTTGCAAAAACAATGGTTGCAGTCAGCTTGAATCTGGAAACGTGTTTCTACTCTGGAGAAAAGTGCTCTCGGAAACTCTTAAAACAACACGGCCCTTATCAATTCAAGTCCCTGCAAAGGTCTGTGTTAAAAACACAAACAAGGAGATGTGAGTGATGGATGGATGAATGGGTGGATGGATGAATGGGTGGAAATGGATGGATGGACCTGCAGTTCATTAATCCCTTGAGGGATTCATCTCTTCACCACAGCAGCATTTATATACACAGGAAAATAATGAGAGAGTAAACATACTAAATATGGAAAAGCACAATACAAAATGACATTAAATGAACTAATTAAACAATTAAAAAAGAATGCCTGCCTGTCATTGGATGGTGTTCGGCCAATCAGCATAATTCGGATGTCTTGATGTGAGTGATTTTTCTTCTTTCTTTCTTTCTTACCCTCTTATTCCTTTGTGGTCATTATTAATGTGGCTCATGCGTGACTCACGTTCTCTCTCTCTCTCTTTCTTCTCCCTCTCTCTCTCCCTCTCTTGTGTTGTGTGGAATCACAGTCAGTGGTTTTGTTTGATGTTTTACAAGCTCGCACCACACACGGCTCCCCCGAGGATGAACCCATCTCCAGACGCCCTGCTCCTCACCAGAGGCCCCCTTCCATCTCCCCTCGTCTGCCCCTCCGTCCTACACACGTTTCTTTCTCTTCAGCTCGGTGGGTTAAGTTCTGACTGCACACGCTGACCGCCACGCCGTCCGTGCGGCTCCAGTTGCGAGCGGCGGACGGTTCTGGCAGTAAGTCGGATAATCGTACGGGTTTTTGACAGCGTAGGACAATGACCTTGCCCCCCCCCTCTCCCGCGTTCATGCACGCACACGCTCACACAGCCTTGAATGCTGATGTTTTTGAGAACCTCCACATTATTAGTCAGACAGCCTCTCTCCGTCTTGACGTCGGCATCTTACTTTCCCTGCTTTGTGAGGCGAAGGTCAAACCCGTGGCTGCACGTGACGCCGGCATTGTGCAGGGCAGAAATGTTGAATTTGAAGATGTGACTGCCGCTGCCGCGACACCCCACGATGACGGCATATTTGAGAATATTTAACATGGACGTCCTCAACACTGCTTAGTTTAGTTTGTGTTTTCTCACAGAACCTTTTGAGACACAAGCAGCTCGCTGAAGTTGTCGTGCTCGGTTTGTCGAATCAGATGCTTTATGGTTCCGTTCCACAACTTGGACCAGACGGCAAAGGAAACTTTTATGCCGACCACAGCAGAGCGACCGAAACACGACAGATCACTTCTGCACAAAGCGGCGACTCGATTGTCAGTGTGTGTGTATATGTGTTTGTATATATATATATATATATATATATATATATATATATATATATATATATATACATACAGCCTCTATTGCAAGTAATTGTCAGATGTCCCCCTTTCTTCACTGTACACTTTCTCTTCTTCTTCCTTTTTAAAACCTGTAGGGTAATCCAAGGCGGCTATCAGTGCCATGTGGCAATGTCTTTTTTTAAATTCATTTCAAATTGTTGTTGTTGTTGTTGTTCTAGTGCGCCGAGCCCAGCGGAACACCCCTTGAATTGGGTCTATCTGAAATGTGCCGTCCTCTGCTGTAAAAAGCTGTGGGAGACGGCATGTTTGACTGATGCTGTCTTAGTGGATTCAGCACGGATGCGTATGCAGAAATTGCTCCTTCGTTCTCCAAAGGCCCCCCAAGGCGTGCAAGCCTAGTGTGGTTGTATTGCATTTTTTTTTATTTTATGGTGTTTCCATTTTGTATTTGTTTGAAGCACATCGCCAGATCTCTGGATATGAAGAACTCCCCCCTCGCTGTTCCATCCATGTTGTTGTTTTTCTGTATATCGTATGGTCTTACGTCTAAGTTTACAATGAAGAATAAAATTGGTTTAGCGGTTGCGGGGTCATGAAGTCCTCGAGCAATATGCTGCTGGGGTGTTTTCTGTAGCCGACCCTGTGCTGCAAGAGTCTGACAGAGTCACCACTGTTATCAGTTTGGCTGATATCGTTATATATGTGTCTTTGGATCTCGCCAAAGCGCTCAATATGCTGACACCAAAAAGTGCGCCGGCCGGTTTCTGAGCCCGAAAGTGCTTTGCTTAGAACCTCCAGCTCAGCAGAACATGTCCAACAATCACATTGCCTTTGAACCCCCCCCCCCCCCCCTCCCCATCTAGAAGCACGTCAACTGCATCAGGCCGAGCCTTTGATGCTGTTCAGACTCCAGAATCAGCCATTTCTTTTATATCTTCCTTGTTTACCACCACATTTTGTCCCATCATTTTGTTATTTATTTTTTATTTTTCTACCGCAGGGTGTGTGATAATTAACTTGTGCTACGTCTCGATCATCTGCCTTCGGATCTAGGTTTCTACCACCTGGCATCGTCATAAAATAGTTTTTTATGTATAAACACAAGGAGTGCTTATATTGTACACATAAAATATGTAACCCAGTACTGTGAAATAACTTTCTCTCAACTTCTTCTTTCTCATAATCCTGGTGATACACTTGGATCCTCTGTATGTAGCATGTTGGAAAAGTTCATGCTGTCTCCAAATAAAGTATATGTCTCAGACAGTCCAGAAAAAGTAAAAGCAAATCATGTCAAGCGTGAAGTGATCCCGGAGCTGTCACCTTGCTAAAGACCTGTCAGAAAGAAGGTGTGTTGGACTGGCTATCAGATCATGGAGACGAGACAGATGGAGGTCAGAGAGCAGGGGAGAAAGCGCTGGAGAGATGGAGAATATAAATAAAATACCCTCATGCATATTGAACACAAGCATCGTTAACGCTTTTAGCGGCACCTCTCCTCCTCAAAACGTCAAAACGTCTGACTTTGTTAGTGTGGAGGGGGAGAAAAAAAAAACATACTCGATTCAAGTGGACCCCATGCTGGGCTGCAGAGCCCCCCCACCCCTCTGCGAGGCTTGTTTATATTCAAAGTTTATTAATATTAAACTGGTCACGTTTCCGAACCGCACCAAATTGCGCTCTGCACTCCCTCCGGCCGCGGGGCAATACGCCCACCAGGCGCGAATTCGATCGGTTCCCGGAGACGGGCAGACCGACTCCTCTCGCTGCAGTTCGACACGTCCGCACAAACCTGGTGGACGCCGCAGACACCGAACAAGAACAGGCGCCGGGTTTACTTGTGGGAGTTCCTATGAAATGCCTGCGATGACCCTTTGACCCTCTCTGTCTGCCCCCCTCAGGACTGGCTGAGTAAGTTCGGCTACCTCCCGCCCCCTGACCCGGCGACCGGTCAGCTTCAGACCAAGGAGGCCCTGACCAAGGCCATCAAAGCCATGCAGAAGTACGGAGGGCTGAAGGAGACCGGAGTCTTAGGTACGTGGCTGCGAAACGGGAGGACGATGTCGCCGCTTTGGGCGCAACCTGCTGTTTGCGACGCAGAGAGTGACTCAGAGAATAAAAGCCACACCCGGTTCCATCCGAGCAGCACACAGACAAAATACGGCTTTAGAAAAGAGCAGTTTTGAGTCGATCATTTTGACAGAGCAGCCATTCAGCCCTCAGCGGGTAAGATGCATTTCACCTTATTTATTTATATTTAGTGGATTGCATGAGATCACACAGATGCCAGCGCCGCCTTGTTTACATAAATCACACTTTATGTCACACGTAAAAGGCAAGCGGAATGACAGTGCTTGCATGCTAGGTGATTGATCATCGCGGTTAACGTGAAACACTGTATTGATTAGTAAACCTTCTTCCATACTCTCTCAATCGCACACACACAAACACACACACACCACCGCTCCATCTCCCGTACACAACTGTAGAGCGAGAGAGCGAGCGACTGTAATGTTTGACTCTGACTGCTGTGGGAGGGAGGGAGTGCGATTGCGCGGGCTGAGAGGGAATCGCACAAAGCGCGCGTGTGGCACGGAGTCTGGCGCGCGCCCACACGCGCTCCACGTGTGCACACGAGCGTGTGCGGTGTGAGTTGCGGCTAACGAAGCACTCATTGGCAATCAGCTGTTGAACCGTGGCGGTTGAGGTCTTCCACTGCGTTGATGTCAAACATCATCTGTGGTCAGGTGTTCCAGCAGCTGTAATGACGTGCTATTCACTGCGTTGCGTTAATATTTGGTGCGGTTAATGTTCCTCCATTAGTCTGTCAGTTACCCGTCTTCTCCCCCTTCAGACCAGTCCACGCTCGGCCTGATGAAAACACCCAGATGTTCTCTGCCAGATGTGTCTGAGGCGGAGGGCACGCCGGGCCGCAGGAAGCGCGGCCTGAACCCTCAGAACAAGTGGAGCAAGAGGCATCTGTCCTGGAGGTAAGGATGAGTGAAACGCACCGGCCGTGTGATTGACACTCTCTCGGGTTACGGTAAGAAAAATGATGTCGAGGTCACTCGCCATTCACACGTGCAGTCGCGCTGAGTGTTGAAGGGTCCTTCACAAAGATGAGGTTGTCAAGTCGAATGTGTCCAACTCGCAGGCGACTAAATAAAGGGTAGATACCATTTTTCTTTGTGCAAGTATGATATTGCACGAACACACACGACCAAGCTTTCAGTGTTTGTGTTTAATCTGTGTCAAATAAGCGCAGGTTAGCACAGCGTTCTGCTCAGTCCCGCTCACACAAACCATCACTCTCTCACTATTCTCTCCTCCATCTGTGCAGCCACTGTAGATTAGATTAGGCCACTCTTCCTCAAGGCACAAATCTGTCTGGATCAATTTTGGCTCTGGGGAAGTGCACAGAATGGCTTTTCTTTGCACCCAGTACGGTAATTGCATCTGATGGTCTATGCAGTTCTACTCCAACACTCCCTTTGTATGATTCCTAACAATACAATTTAAAATTAAAATGAATTATACAGACTGCACTGCACATGATAGAATAACTCCACGTGGTTAAATGCAGCTGTGCCGTCAGGCAACGCGCCGCTCAAGTGTTAGAACCGCAGATGACGACAGAGCAGAGCCTACGGTTGAGTCCCCCCCAGCTGTCAGGGCAGTTTTCAGTGGATATCAGCTGGTGTCGTATTTGTTGACCTGTGAGGGTGGATAACAATCTGCACATTAACGCGGTGGGTACAAACACACACACATGCAAAATTGCCCTCAGCGGCTGTTAGCTTTCAGCTGCACCGCTCCGAGGGGATACAGACACATATACTCACATACCCCTACGTAGATATGCACATATACATGCATACATAAAGACATATATACACACATGCATACACCGACATACACTCACACCCAGTTGAACATGTAAACAAAACAGAATAATTTCTCCCTAAAAAATTAAAATTAGCAGGCAAAATAAGAAAAAACATTATAATAATAATAAAGAAAAACAAAAAAACCTACTCCTACTACTCCATCTATCGCTTAAGAGGCTGTAATGCGAGCCATCAGATTTTGTCTTGTTTCTTTTATTTTGATAATCAGATTCACATCTCTTTTTTAATTTAAGTTGAGGAATGCTCCTACTTTTTGATATTTATTCTTTGTATTTAAATTTCCATTAGAATTAGTTTATCTACTTTTAATTTCATATATTTTGACTAACATTCCTGTTATCATATATTTTAATTTTCTATTTTAATTTTCTTCTCCAATTGTCAAATGTAAAACTGCTGAGCTGTTTCGGTCTTTTTTGTTCTTTGAACCTCCGTCCGCCTTTTCTTTCTGGCACGTCAGTTATCCGTGAAGCCCTTTGAACACACCTCGATTGATTGACACGCTCAAGAGTTTGCCCAGAACAAGACTGGGAGGTGTGACCAGCACACCCGATATGCTGCACCTTACTTCTCTCTCTCTCTCTCTCTCCCTCGCTCCCTGCTCGTAAAGGGTCAGTGCTGCCGCCCCCCCGCTACCAGACGCACGCCGGGGTCAGCGCTCCTCGCCGCCGCCCTACCGTTGTTTCCCAGGGCCGAGCGCAGCGCTGTCAGCTTGTTTTGAATATGCGTCGCTCAGCCAGTGACGGATGTAAATTTCTTGCAAAGTCTATAATTAAAATACTCATAAATGTTTTAGGAGAACTAACAGCCGCATAATGTATACAAATTAGGCCGCGTTGGCATTCACAAAAAATACCCCCCCTAAACAAGGTGCCCAAAGGGAAGTTAAAGTTGTGTATACTGTTATTTCATGTTTTTTTCTCAGGGTGCCTTTCTTTTACTTTATTGCCTCCGTTAGGAGGAGCAGAAAGGTTGTCTATCGCTGACAGGTTAGCCTGGCATTTCAGCTCGGCGGCGTGTTGCTGTGCCAGGAGCTGCAGTGAGCGCCAGGCTGCCAGATCGCATCGGAAGCCGACAGGTCGGCTGTCAACTCGCCGGCTGCGCTCTCCGGAATATGTGATGCCGGTGGTGCTCCGTGCGCGGCGCCGAGGACAGATTCGAACCACCCAAACGCGTGTTTGTGTAACCGAGGTAGGCCCCACCCGAGTCACGGTGAGGGGGGGCCGGAGCACGCGGGTCAAGTGGGTCACCGGGACCGCAAAACGAAGCAGGATGCGGACAGTGAAGCAGGAGAGCGACGAGGTGGAAGCAGATGACTGAGCAGGGGAAAAAAGCGAGTTGAGAAGAACATTTATCTCTCTATTTTCTTTCTTCTTTGCTGCTTTTTATGCTCCACACGGAAGTAACCGATCAGACTGCAACGGGGACGAGCTGCGAGGGATGGATCCCGTGTCACCCGGAGCAGGATGCTTATGGTTTATTGATCACACCGCGGCGGCGTTTGCCCCGTGGCGTGGCCCCGTTGAAGTAATCCACCCACTGGAGGCTGTCAGTCCAGGACTCGGGCGGTTCTCCGGGGGGTCAGGACGCGATTGCATCGGGGCTCTCGTTAGGTCTCAGCCCGAAGCTGGCAGCGGTCCAGCATCGCACCGCGCCGAAGCTGTTGCGCGTATCGCCAACATCTGCTTTGGGGGGAGCCGGCATGCGCAGAGCGGTGAAGACCGGCTGTTTTTTACGACCCGAATAGTTTATTATCTGACTCTTATCTCAGCACCGGCGCTGCCAAACCAAGACTACCCAATATCACACGCCTGAAGATGCCTTGAGCTTGGCCTCCGCTCAGCTTTGTGAAATACCTCCGACTTTTCAGTACCTTTCAGCCCTCACATCTGTGTGGAAGAGGCCACAGAACACTGGAAATACAGATATATATATTATAGATTTTTTTTTACAGCCTAGAGCTACTGCCAAGAAACAGCTGGCAAAATGGAAAGTGTTTTTAATATTTGTTTTTAGTTTCACTCACATTTTTAGAGTTTTGTCTTATGCTGTGGTTCATCACTGAAGCCTTCATATTGAACACTGTTGCACCATAAGGGGGGTTTACTGAATTTAATCAGAGCACCTTTTTATCCATGTTCAAGATGGAAAATTGGTTCCTTGTTTTCCTCTTGTTTTCTTTTTATTAGATAGATTTAAATTGTACAATTGAAACAGTCAACATCACCTACACCGTCCTGCACCTTTTTTCTTCCATTGCATCTCCTGCCTTTATTCAACTCCAAGGTCCCACTATTGTTGCTACTTTGCAGAGAATATTTATATTATCTGCGGCAGATAAGGTACCAAGGTTGTGAATTCGGCTCAAATACGCCATTTAAAGGTGAGTTTGGAGAGTAAACGTTTACATCGGACTGGAGGCGGAGGAATACTTGCATTCACCTTAAAGGGCCATTCAGAACACAAAGGAAGCTCACCATAGAGGTCCCATAGGTATCGAGTTCAAGGATGTGTGGTTCATACCAGGAACAAATAGAAAGGCTCTATAATATGATAGCAACAGCAGACACACGCATATACCAAGTGTACAAACAAATATGTGCCTTGTGGATACTGCTGCATATAATAAGCCTAATCCACAAATACACTCTGGAGTTATGTTAATCTCAGACATCAAACAGAGATTATACAGCTAAACTAGCGCCATATTGTTTATAAAATCAAACAATATGCCGTGAAAGTCTCATGAAGTGTACCTTTAATTAAAAAATCATAGTAATGTGTCCAGATAACGCAATGCACGTGAAATGCACTGCAATAAATTGATTTAGCGGTTATATATAATATAGCCATTTAATGGCCTTTTAACTCGACAAATGTAAGATTAGCTTTTTTAAACAAAGGGAATTAAGAGAGGTAAATGCAATTTCTCTGAATACATTTTACGCTGCTTTAAACAAGGTTGATTTGGTCACAAACCTTATTATACTTCAAGCATATATTCCATTGATTGTCCAGAAAGCTTCTTTTTTTGTTATCTGGGTACATAAAATGTTCTGAACATTGTTTCAAACATAAACCCACCAAGTTATTTTGCTGTGATGACCAAGGACACAATGAATAGAAGGGATTTAATCTTCAATAAGTGTAGAATCGTATTGAAAGCTGTGACATTGACTGGAGTATTTCCTCTCTTTGCCTGCCTACTTTCTTTCCCTGTGAAAAAAACAAGCCTTTCTCCCTCTTCCTCCTCATTTTCCTCTTCCTCCTCCTTCTCCTCCTCCTCCTCCTCCTCCACCTTCTGTTTGTCAGCTAAGAGCCACAGCCAGAGATTCCACAGTCGATTTAGGACTGCCTGCTCGGTAGTGTCTGCGTGTGCTTCGGTGTAAGCAGTTCTTTATGGAGGTATTAAAATTGATTGATGTGGATTCGTCTGACAGTACACTCTGTGCTCCGACGCGACGGGACCCGGTGGTGCGCAGTCAGACGCCGTGCTGCTGCTTAACAGCCCTCAGACACTGAGCCAGCCGCGAATGCCGCTTCACGCCTCAGCCCCGAAAAAAACGCAAGACATCTTTTCCTCCCACAGCTCATGTGCTTATTGCTTCCTAAACTGCCCATCAGTCTCGGGAAGGAGGTTTTAAGGGGAAAAACACCCACGCGGCCATCGGCCCTGATCGGCCACAGGTCCATTCACCTCATCGCAGCGGTTTGACCTCTGGGTGCATTAGTCCCACCGAGGTACCAACAGCTGCGTGAATAAAAGTTTGGCCGGTTGGGGAGTATGTTGAGAGGATTGAAACCACTGGAATGTCTGCAAGCTGAAGGGGAAGCTGGAGCCGGCATTAGATTAGCTTTGCGTAGCAGCGACTTGCCGAGGTGTTGCGATCAAAGTGAAGTTTCTGGGGAAATCAGGGGATGATCGGGAATGTCAGAAAGCGGCTTTGCGTATTTCCTCACTGGCAGAACTAGTCCGTTTGATTTGAGTCCTACAGTATATGATCGAATAACATATTTTATTACTGAGAGGATTATGTGGAATGAGTGTTTTTATTCATAATTTCGATCCTGACGTCTTGTTCAAGAATTACCTTCAAGAAAAATGTTTCTAATTTCACAGACAAAAAGTGCTTAGGAGTCGAGTAGAATAATACATGTGAGCCAAATTTATTCTGCTCACTTGTTGTTCAATTGCGCTCTTTTTTTGACAGATTTTCAGGGCAAACTGTTTGATATACAAAGGGCCGTATTGCGGCGAGTCCCTCGATTTGAAACATAATCCACGAGGTGGTTAAAATCGGGGCTGGGGATTCTCAAACCGACCAGATCCCAGCCGCGCTCCCCGAGCTCCACCACACGTCAAGGAGACGCTCCGGGGAAAAGGCTGCTGGGTCAATTTCCTCTCCACCTGTAGTTTTCTCGCGTAAACAAGAAGCACCTCCCTGGGGCTCCGCTGTTCATCTGAAATGCAGGAATGTTCTGACCTTGTGTCCACACACACACACACACACACACACACACACACACAGGGAAGCTGTGACACACGGTGCAGGCACATACATACATTCACGCAGTAACTAAACCATTCACTCTGGCTCTCCATCGCCTCATCCACATTCTCCCAAACACACACACACACACACACACACACACACACACACCGCCGCCCACCGTCGTCCGTCTGAATTAGGACTAATAAGCAGGTGACTTGTGAAGAGGGAGCCATTTGCAGTGACCTTGGCTTTCTTGGAATGGATGGACCGTTTGACAAATCAACAAAGTCCCGCTGAGTTTACGTCACAAGTCTCTTCGCGGGAAAATGGGTCGATCCGATTTTGAAGTAACCGGCCGCACGCGTTTTCATCTTAATTAAGTAAAACCTTTCAAACTACTCCCACCACATTGCTTCCAGCTGCATGTGCTGTGGGACAACACGTTGACGTCGGCTTGTTGGCTAATTAATACATTAATTCGCTGCACTGATGGGCTCCTTCGCGTCGCGGGTGTGTGGCAACAGCAGAACAACAGACAGCCTAAGTGTGCAGTGAGGAGCGGAAGGAAAGAATAAGCGCGAAACTACGGATGTGAGCAAAATGCCAAGATGTCCTTGAAAAGGGAAAGAAGAGATGCGAGAGGTGATGGTTTCCCGTTTGTACTCAGTTCATTAGTGAGTCACGTAGCACTTCCTTATTCAAAGCACTAGTGGTGATGATAGGATCGAGGCCCTCACGGGGGGGGGGGATACCTTGGACGGTGAACATAAACGTGCAATTACCATAAAGACTGCGCTGGCATGTTATCGCCATTCAGCAAACACTTATTTATGCAGCCGGTAGACACGGAGAAAAACGGTCCACCCGGCAAAGTTAATCCAAGTGCTACTTCGACTTCCCAGCGACTCCGGAGTATTTGTCTCGTTGGCGACTAAATGCACGTTAACTTTGTCTGTCTGCCGAGTTCTTTGAGCTCCTACGTCCCCCTATTATTATTGTCATTAGTATTAGTATTATTGTTATTATTATTACTGCTGTTGTTCTGATTTGTTTTTGCTCTCTACATCTCTTCTCCATTCCTGTTTCTCTCTTTCTTATGTTTTTAATGTTATAAACGTTTGTTTTGTGTAGTGCCCTTTACACTAATTACAAAAGAGAACGGCGCCCATACAAAGTGAGTGTAAAAGGTTTGGTGAGCCTGGACAACAAAAATAAAAAATCAAGAAACTGCATATTTTGTTGTCCGAGGACTCTCTGTCGCTCAGGTATCGATTGTGCAAAGACAGAAGAGGACAGAGAAGCCTTAAAAAAAGATTTAAAGAAACCGTTCCAACCCTTCTAGTGTTTGGAGCCCTTGGAAGAAAATCCATCACATAGAATAGTGAGGTAGAGAAAAGTCTGTCGGCTTTGCTATACGCATTTCAGTGTGTGCGCAAAAACAAGATAAATAGCCGAACGTTGAAGAGCTGTTAAAAAGACACAAAATAAATTTCGCTTGAAATGGGTAAAAAACAAACAAAGACAAAACGAGGCAGAACTGCTTAGGCAGGTGTTCAGAAGTAGTTCAGACTGAGGATATCAGTCATCAGTAAAATAATCTTTTTCTATGAAAAATAAGATAAAACATTCAAGATGTCGTGGACAAACCTCTGAAGAGATCTAAGCTACCTTTGTTCATTAATCTTATTGGGACACCATTGAAGACACATCAGATATCTTTTCTTTGTAAGTGAAGTTTACTTCAGAAACTTACTTCAGGTGCCTGTCCACCAAATAGGGCACTGGAGCTACGCGGAATGAAGGGTTATTCCTGCGGGTTCATTCACGGCAATGCCTGTAGCGTAAATATACAAACATCTGGAATGATCTACAGAAGCAGTCATTTAACACCATCAAGTGTAAAATGGTCCACTGGAAAGTGGCGAATTTCCTGAAAACCGCTGCAGGGATTTCCAGAGAAGTGAAACTCAGTTGCCTGGTGATTTATCCGTCTTTCTTTGCCTATGTAACACATCTGTCCCCAACGCCCTCCTTTCTCTCAGAGTGAGGACCTTCCCCAAGGATTCGGCCCTGCTGGGCAGGGACACCGTCCGGGCCCTGATGTACTACGCCCTGAAGGTCTGGAGCGACATCGCGCCGCTCAACTTCCACGAGGTGGCCGGCAGTGACGCCGACATCCAGATTGACTTCACCAAGGCCGACCACAACGACGGGTATCCCTTCGACGGGCCGGGGGGCACGGTGGCACACGCCTTCTTTCCCGGGGAGAGGTTCACGGCCGGGCACACGCACTTTGACGATGACGAGGCCTGGACCTTCAGATCTGCAGGTGAGGAGCTTTGAGTGTCGAGGGCTCGTGTGCGTGGATGTGCATGCGTCGCACTCGAGGGTAGAAGACCGAGCAGTGACGAGGCGGGGAACCATCTCATCAAAACTTTTTGTAGATTCCACGAGTACTATGAAATGAGATCGGAAACTTCGGGAAACTCACAGAAAAGGAAACCGAGGCTGAAAATTCACAGTTTGAAACTTTCATGCGAGACTTTTACGTGAATCCAAAACTAGAACGCTGACTGCAATTTGCTGCCACGCTGTGCCTCTATCCTTTGTTCATGCTCCGGATTCTATAATTAATATTTAATTGGTTTGAACTATGAATATAACGCACAGTGGTTCAGATACAGGACTCGGAGTAGGTGACTAAAGCAGGGAGGCACAAAGGGCGCCCTTCAATATCTTACAACATAAACAAGATACTGTAATAAGCCTTCGGGTACATAAGAATTCTGGTTTTCAGCAATTCCAAAAATAGATTTACCGCTTATTCAATTATTGTTGTATTGTTGACTTGTGCCATGCGGTTTTCACGAGGATAAAGTGATTGGGAACAGACGATTAGGAAGAAAATAAGGAGACACCACATATAAAGTCATTAATATATTGTTGCCTGACAAATTATTTTTCCCTTTGTGCAACAAAAAGCTGAAAGGCAAATGCCTTTGCTGGACGTCGAAACACGACTGATGCTCTGTGATGTCTAGCTGCACCTCCACTGATGACAATCAATAAATATCACATTGCGGTATTACTCCTCTCATCCAGCTCTCATCCCATCTCAAGACCGCCATGAAAAAGGAATCTGCCAAAATGTCAAACTGTTTCTCTCTAAAGCGCCCGACTCTTGAATGAATGGTGTGCGATACCCCTCAGGATCCCTGATATTATACCGGTAAGACACAATTCTTCATAGCTCATACTACGAAAATCTCAGGGGGGGGGGGATGTCCGCCCCCCCCACCTAGAGATGGAGCTTGAAGCATTGTGGGTGTAGATGGCCCTGAGTGATCCTGAGTCTATGATGCAACCAGGACTGTTAATTTCTCCTCTTTTGCTTTTGACCCGCAAAGCTCTGTGAGCCACATGTTCCAGCGGCTAAATCGGCTCCAATTAGACCTCACAGTTGGCCGAGGCATCGCCGCGACGCCTGGATGCTGCGGGTTCACAGAGTAATCTGCGCGGATTGCAGTGAAAGAGTGAGAACCAATCAAGAACCTGATGACAAACTCCTAAAAGCTCCTCTGTTTAGGGAGGATTAATGTTTCCAACAGTAAATTGTCTGAAGGGATTGTCGGATGGAGGACGACCTCTGCACGGAGCGAGAATGCACCTTGCTCAATGTTCCCGCATCCAAGGTTACTTCCATGACTTGAAGGTAAAATGTACTTCTGAGAAGACTTTTTCAATTGTACATCTTTCGAGGCATCTGCCTCCTCCTGCACTCCGGCTCTTAAGTCCCCTGGTACTCACGGCCAATCGATGCCAACAAAAACACGCCGCCGCTGTCATACTGCCGCTTTCGATTGTGTGGCATTTCTTTTAGAACAAAATGAGGGTTTTGTGTGAGTTTGGGTATTGATAATACAGAAGCGACAAGATTATTTGTGTGCTATAAAAAACAATGCCTTGTTGATCTTTCTCATAATATTTTTAAACACCTGAATTCTGCACTTACCTCAAGATCAAGGTATTTCTTTTGTAATGCACTATAAAGAATAATAGCTCCCCAATCAACTCAGAAGCAATGCGGTATTCAACATTCGCAAGATCACGCAGTACGTCGAGTTCTGGTTCTACTCGACTTGAGTTCACACTTTACTATCGCAGCATACTTGCTGACTACATGATTAACCCAATATTTAATCTCCCTTGAGCTAAATTCTCCACCACGATAGTCGCTAGTTTAGGCACAGTACTGCTCCGTGCCTTTTCATGAGGAAGGCCATGCATTTAACTTCATGCCCTCAATGGGTTTTATTATCGAGTGCGCATATCTGAAAATGTTTGAATTGAATCAGAATCGCAGGATGTGACCGTCACACATCTACTCCTTTGTATGGCTGCCAACCAGTCGATTAAGTAGCTCAAAGGGTTTTTTTTAGGGCTGTCAAGCTAATGTGGCACATTAAATGCAAAAAAGGAGTCAATGCTGGGCTTCTATTCCCCTGAATTCATTTTAACGTGACGTAATAGCTCTTAGCATCTATTCTCTGTATCCACAGAGGGTTCTTTTCTATACAGAAAGTACAAACTAGCTTAAAGGGTAAAGTTACATTTATTGAGTATAATCCATTGAAATGGGGGATATCATCATCTGATCTACCAGCGAATACGGCGGTCGTGCTTTACATGCAACACAGGAATGATACAATTGAGGGGAACGTTGGGAAGTGAGATCCCAACACAACTACATCCAATCGCCCTCGATGCTGCCGAAAGGACAACGAGGAGATCTTGGTGATTGTAGCTTTTAAGGTGTCATAACTACACAACATATGCACGCGATAACAAGAAATGTGATCCAATTTAAATGTCGTATTACTTGGAGCCTCGATGAACAATATACTTTGATAAATATTTCAAATTGAAGAGGTCTAATCTTCATTTCCCTGGGCACCATTTTCATTTTTCCTGAGCTGCACTGGAGCATGGCATACAATTATGCATTCACGGTACTTTTCTAATATGCTAGGATATAAATAAATATATATTGGCAATAAGACTGCAGGAAATACATATACGGTTTAATGGTGTCCGCAGATATTACCAGAATCGATTTTTAGAGCATCTCACAGAAACGACCACTGCAGCCTTTCTTCTGCTTGAACAATCATTCTATTAAAATTGAGACACGCTGAATGTTTATCATTTGTTAAACGCTCAGAATCAATGTTTGTCCCAGGTTTAATTAATCCTAAAAGGTTTCACTGTCAGTTAAAGCTGCCTTTTCTCATTTTGTGCACACACGGGTTTACTTTGCCATAATGTTTGCTTACATTAGGCTTTGTTTCTTCTTTTAAGTCATTGAGTCACTGGGCTGTGACTTAAACATAACAAGTCTAATTCCCGCTTAAAGATATAAATGTGCGAGTTGCACGAGGTGATGAAAAGGATCGCCCTCGGCTAGTTGCGCCTCTACATCTCTCCCCCTACTGTACGGTGCACCGTCCTTATTAAACTTTTAGTTGAGTGCTGCAGGCTGTGTTCGTAGCAATCCGAACACATCACGCTCCAACCAAGGTAGAGGTACCTGTGAATTTATTATAGTTACCGTCTGTCAAAGTAATGCATTTTGTATCTCAAGACACCCTGAAAACAGCTCTTTTGGTTGTATGTATAAGTCACCATGTGATGCAGTAAAATCCTTCTCTCTCTCTCTTTCTGACACGGACATCTTACTCAATGAGTCTCTTTCATCCACCCAGATCTCCGCGCTCCGACTCTGTCCGCGGGCATTAGGATTTTTATCTGTCACCCTCAGACGGACTGTAAACACGATGACATGGTACCGACTTTGTTCCCGGCCTCTTCTCTCCTCCCTCCTCCCCATCGATCCGTCCCTTTTTTTTATGCACCTTCCCTCTCCTCGCAGATTAGAGCTGGCATTTGGCTTTTGGAGTGTCCCAGGTGCTGTAAACACAAGTGCGCGTCTCCAATTGTCCTTTGACAGAGCGTGGCGCTGCGATGTTCCCCGCGTCGAGGCCAACCTCGGGTGAGCCGGGCGCCGAGACTGAAGCCGAGCCGCCGAGGGGCCCTGAGCTAGCTCGGCTCGACACGCTGGCTCTCACATTTCCTTTTGCAAATCTCAACTCCCCCGAACCGCAGGTTTTGTCTTGCTTAGCGCAGCCCAGACAAGGAGTTTTTTTTTTTTTCGGGGGCGTTTATTTATTTATTTATTTATTTTCAGTCGAACATCGAGGGGAATGTGCTTTAATAGCCCGCAGCCCTCTTTAGGTGTCTTTCCGCACTCACAGTTTGATTGGCAGCCAAGGGGCTCAGGCAGTATTACCATAGTTATCTCACTACACCACATGCCCAACAGCACCGGCAGCCACCAGAGCCGGCTGTTACGCCTCTTAACTTCCAACCTATGGGGCTCACTCGTAAAAGGGATAAACAAGCAAACAGGGGTCGTACGGGATCTCTGTGAAGGTGAAGCTGAGATTGTTGCCGTTGTAAAAAGTCTCGTGGTTTATGATGTAATTTAATATGATATACTTTACTTCTATTTGCATATGTTGTTGTTTTTTTCTGTCACTGCCCCAAAAGGCTGTTGATTCACTTTGAAATCTCGCGAGCGAGGAGAGGAGCCGTGTGTTGGATTTTGAGTGTGCAATTTTCCTTTCAAGTAATTTACTTTTAGGCCGGACCGGAATAATTACAAGAAAGGTAAAATATGCTGTGTGCAGCACATTGTAGCTGCTTTGTTTGTGTTGACTGCATCTAAATAACTCCCAATTTAAAAGATCAGGGAGACCATTCAAAATAGGAGGATGCATATCCTTCTGATTTATTCCCTGGCATTTACATTTACATATAGATGAACAGGAAAACACTTACAGTGACAACTTGAAGATATCACAACCCCCGGAAGAGAGTCAGGATAACTTTGAACTCTTTTAAAATGTTGACTCATTCGTCGTCTATTTCCGGCTACAGGATGAGAGAAAAGACCCGTTGATGATTTCCGTGTCTCCCCCTCTGTCTCCCTCAGACTCTCACGGGATGGACCTGTTTGCGGTTGCGGTCCACGAGTTCGGTCACGCCATCGGCCTGGTCCACACCTCCGCCATCGAGTCCATCATGAGGCCGTACTACCAGGGTCCCGTCGGCGACCCGCTGAAATACGACCTCCCCTACCAGGACAAGGTCCGCGTCTGGCAGCTCTACGGTACGCAGGGTACCGCTCCGTGTGTGTCTGCGACCGAGAGCAAGCGCTCTGTGGGGGGGTTATTGATTAGTGAAAACAAGGGTTGAGTTAATTGGACTTTATGGGATCTAACCTTATCAAACCGTGGACTGACAGCGTGCGGGGGAGAAACTAATTGCCGTGAAGATGAGAATGAACTGCAGGAAATAAACTATGAGCCCGCCGTCAACCAAGTGCCTTTTTGATCCTTCCTTCATCCACATCTCCTCCGTAGGTGTCAGAGACTCGGTGTCCCACACAAACAGACCCGGCAACCCGTCCCAGACCGCTGAACCTCCCGTCCTCCTGGACCTTCCCGAAAACCGGTCCACTCTCCTGTAAGTAAAATAGCCGGTTGGCTATCGGTGCAACACAAACAGCTCCTGTTAAATAACTCCGGACCTCAACTATTCATCCTTCTGTCTACCCTGAGCCACGGCACGTAAGTGGCCGTAAGTGACCTTTGAATGTTGACTCGGAGCCTCTTGTCTGCTCTCTCACATGGCGCCTGACACTGTGGCTCGAGTATGTCTGAAAACCACCATAAAAGAACATTCTTGAAAAATAAAGCACTGGAAAACAACAGCGTTATGCTAACGCCTGCATGCGGTTGATTCTCCGGTTGCAAGTGAGTTAACGGTACTCGGATGGTCTCCTGAATTAATAGGATCAAGAGAGGGCAGCTTGCTTAGCGGGCGATCAAACGGCGTTTGAAGCGGTGCTGACAACAGCACCCTCTCGCTGACCTCGAGCGTACGCTCGCACTCGCGCAGCACACTGAACACGCTCATAAAGCCTTCCTGCAACCGCCCCCCCCCCCACACACACACACACTCACACTCCAGCCCCCTGTGGTACCGGCGTTCCGCGGCCCTCATTACTCACTTTTCGCCACCTCCATCCGGCCCGTCGCGTGGAAAAGCTGAATCATGCTCGACAAGGGTCACGAACGCCGACCACTAGGCAGCGGCGCTGCGTTAATATCGCTGTGAATGGAGATCTTTGTTGATAATGGCAGCTTCCCGCTCACAGAGGCAGCCCTGTGGAGCTAATGGCTTCATCATTGCCAGGCCGGCCACGTCAGTGAAGCGCTTATTAGCCCCGAGGATAAATGCATGCTGGACGGCACCATGTCAGCGTGACGGCATTTCACCCGGTTTTTGTTCAAACTTGTTTAACCTATTTAATTAAAGGAAACCAATTCAGGCTCTCGCAGTAGGAGGGTGCAATTATCACATAGTTGTTTTATTTTTTCATGCAAATGGATTTAGCTGTTTTTTGACCAATTGTTGTGCACTGCGTGTCAGTTGTGAGATCATTTGTATGTAAAAAATGTACCCTCAAACGCTCAATGTTCAGAATTTGAAATGTGATTTAATCCTTTTTCCTCCCTCCAATTGAATGTCTCTCAGGCTGGCAGGAGATGCCCCAGACAGATGCACCAGTTATTTTGATGCCGTGGCCCAAATACGAGGGGAGGCCTTCTTTTTCAAAGGTATTCAAGCCTAAAAAGAGAACGAGATAGAATGACACACATACAGATAAACACAGAGAGCATCGCTGCGAGCGAAGGGTGAAAAGCAGTGGAGAGAGATAAAGTGAAAGCGTAGAGGACAGAGGCTGAGCAGAATAGTGGCTCCGGCGATCGATGGAAAAACCAAGTCATGAGTCACTCGCAGGGCCCGTATCACAGGCTCACACTCGACCCATGTTAACAAAAAAGTAATTTACTTCCACTGTTTTGCTGTGTGCTTGTTATCTGCTGGTATATAAGCGTTCTTATTGGCTTACTGTCGGGTAAGAAGACTTTCATTAACCAAAACATGTTAAACATGTTGAAGACGATAACAGTATGTGATGTGAATTAAAGTGCTTCTTCCCGCTAATCAGTCACACTTATCCTTCCAAACACGGGCTCTTTTCCCCAGATAAGAGCCAAACAAGTATTGCTCCAGTTTGTTTGTAATAGGGGGGTAGGAATCTGTGACGTGAGCATCGCACACACTGCACAGCGTCTTATCCTAGCAAAGTATTTCTGAGGATCAACTCCTACAGGGCATTGTGTAGAATTTTCAGGCTCAAACCTTTTCCTGTTTTTTAGGGAAGTACTTCTGGCGACTAACGAGAGAGAAGCACCTGGTGTCTCTGCGTCCCGCCGAGATCCACCGCTTCTGGAGGGGCCTCCCTCCCAATCTGGACGGCGTGGATGCCGTATACGAGAGGCCCGGGGACCACAAAATAGTCTTTTTCAAAGGTAAATACCTCTACTCGAGTGTGACTGACGAGACACAGAGATTTGTAACTTGGTGGATGCATTCCAAACTATAAAGGTGATAGTTCTCCTTACGATGGTGACCCCCCGTGTCTGTCCCCTCCAGGTCTGAAGTACTGGGTATTTAAAGACAACAACGTGGAGGAGGGCTACCCTCGTCCGATCAGCGACTTCGGCCTGCCCTTGGAAGGGGTGGACGCGGCCTTTGTTTGGTTACACAACGACAAGACGTACTTCTTCAAGGACGGACACTACTGGCGCTACGATGACCACCTGAGACGCATGGACCCGGGATACCCGAAAGACAGCACGCTTTGGAAGGGGCTGCCGCCGCAGCTGGACGACGCCATGAGGTGGTCGGATGGTGAGTAACCTGGAAAAATGAATGCTTTCATTTTGTGCACCGGAGGAGACGTCTTCAAGCAGGAGAAGACCGAGTCCCTGCACACTGTCCTCTCATGAGAAATGACCTGATCGAGGTCCAGGGACGTAGGGAAGTTGTATTTCTGTTGTTAATGTTAATCGTAGGTTAGAGAACCGTGCACTGGGATTCACACTTCTCTCATTTGTATGCTCACTGAAAGAAATCTGTAAAAAAACTTCCCCATCAGTGTTAAACCTGTAAAAATGGAAATTACTGTTTATGAAGTGTGGCTCTAAAATGAACTGTGGAAAGTTAGGTAAACGGTTTCTTTACTGAATAATACAATATTAAGGTCATCTTAACTTCTTGTGGGAAAAATATGCCCAGTAAAATACTTTTTGGCAAAAAGGATGGAATCTGGCAGATGTGGACATTATTTAGGACTGCAGCAGTTGCTGTAATCCAAGCTTCACAGAGAAGAAACTTTATGGATTACAGACGCCCCGTCGGTCTCCCAGATAGCGGTTGTAAAACAGCTACCTGGACCTGTACGCTGGAAGCACAGAGCCGAATCCATCCACAGGCCGGCCTCCCCGTCCTCATTAATCCATGTTGCTGCCACTGAGAGCTCAGAGAGTCGGGCGGCTTCATGGGAAGTTGGGGGGAAGAAAAGACCCCAAAGTGGGATTATAAAATCGCTAATCCCGACGAGAAGTCGAACTGCGAATGTTTCCCCCCGTCATTAACCCGAGGGCAATCGATGTCGGCCTGTCAATCATGACGCGGTTCTGCAGATCCACCGTCTGACGGGCATCTTTTTCTTCCCGCCGCCGGGGCGAAGCAGAAGTCTTTGTCTGGGAAGTCGGTCAGTTTGCGGCCCTCTTCCCTAAAAGAGCTGAACCTGCGCCAGAAAGGAGGCCGTTTCAGCCCTTTTGGGCTGTCTTGCATTCAACATTCAACAGCTTCTCAGGATCAGCCCTCACACTCTGCCTCAGTCACCTCCCTGTGTGAGTTATTATCTGAGTCCTGCTTCTCTTTCCTCGTAGGTTGAGTTTACAAAATGTATTTATTGTATTTGTGTTGTGTAGCCGTCCCATGGCTGAGTTAGTGTATTGTTTTACAATATATTTACTTGGACTGAAGCTGCAGCAGCCGACGATGCACAAACAAACATACCGGTTCCAGGATGTGATTTGCTCGATTTTCTGAAGAGAAGAACGTGGGGGAAAGAGTGGCAGTGGCAGATGGGTGACTAGAAAGCTAGTTGCCGTTACCGACGACCTTTCACGCGTGAATCTGCCAAAAAAGGATCTTTGATCAACCAGTACAGTAGCTCTTCATTCATTGTTCACTTAAACGTGTGACAGCAGTGTAAAGAACACTAATGTGAAGGGGTTTTGTGAGGCGACACGTGACAAAGTGATACATTTGAAGAACTGCTCTTGATCCAGATGGATGTCTAATCGGTGTCACACACACAGAATATTAATACTCTGTGTCCCAGTTACACGTTTTGATCTTCTTTTGTTGTAGACTTCTAACTGACCAACTATGTAAGTAGAAAGGAGTTAGAAAAATGCTAATATAGAAACATTCAAAATAGTGAAGATCATAAAAAGAAAGATGGTTACTTTCAATTTAGTGCATGTACAAATATGCTCAATGTGCAAATAATCAATATAAATAGGAGCAATCATAAGAAAAGCTCAAGGTCATATTCACAATGTAAACGTTATACCAATTAAATCAGCTCAAATGCATTATTTTTATTTTCTAAGATTCAATTAGTGTGTGTGTGTGTGTGTGTGTGTGTGTTCCTCCCTCACCTCCCTCCTTCTCTCTCTCTGCGTAGCTTTATAGCAGGAGGTGAGGTAATGTGATCATTACTGGAGCATGTCAGTAATCTTTATAGACTATGTGCACCTGTGCCTGTAAAATATTCGGGTATTTTAGCTACTATGAAATATACTAATATAGTGGCTAAAGTGGTACAGCCAAGCTTACGCTTGAGAGTAAAAATGTGTGTGTGTGTGTGTGTGTGTGTGTGTGAGAGCTCGCAGCAGGCTCTGTGTAATTATGTGTGGCATTACAATGACATAGCCCATTATAATGAATGATTATTAGCAAGCACTTCAAAATGAATTGTAGTAATAATAATTTAAAGAATGATAAGAAGCAAAATGGACAATGTGGTCACACACCGAGTTCCTGAGAAAGTCACAATGTGCAGATCAACAAATTCTCCCCCAACAGACAACTTAATGATATCTTCTGTGAACTTTTATTTTGACCTGTATTTTAATAGTGTGCATAACGCAATTTTTGACTGCAGAATAATTACATTTGCAACGTTTTAATGTTTCTCTCACCCTAATTATTTATACTCCCTAAGATTTAGTGTCCCTGGTTAAATAGGTAGAAACTAAGAGCCTGTTAATTGCTTGAGTGATTAATGTCTGTTAATCAGTGTACAGCATGTGGAGGACGTGGAGGGTAATAGTGTCAGATGAATCACCAAATATGAAGGGCAGCTGATGAGCTTTATTTACGCTTACATGGCATCAAATGAAGATGCATTGCAGTAGGGCTGCAACTAAATGAATCTGTTCATTCTTTTTTGATTCATCAGATAAAAAAACAACGTTAAAAAAAGCATTAATTTCCAACCCATCATTCCAAAACCGGGCAAATTCACCGATACAAAACGTTTGGTGGCGAATACTATTTTGTGCTGAAAGGCAGCTATTTACTTACTATTTATAGTTTCGCTGGTAACCGTATTACAAAAGCAATAAGGTACGAGAGGCTGTACTTTATCTTCAATAGAGTAACAGCTGCGCGTCGGGCCTAACAACGCCCCGAACTGTTACATTATTGGACGATAAAGTACAGCCTCTCGTACCTTATTGCTTAAAGAAAAAATAAAGAAAAAATACAATTTAGAAAAGTGAACAGGATTTGAACTTTTTCTTTACACTCACAAACTCTCACACTCACAAACAAACACATAAATCACTCAGACGCTGTTCATGGACTTTATTACTACATTACATTATTAATTGTTATCACCATTATTAATTATTATTTTGGTGCAAGTTAAGTAAATCTATACACCACATTTAAACACAGCTTAAGATGACAAAGTGCTATATACTGACTTTAAAATGGCGGTAAAAAGTACAAGACACGCAAATATTTTTTTCAAGTAAAACCGATATGGGACAAAGCACAGGAAATATCGTATATTACATATGTTTCATAACATATTAACGCCGGCTTGTCGAGCAGGATGACGAGTAAAAAGCAGCAGCAGAACGTTCCTCACTTCAAAACGGAACAGAAGTAGGATTCTGTAGCTGAACTCCCTCCCTCCTCATCAAGGACCCGACACGCTTTGGTTTGAGGTGCTGAATCATCACGTGGTGCTCCCGTGCCATATCATGTTAATTTAGCATCTTTTGCAATTAACACACTTTTTTTAGTCTATTTAGTGTGTGAACACCTTGGAAGAATCAAGTCGTACAGACTTCCCTGCCTGTGATTCATAACACCTGCCGCTGCTCTTTCTTCGGCTACGACTCGGCTCTTTTTTCTTTTTTTTAGTTCCGCGACTCATTGAGTGCTGTAATAATCGGGGGACACAACGAATCCATAATGAAATTCATTGCCAATACCTTGGATGATGCATTTTTATTGATTCCGATTCGTTATTGCAGCCCAACATTGCAGTGAAGACGGGCAAATAAACCAATTGGTGATGGTGCCAATGAACATTATTATATTTGCTCCTTAAGAGCCATGAGATTGTGCCGTGCTCGGCTCTAATCGCTCTGTTTCCCATTCTCCCTAATAACGGTGAAAGATGTAGAGAGTGTGCTGTGGTCATGGTAACGGGGACTAACGCTGTGATTCTATTTCATTACCAGAGTTAATACCATACGTTTTGATTCAGTCTAAAGAAAGTGGCATTTAAAGCCATGATTTAGCTCGGTCCTGGCATTTGCTCCGACCAGACAGCGGCTTTGGAGCTGGAGTTGGTCCCTGGCTGCTGGAGAAAGGTTGACTGTTCCTAAGAAATCACAATAGGTCAGATGCTGAGACCATATCATCGTCCCTGGGGGATAAATGATGTTTACTTAAAGCTGGCGCAGTTTTTGCAGCCTTAGCAGGAAATGTTGAGTATGCAGAATACGCTTTGATTGAGCACTTGATGTCCAAAACTGGTACAAAAACAAAAGAATTAGCGGCCGGTGCGCTGGCCTTATTTCAGGCTCCTCTCCATGGGAGCGGGCAACATCCCCACTTTGCCCCACAGGAACCCCCCCCCCCACGCCCCCGTTGAGCGCGTGGAAGCTCTCTTCCCTGTCAAGTGTTCGGGGGTCTGTGATGTGTCTGGGCCTTTTTCCAGCTTCACAGGTCCTGCTTTAAGCTCTGTGATGCGTGTGTGGGAACGGGCCAGGAGCAAACGAGGGGACGGTCCAACACAATCCCCAATTATGTGGAAAGAGACATACAAATGCATGTGTGTGTGTATACAAGCAAATTCACAAACACGAACACACACCTTTTGGGCCGGGGACCTGGAGCCACATCAAAGAACTCATCTGCCTGCAGGCGGCCTCCACAAGCCTACGATACACAGACAACAGTGCGCTACAGGGAGGGGGGTGGGTGGGGGGGGGGGCAGGATGTGGTGGCAGCTCACAATGATCAGTGAGTGAGGAGAGACAAACACCAGGTTTAGTAGAAATACGAAACGAGACGAGCAAAAGGAAGTTATCGGAAGCAGAAAGGTAACGAGCATCTCTCCCCTTCCGTCTGTCTTTCTCCCCGAAGGCTCCTCCTACTTCTTCAAGGGGAAGGAGTACTGGCGGGTGCCCAGCAGCGACATGGAGGCGGAGGCCGGGTACCCGCGCCTCGTCGCCAAAGACTGGCTGCTGTGCACCGAGATGCAGTCGGACTCTCCGGACGCGGAACCCAAGGGCACGGAGACGAGGGCCAACGTGCACCGCCAACCGGACCACGCGGACAACGGGTACGAGGTGTGCTCCTGCACCTCCGACACCGCCTCGCCTTTGGGGGCGCGCCCCTCCCCTTCGCCCCTGTGGCTGCTGCCGCCCCTCTGGACGCTGTCGCTGGCCCTGCGCACAGAGCCGCTATGATGCCAAAGCGCGGGACGGGCGTTCTCAATGAGACGTAGACTCATTGGCGGGGAGCGAGGGGGTGGACACTCAGACTAAAGACAAACTGGAACGTTTTGTATGTATAAATATCAATTGGTTTGTTTTTTGCTATTTCCTTTTTGCTGTTATTTATTTCACTTGTCGTTTAAAGCGCATTGCTCTACAGATCATATTGTTACACTAGGATACATCCACAATGTGCCGCGCTTCACAAATTGAGTTCTTGAGAACCATAAGTTCTATCTCTCAGTTTTCTTTTTGAATGGCTAAACTGTGTAATTAAGCGAAGGACACTGCTTGGGGGGGAGGGGGCTTCTCCTGAAAGCAAAAGCATTTTGTTTTTTTCATGTAGAACCAGTTTACTACAATAACAAATGGCAACACATGGTTGTCTGGATGTAGACAACAGTTGAATGGTAACTCCAGATGTTTATATGTGACGGGGGAATTCATTGAAAGGCACATTTTTTTTCCTGAAAGGAACCGATTAACATTTGGCGCAACTGAAGAGCAGCATTTTCTTTCCTGCCGAGATAAATATTCGGCTACAGCTTAGCTTTCATTTCCTTCGTACATAGACAAACCGGCAGTTTGCCCTGTTTTTATGCTAAGCTAACCAGAACCAGGCTGTAACCTTCTATTTACATACAGACATAAGAATGATAACGATCTCATATCTCGGCATGAAAGCACAAGCTGATATATTTCCCAAAATGTCAAACTAGTGCTCTAAATAGTGCCTGGACGTTGGACCTCGGGCCTGCGAGGCGTCTTACTGCCCTCCAGTATTCCCCATCTTTTCAAACCGCTATGTTTGAGTTCAAGGTTATGACCCACCGACCCCGAGAGAAAGAAACGGTCTTACAGGAAGAGCTGCCCGCTGTACTCGAGGTACAGAAAGAGATGAGGGATGGACAGTAGATACTTTACAGGTGGGCGGATCCGGGCAGACAGCTGGAAAATCCGCCCAAGTGTAGTGGAGATTAATAGGGATGTTGACAGATAGACGAATAAATGGCAGACCGGTGAAAGCCGTCCACAGCGCCACGGGGGAAAAGGGCAGGAGGCGCTGTGGGAGGTGGGACAGAAGCCGGGACTCTTCTTATAGGTTTCCCAGCGTCGCTTAACACCATCACCCCGGCTTATATCTCTTACCTGTACGCTTTGAGGAACTGCCGCTTAGGTACCTCCGAAGGGTCATTTTAAAGCCGTCAGCGGGGGCCGTATTGGTTCTGTAGTGCTCTAAGTATAATTATGGACTGATTGAGATTCCATATCGCTTCGATCAGATTCCAGTTCACGGAAGCTTTCCTTTCCTCGGCGCCGGACGAGACCCTCCATGGATCCGAGCTCCTTTTGGTGACGTTGTTATAAGACCTCACAAGATACAGCAACCGGATTTATTCTTGCTGATATATTTACCTACAATTTAAATAAAGACACAGATATATTTGAGTCGAGATGTCCCACGGTTACTTCAAAAAAAAGTCGACCGTGTATATTTCAAGGTGTGTTTTTGTAATGTAAAATATTTTTGTAGAAAAATAAAAGTTATATGAATGAATTTATTCACCGTGGTCACGTGACTTTGTGTGGAAGTGAGCGCTGCGGCCCGAAGGGACGTGAAAGGGTTCCGGGGGCCTTGACGACGGGCGAAGGTAAACACGGGAGCCGCCTCCCGTCCCTCCGATGTCCTGCATGTGTTCCTCCGGTGAAGGTCGATCACGCCACGTCCATCACGCCGCACGCTCGCTCCGTGTGGCGCGATGCAGTCCTGCGTCAGAGGAGCAGTGTCACCTGGTCTAAAAGGAACACGGCGGCTCAGTTACTCGCGCTCGAGGAGGGGAAACAACCAAGATAAGTGCTCTGGAACATCGCGTACCACAAGAACCCTCCCGTGTCAATCACAGACTTTTAAAAGGAAAGCTTTTCTTTCAATTCTAAGCTAATTAGCTTCACCGAGAGTTAAGGCGTGGCCTCTGGCAGAACACGCACGGCTAAACCTCAGTCTGTTTACAAGTCGGAGTGAGTTTTAAAAGCATCTCCTATTTCTGCCGTAATGACCCTTCGGGCTTGTTTGTCTATTATTCGGTTGACAATTGCATTATCTGATTTGCATTACACGCAGGAGCACAATGGCGTTTCATCGTAATGGGTTCTACTCCCGTCGTGCCTTTCAATGTTCTCCTAATTTATTATCATGTTAGTTTAGAATACAGACATTGTTATTCCTCCTGCATCTCCCCTTTGTCACGCCCTTGCAGGCAGCTCTGTGACACCACTAAGAGACGCGATTTGTCTTCCCTCCCTTTGACACACTCTGGCGGTGTTAATTAACTGGTGCGGATCGGCAGCCACAGCGAGAGGACCTTCTCTTCCACCACGGGTCACTTTTCAGCAGTTTGATCAACTGATCCTACTTAAGCTGCTATTGTTAGAGTTAAAAACAGCCTGCGGGCGTTTGTTAACTGGTGTTTGTTCAGCGAAGTGTGGAGGGGGTTATATCAACTTGTATTTTTAATTATAACTTTAATGTGATGCCGTTGCCTTTTCAATAATTATTTTAATTTCTCTCACTAGATTTAATTAATACATCATAGAGAGGTTTGATCTTGATTGGCACTGCTTTCTAACAACTGTTGGACATTTTTCCAGCCAGGCAGGTTTGCATCATTAGAATTGAGATTTGTCTGACTGCGGATGCGCTGATCAGAGGCTGCTCCAGGTTTTAGGGGCCTGCAGCCAAGTCCTGATGACGGATCCCATCGCAAATACACACATAAAAAAATAGAAAACCTTTTAGGAAACATGGCAAATGTCCCATCCACGTATTATGCGATTTAGCTGACGCTTTTGTCCAAAGCGACTTACAATAAGTGCATTTCAACCACAAACCATTGGGGAACATTTCATTGGAACCCAATGGGTTTGAATGTTGAACAGTAAAACAAACTAAAGAAAAAGAAATCAAAGACATTTCAACGCCGCTAGATCGGACTCTGGTGAGTCACTTTCTACGACCCTTCCACTGTACGATCGCTCCTTAAAAATAAGTCAACACGCACCAAGTAAAACCCTTCCCACAGTCCCTGCACTGTGGAGACGTGATGTGGCTCGTGGCTGATAGATGACAGTGAGGGTGATGTAAGGGTTCACATACTTTGAGCTCGCATGGCGAGAGAACTGTTTGGCACGCTCGTCAAACTGAAGCTCTGGCAGCCGTCTGTCTCAATATTCCTCCAAAGGTCATATTAAATTCAACACTTCCCCACACCAGTGGGTGGATTTGGCAGACAGGGAGGGTGCAACAGATCGTCTCCACCTGTGCTGTTCGTAGCAGAGGCGTTGATCTGTGTCTTGTGACAAAAGGGACAGCGTTGGACACAGCGAGCTATATGAGAGCTGGCGCTGAAAGGAAATAAGATTCCAGGCACGATGTACGAAGGGACAATGCCGTGCTCACAACACAAAGTAAAATATTTTTTAAAAGAGAAATATTTGGCAGCTGATGAGAGACGAGGCTGTCCTGGTTTGACAGCCAGTCATTCTGCCCTTTCCCTTGTGAAATAGATAGATCAGGTGGTGACTGTGAATTTAATCTGAGGCCTTTATTCCAGTTGAGATGAAATCAGCGACCCATGCCTTTCTAAAGCCAACTGTTCTTATTTATTATCCAAAAGGCGAAGGCGAGCGTGACTCATTAACGCGTTCAAAACAAACAACAAAGGTGCACTGCTTTGCATGCAAACACGTCGGAGGTGTGCAAGCATGTACAGTAGGTGGTTGCTATAGTTTGAGATTATAATAATTGTCTGCTAGAAATCAGATAAAATGCCTCAAGAGACGTCCCATAATAAGCTTAGTATATTATTTGCTACAGGCACTTGTGGCTCAATTAGCTGCCATTTACATAACACACCCAATTTTTCACTGCTGTGGAGTTTTATTTTGTGTTGCAGGCAGCATATTTGAACAAGAAGAATTTACTGTACAATAAAAGGGTAATTGTGACGGCTGCATGAATTTGAATCCTTTTAAATGAATGAATGAATAAAATGAATACGGCCCTGGCAATGTCAAAGGAATGCAATGCAACTTTGAAGCCCTTTATATAGTCCTCGCAAAATGAAATATTGAAAATACTTTTAAAAGTAGGCAAAGTCACCGTAAGGCTTTTGATTTGTGGACTGCCATTTTAATGATTTGTTAGACAATTTTGCTCGTTTTGGTGGCCATCTTGGTTTATTGCAGACCAGTATGCATAATAAAATCTCTCATGCTGAGAATATTTCTAAAAGTCGGAAAAGTCACCTTGAGATAACCCATTGATTTGTGGACTGCAGTCTCAATGATGTTTAGGTCTTTAGATCATTTTGGTCCCCATCTTGGTTTATTTTAACAGAGAGAGACTGGAAATAAATACAAAACAACAGAGCCTAATAAGCCGTACAATTTACTTTTATCGACTGAATACACATTGTGGAGTACCCAAGACAAAAATATTCCAAACTGGACACCACTGTGATTAAAAGCGAACTATCAATCACAAGATAGCCACACGCAAGTATACCTTGCTTTTTTGGTCCATTGTATTCTAAATGAATCAACACATTGCTAAATTAACCTCATGCTGTAGTGGAACTAATGATTAACCCCCTGCCTATAGTGATTACTCAGGTAATAAATCAACTGAAAAGCAAAGTAATTATATCATAGATCTCCATACTATCGGCCTACTTTTTGCAGCCAGAGAAGTTGCCCCCTGGTGGCCATCAGAAAGAATGCAAGTTAAAAGAAGTCAGCGTTGGTTTCACTTTTCAGAACCAGAGGTACGCAACACAACTCCTACACTGCTGAACATTACCTTGTTCCTGAACTGTAAGAAAAGTCTCCCTTTTGTCCCTGAAGTTGTGGGATCCGGCATAGAAATTAGGACAAATGAATGAAAAGATTGAGTCATTAGAAATACCGAACGGTTAAAGGTTGGCAAAAATGATGAATAGTTTTTCAAAGGAATTAATCTGTGACCTTAATCAGCTACTATGCATTAATGTGATGCTGGTCTGTCATGTGACACAACTGTCAGTCAACACACTCAATGACTTGTACTTTAGGGGGAAACCCATTGATGCTTTAGAAAAGCGTTATATCCAGTCTATGAATACAAAAGTCTCTCCCGAGTCCAAGAACCCGTCAGTTCTAAGAGAGTGTATTGAATTTCTCTCTGCCTCTTGGTTTAATTATCTGGCGTGACCTATTGGCCGGTATCACACGCTTGAGCATTGCAATGCCACATGCGGACAAAACTATTATGCTGATCAAGTCTTAAAAGTTCATTTCCGAGTAGAGATGGGTTTGAAAAAGAAGGGACCTTCATGGCAAGACTTGTAGCTTTCCATCTATATGAAAATAGGTTGGCCACCGTTCAGCTGGGCAAATTTTCACCACGTGCCATATTGCTTGATTTTTTCAACTGAAGAGATGAGCAGGGCACAGTGCCACAACACTTGATATTGGCTGAGTGGAAGGGAGCGACCTTGGAGGAGGCAGCAGCCCCCCTCCACCCCCCCATAGACTTCGGTCAAGCAGATGAAGTTATTTCGTGGTAAATGGGATTTCAAAACACATAAGGTATGTCACCCCGCAAAGGGTTTACAATGAAGACAAACAAGAAAATAAGTCTTTACTCAAATTTGCATCGCACACATTTAGGCTCCTTCATTCACTGCTTCTCTTGACGGTGAGGATAATGTGGGCTGTAATTGAATGAAAGGCTTATCCTTACTGTACTGTGCTCTTTCCTCACAAACACCCACATACTCTTCTAACCTATAGTCGACCTCACCTTGTCCTTGCACGTTTTTGGGGCCCCGTCACATCTCTTTGAGCTAAGGTCCCCATAAAGCATTAAAGTGTGCACGCACACACATACACACACGCAAACAATGCACCCTTCATTAATATTATTTAAGATATGGAACGATATGGCCTTTCTTTTAAGGGAAGCAAACAAAATAGGCGTATGTGCTTTGCATATGCATGCTTGTCCTTGAGTGATCATTAGTATGGTTAAACATGGCTACAGTGCATAAGACAAAGCACCCTGATTATACCGGGCATTTTGCCCTTGTATGAACGCGGTTCTTGTGTGCGTGTTTGTGTGTGTGTGTATGAGAGTACGAGTGGACACATGGGTGTTAGTGTGTGCGACTGTCATCCTAATTAGAGAAACAGAGGTTGAAGGCAAGGTGTAATTTATTGTGAGTCAGTTCCATTAAAAATGAGATTTTACAAAATAATCACGTTTCTATACAGTGTGCATTGGTTCACTGCTCGCTGTGGAGCCCGTTCATTAACTACAGTGAATAGCCTACCAGTTGTAGGACTTTGCACCAACCGTCAACAGGAGTGACTTAACGTGAGACAGGAAGAACCAATCGATCATTCTGATTGAGTAAGAGCACAGTCAACATTTTTTTATATATGTGGACGCAAAGCAGCAGGAATGTAACTTTATATTGTCAGCAGAAATCGTCCAGCGAAACCCTCAGCAGACGCAGAACCTACTTGGATTCTTGGCTTTGGGAAGTTGGTCACGATAGCATGCAGCAGATGCCCATGCACAAGAATTGCACAATGACTTGCTATCATCTCACTAAATATCAGCCAGGAAACAACTTGTCGAAACCTCCACACTTTAAAAGCCTTCCACCTATAAATAATAAATGTTTTGTGATGTTTCCACTACGAGTCAGATTCTCAAAAGCTGTTCTTTGATGACTGCAGACCACTTCTTTTCTTTGTGATATTGTTTTTCTAAAAACTAAGATAAACTATACGGTAAAAAATAATACAATGACCCTTAAGGCTTGTGTCTATGACAGCATCCTATCGGTGCTGACAGTAAAACGGGTGGTCAAGGTGATTAATATGCCCTGTTTTGCAGTGCTCTACCGCCCTCCTCTGGTACTGAAATATGCACATGCACAAGGATGTGTTTCAATGCTTAGGCACCTCCAGGCAGATTAACTGTCTATGTAAAGGGCATCAATTAAACTGAGAAAGTCATACAGGAATGTATATCAGTATTTTTGCATTCATGATAATGTTTAAATATGAGCCTGTTTATCATCTGATCCCGATTGTGATAAGACTATTTCTCTCAAGGACAAAACATGGTAATTAAGCCTGCTGTATTCAGCAGATATGCACGCACTCATTCAAACAAATTGAAACTAATATACTTTATATTGGCTTTAGCGTCCTTGAGAGGCTGATTCAATTCAAAGGGATGAGGCAGTGGGCTCAGCAACTTGAGTTCTCCCACAGCAGCAATCTTCTTTCCCTCAAACTTGCCTTCCTCGAGCTCTAAAAGAGCTCTTGGAGAGTTGCCTGCTCAGAGGAATTGATACTTAATTAAATGGTCATTACGCAGCTTGCATATTATAAGACGCTGAGACAGATTTACTATTATATTGTAAGTGTTACCGTCCTATTTGAATTTTGGTCACAAAGGCATCTCAGATATTCAATCAACCTAATTTGTACCAGTGAGCAATATGGAGCCAAATCCAAGTCAAACATTTTGATTATTTGAATTACAATAGAGCAATTTCCTATATACTCAAACAGACAATTCTTCATACACCTGTTGGAGAACTCTGGAGATCACAGAACAGACCTGACCCTCCACTGTTGGTCTGTTGGTGGCTTTGCATTTCCCCACTGTAACCACCTTCCTTGCAATTAACAGCAACACCCCCTCCCTCCCATCAAAGCATCAAATAAACCAACAAGTGAAAGGCTGTGATGCTTTTGTCATTACTTTTTTTCTGTTTTCCTGTCTGTATGCAAATTATTCTGAATTAACATGAGATGAATATGCATGCTCACATTATAGTTTTCCATTCAAATTCAATCCGTGTGATACTGCTTGTGATCGGAATGACATGTCTCTTCCCATATTTGATGGGTGATAATATTGATTTCTTTTCTCTTTGGTTACCATAGTTACATCATCATCGGGCCATCTGTGTAGTGAGCTTCACCCTTTTTTTCCAGTTTTTGTATGTTCTTCTGACCCTAAACACTCCGGCTCCGCTCTAATGCTTTCAACTGCTTTTGTTTAACAGTTGCAAGGAAATTATCAGTTGACACATCAGGTGACAAATAAAGGTAATTCTCATCTGGGGATAAATCTTCCCCTGCGGAGCCCGTGATAATGAACAAATGATAGTCATTTTCTCGTCCTAGTGGTGATTTTAATAACATTGTAATTGTGAGGTCACCAATTTAAAGTCGTGTCAAGGAAATATGGTGTTAATCCCCCGTTCTAAAAGCGTGGAAAAAAATCCACACACTGAAACCAATTTAGTTTTTTGCGTTAATTTATTATTAGTATTGAGACGCTGGTAAAAGAAATGTTAAGACATACATAAAACAATTGTCGGTTGCTACTGATTGTCTCAGGATCAGGAATCAGGAAACATTTATTAGCCAAAATGTCAAACATACAAGGAATTTGTCTTGGCGGTTAGTGCGCGACAGTAGACAGACAAGACAACAGTGCACAAGTAATAAAATAAAGTGGAATGAAATGCTAATGCAATGGGTTAGTAGAATAAGGCTAAGGCTATGGGTTAGTATAAAACAAGGGAATAAAGTTAAAAAAATGTAAATATTAAAAAGTTAAAAAGAAAAATATTAAGCATAAAGTGCACTAACGAACAAGTAACAGACAAGAGACAAAGTGACAAGTGACGACAAAAGATATTTTATATTTAATTTAATTAATTACACGAAGAATTCATTACTACGCGATTGGTAATGCGTATTAATACTTTATTTTTTCCTAATGGTTCTTCCTAATAAATAAATTCCCCGGTTTTTAAATCCAAAGTAAAACTAAAAGTAACTCAACCCGCTTTCGTTTTATGACCGAGGAACCGGGAAGTGACGTCACACTCACAGCTGTAGCTTCCCCGCGCATGCGCACTCTTGCAGAGGCTGGACGCCGTCTGCTTTGTTGGTGCCATCGATTCTTCGACTTTCGACGAGTCGACTGCGAATTTGCAAGATACAAACAACACCGATTACATTGTTTTCCGGTCTTTGGACGTTGTTCGCTCGTTTTAAGGCCACAGCGCGCGCTTGTCTCGCCTTAGACGACAGAAGCGAGGACCCGTCTTGTATATAAACAAAACGCAGCCAGCTTCCTTTAAGGTGGCACGCCGGAGAGCTGCAGCAACAACAACAACAACAACAATCCGATTCCCGTTTGTTTAGCTATCGAACTCCGCGTCGTCCGCGATGGGAATCGCCGCAGAGCTTCGCTGGGAGTGACGCTCCGAAACGCGTGCGTGCGAACATGAGAGAAGAGGCCGGTTTGTTGTCACGAAGGCAGCTCATGGCAAGTGAACGAGGGGCCGGACATCCCCGACGAAGCCGCTGCCGCCGCCGCTGCTGCTGCTGCTGCCCCACTCGCCCCGCGCAGGAGACCGCGACCCGGCAGGGTGATCCGACCCGCCCGGTCACCCGCGCGGCCCTCGAGTAGCAACTCTGCGATCCGCCTCCGACGCGCCATGGAGACGGTGGGGAAGTTTGAGTTCAGTCGGAAGGACCTGATCGGACATGGCGCATTTGCCGTCGTCTTCAAAGGCAGACACCGAGAGGTCAGTGTCACCTGGTCGTCCGACGTACGCACAACACATGAATATGCGTTGCGTTTCCTGTTGCAAAGAAGATGTGGGAAATGAAATGAAAGGTCCGGCGCTGATGTTCGCCGTTAATCGCATTTTATCGGCCAGCTGGCGTATTTGTTGTCATCGCGCGGCCTTAAGAGGCCCGAGAGCTCGCACAGGATGCTGCTAAAACACAACACAGTTGAAGGATAAAATGCGTATTTTCTGATCCATGTGACCTTTTCTTAATGCGTGCATCGTCGCTTTATTCTTCGGCTTGTTTGGCAGATGCTGCACGTCCATAATCCCGTTGCATTAGAAAGTAGAGCAGTGAAGCTGAGAAAGCATCACGCTAAGGCCATTGACGAACAAGTTGCAACATGCCCAGAATCAAACAGTAGATCTCATAATGGATTCGCAGTAATTGCACACATATGTAATACATCACATATGCTTAAACCGATGATACAGAGTCAAAGTCTTGTTTTATGCAAATGGTTAAATGGATGTTGATTGTGCAGAGACGTAAGTTTTCTGTTAGCACCACTGACTCTTGTACAGTAGAGCCAAGATGGTAGATCTAAATAAACACACAACAATGCAATGCAACACACCCCTAAGAATACAATGTCTCCTTCTAGAAACACGACTGGGAGGTGGCGGTGAAGTGCATCAACAAGAAGAACTTGGCCAAATCCCAAACGCTGTTGGGGAAAGAGATTAAAATTCTCAAAGTAAGTCCCAAGCTCTCGAAAGTATTCCAGTGCTTTTAGCAAACAGGTCTAGAGCTGGAATGGTGGCGCATGTCAGAGTAAATGGAGGTTAGCATTGGTGACAAGATCGTATCGAGTCTTAATTTTACAGTCACTTTAAGTTAAACATCCACAAGAAAATAGATTTTGATCATTTCTTCTCTGCAGGAGCTGAAGCATGAGAACATTGTTGCGTTACTGGACTTTCAGGTATGTACAACCACACTCGAGGTATCTGGGTCACGTCAGGATCAGGCTGATTTAACTGTGTTAGTGCTTCTGTTTACATACAGAATTATCACACCTCTCAGCGTCCCAGTTTCTCCCTCATGTCTACGCTCACCGAGCGCAGCAGATGGGTAGCTGGATGTGTCTGTTCCAGATGACCCACTTTGTTCTCGTGCAGCTTAAATAGTCTTGTTTTTCCCCACTTGTTAAATGAGGCTTTGCTGAAAAAAAAGAAAAGAAAAAATACTTCTTTCTGTTTGATCTTGTGGAAGCATGTTTTCTGCTGCCCTGCCATGTACTACACATTTGAGCTTCAGTAAATACTCCAACCCGGGTCCGATACTACAAATGCCGGTGTAGATGCTCCGAGCAGGGAGTCCCACCTCCTACCGATCCAAATTCCGGCGCGAGGAGACAAAAAGCCTTCGATTTTAAGCCATTTGTTTTATGCAAATGGTTCATTCTGAGAGTGCATTCATAATTCTAATGCTCTAGAATAGATGATCCTAAAATAACGGACAATCACAGACCAAATCTTTCATCAGAAAGCGTTTATTTGCGAGTGGCAGCCCGGCGTGAGGCTTACCCTCCAACGCGACCCAAAACAATCCATCAGAACTAAGGTTTTGGTGCCTCGGCTCCAGGCCTCTGTCACGGGGGACAGCCGGTGGGAACCACGATGGTTTTGTCTCTCCGCCTGGCTCGTCGGTTGCCGTCCAGCTTCGGTAAAGCTAAGGACAACCAATTTCCAAAAAAAGGCCTGACTCGGCTGGTCTATAGAAAACAGCCTGCCCCCCCGGCTGGTAGAATCAACAAGCTACTGAAAGGAGGCCGGAGCGAAAGTCAGCAGTCATCTGTTGCCATGTGATAAGAGTTTTTTTTCTTTTTTTTTGTGTGTGTGTCAAGTCGGCCTCGCTGTGTTTTCTTTCTCACGGCTTGGTGCCTCGGAGAGATAATTGATGTCACAAGAGTTATTCGATCTCTGAATCCACCAAACATGAGAAAAAAACATCCAAATTGTTTGTAGTTTGTCAATGAGGGGGGGGGCTTGTGAGGTTAAGAAAGTTTCATGCTTCTCTCCGTCACTCTCACTTGTTCGTGATTCACTCACTGTTTTTAAATGCCGTCCATCTGATCCAGCAAAAGGTTGTTGGATCAGCATTAATCCGGCAGAGCGTCGTTTTTAAAAGTGTAGATTACTCCCCCAACATTTCGACAACCCTTTTTTACTCAATTTTATTCATCCCCCCAATCCGATCCCACCAGCTTAGTTTGCACCAACATAACGGCCGTGCAGCAGAAGTGCCACCTGTTCCTTTTGCTTTGTCACTGACATGCGTTTGTTTACCCACCACTCTTATCTCCTGCTTCTTTAGGAAACGGCCAGCTCTGTGTACCTGGTGATGGAGGTAAGCTCGCTGTGATGTCCGGCTTTTGTTTGCTGAGCGCTGTATTGTCGCAGCCTTTATGCAGCAGGCAGCGCTGATGGGGCCCGGGCTATAATTAGCTGTGTCCTCAGGCACCAACGGGAGGCAAATGGCTCCTGGGTAACATCCACATGGTGCAAGGTTTGTGTGAGATGCGGCTTGATCCTGAGGGTGATGTTTGAGGATCTGCTACTTTACTTTACAAATACTTTGCCTGCTGGACAACGTAGTTGGGCAATTTACATACAGTACAAAAGTATTTTAGGGTGCATGCCAACTGCTTTTTGTGTTTTTTTCCAGCCTGGTTGTTCTGTTAATGTGCATTTTACATATTCAATATTTGCCAGACAAGCAGAAGAGCTGTGCTTACACAAAGTGACATTGATTGCCAGAGACACCAGATCTCAAAATGCGGTTTTTACATTCACACACGCACACATACATATATGATCTTAATTTATTCATGCTTATCTCTGTGTCTTGGAAAAAGGAAATGACTGAGGCTGCTTTTCAGAGCCACCTTTCACATCACACCGTGTCCTTTCCTTGATTCATTCATATTGATAAGAGCGTGGCCATAAATTTGTAAACGCGTCGCTCTCCAGAAAATCTCTGCTCTGATCTCGTGGCTTTCTAGTCCCTTTCTACTCTGATATCTGAGAGTCTTTTGCTACGGTTACACGTCAAGCCTCTGTTTTACATGAGTGTCCTAACGTTATTCCTTTTCATCTCCCCTTCTTTCATTTCCTCCCCTTCCCCCTCCCCGTCTCTCCCTGTAAACCCAGTACTGCAACGGGGGGGACCTCGCTGACTACCTGCACAGTAAGTGTGACAAATCATCTACTAAAAGCTCCCGATGCCTCAAACAACAATTGAACGGATGTCGAAAAGTCATCTTTGTTGCTCGGCGACAAGAAAGAAGGAGGAGGAGGAGGAGGAGGAGGAGGAGTCCTCGCTCATCCAGCCGCTCCTTATACTTAAAGGGCCGAGGTCGGAACACTAACAATTGTTCAGGTGTAAAACACCAGCAGTGGTATATACATCACAAAATCCACTCAAAAAATATATTATGAATACGCTTAGAATCCCAGAATCATAATATTTGGATAGCAGCTGCTAGTTAAGAATATTAGTAGAAGAGGGAGAACTATTTTTTCAACTTTGTCAAATCTTGAAAAGATTGATTGAAAGTGTGCAAATATTGCTGAACAACTCAACGGATAAACATCTGCTCCGACGCTGCCATTCAGGTCACACTGCAGACTATTTACATCATCTGCTTGACTGCAGGAAGCTGCCTTTTTATCTCCTAACCCCGATGATCCAGATTAGGTGCCTCCAGTATCAGCTGCTTAAATGAGACATTCATAACGCAGTGTAAAAAAATCCCTCCAGTATTCTACTGTTGGCGCACACAGAGCACACTACCCCTTTCAAATATGCTTTTGATTGATTACTATGTGAACAAACTGGTCGTTAAAGTGAAGTCTCGAACTCTGTCCAGGTTCGCCGCATCTCATAAATTGCCGAGCTCTTAATAGCCGGTGCACTCACCCCGTCTGAGGTGGGCCTTTATCTGTCAGGGTGGGCACGATGCAAAATAAGACATCCAGCGCTTTGCAGACTAATTATAGCTCCAGCTGCTAACTTTGTCTGCCAGGCACCCGTAGTATAAACAGAGGAGCCTGTTATGAAAGAGAGTGCTGTCTGATCCGCTGACCGCTTTGGGCAACGGACAAAACTTTTTTCCTGGCCAGAGACAAATTCAAGACGAGGGAGGGACTCTCACGTAGAACCATATCGTGCCACGGTGAGATGAGGGGAATTATTGGAGGAGACCGGGAGCGGGAGGTTGGGAGTGGGGCGAGGCGAGTAGAACACGGAGGAAAAAGTACACCCTACACTTATTTTTAGAGGAAAAATTAGGTTATGATCCGACGTGATTCGTTTTTTCTCTGTCCTGAAATGTCCGCCGTGCAGCCAGCAGGTTTCCCCCCATCACTAATTCATGCATAAACCCACGTTGCACACAGAGAATATCAGAGTTGGCTTGAAGTCAATAAACTTTGTTTCTCCGCAGCCAAGGGCACGCTGAGTGAAGACACCATCCGGGTTTTCCTGCAGCAGATCGCAGGGGCCATGAGGGTCCTACAGGGCAAAGGCATCATCCACAGGGACCTCAAGCCCCAGAACATTCTGCTGTCCTACCCGCCGGGACGCAGGTCACACTCCAACAACACCTGCATCAAGATCGGTAGGTCCGCTGCTGTGAGATCCTGCGTGATGGCACGTGCATGTATTTTGTTTGGATTGGTCAACACCTTGACATTTCTTTTTGGATTAAAGGGATTTTAAAATGTAGGAAAACGTGGTCTAACCCAATCATTTCTTTGATCAAAATAGGCAAAGAGGTTTATTGAGTCCGATAAAACAAATGTACACCAAATCTTTTGGATTTCTTTCAGGATTTCATAGTAAAACACAGTGAGCCTCCCAAAAGTCATTGAGTCGCATGACACAGCACATTGCAAAAACCTGCACTCGAATCCTTCTCCTTGCAGACAGCAACAGGACTCAATGATAATTTCCTAATCGATCCCGTCCCAATTTATTGATTATTCATAAAAAGCCCCATTTTCCCTCCACATTGTTGGTAGTCTTCCTCTGATGAACCCTGAAAGTATGTTCCCAGTCTGCTTTGAGTTCGTCCCATTTCACCATAGACGATGAATTCGGTTTCACAAGTGTCGTGTCTGAGAGCTCTGAGAGCGAGTGTGTGTGTGTTTGGCTGTGAGGAAACTCTGCTAATCCTTAAGCCCATTAATTCTTGTTCCTCTGGAGGGACTTGATGGCCTTGTGGGAGTGAAGTCTGAGGCTCCCAGTCACTGCAGAACGCCGTAATCCTCACCCCTCTGGGAAAACTGTCACAGTCACACTAGCAAACGGTGTGTTTACGCTCATTGTACCTCCATGAATGCGGGCAGTGACACGCGAGCACATCCACAGGCCCGAAGGGATCACTGGAACATGATGACTTTTTATAAAAGGCTGTGTGCCCATGGATATTAGTTTTTTGTTTTGTTTTTATCAAACGATATGGGTAATACAATTGGCCACACTAGGATTAGTTTGAGAATTTTATTTGATATGTGCACTGTTAAGGAAAAGAATTGGGCTTCTTGATTAACAAGTGGTTTGTTAACCAGACCTCCCTGGGGATATTTTTTAGAGCATTATGGATTTTTGTCCTGCAACCGTCTTCAGTCTTTTCCCTTCTTTTCTATCTTTTCCTATTTTAGTCTGAGCATTTTCTTTTCACATTTTGTGCCCACAGCGGACTTCGGCTTTGCCAGGTACCTTCAGAGCAACATGATGGCGGCAACACTCTGCGGGTCCCCCATGTACATGGTGAGCATTGTCCTGTTTACTTAACAGCGTATCTGACACATACATTGTACAGCATAACACTAACTTCATTTATTTGTTAAAACATTAACAAGTAAATAAGTCACAATCTCGCTGTGTTTTGTCCCCTCCAGGCACCTGAGGTCATTATGTCCCAAAGCTATGATGCCAAGGCTGACTTGTGGAGTATCGGAACCATAGTGTTTCAGTGCCTGATTGGAAAGGCCCCTTTTCAGGTAAACCTATTTTTACAATTCATGTTATTTTGTTGTGCAATATGACCAGTTTCCTCTTTATCTATGTCATTTATGGATGAACCACCATAAGCATATGTGGACGGTTAAACATCTCTTCAACCATCTCTCTGACCTTTTCAGGCTAGCAGTCCACAGGACCTGCGTCTGTTCTATGAAAAAAACAAGACTCTCAGCCCCAAGTAAGGACTTACAATGGCAGCTTATTTATATATATTTATATGATATATAAATATATTATATTTATCATGACGGTGATCAACCAATTTTAGGTCAAAAAGGGAAAAAAACGCAGTGAAGTTAACCGTTTTTTTCTGGATTCTGGATTTTACTCATAAGAAATTAAACCTTTCTGCAATAGATTAAGAAAAAAAAGTGAAGCCTGGAGCTAAACTTGCAAGACCATATTATCTTTGACAATGTGTTGCTAAAGCTCAATTAAAAAAAGACACTTCTAGACAAATGCTGCCAGCAGGGTCGTTTTAACAGCGGAACAGCAGTCGATTCACAACATAGTTAGCGTCGGACAAGCCCCAAACAAATCCCCAACATCCGAACCTAATGAACATCTACTTTGTATTACCTTAAATCATCTCAAACGAGTAGAGACGGATCATTTATTTAGTTTCAGTGCAGTTAAAGATTGTTCCTGTGTCTGTGCACTATTCGCAGCATCCCCAGAGAGACTTCTAGCCATTTGAGGCATCTGCTGTTGGGTCTGCTGCAGCGCAACCACAAGGACCGCATGGACTTCGGTCAGTGCACACCGAGTACAGGAAAATGAATGAAACGGGTGACCATACACTGCCCCGGCTAGCTTAGCAATGTAGCATTTCATAGGCGCTCATCTCGCCCCATTACCCCGGGGCAACAGATGTAACCGATGTATTCCTGTGTATTACCGTGTCTGTCATACTGTGCGGACGTGTTGCTCCGCTTCACCAACTCCTGCTAATTCCTTTTCTTCTCGTGTCGTCGGCAGATGAGTTTTTTTGTCATCCTTTCCTGGAGGCTAGCTCATCCCTGAAAAAGTGTAAGTAGGAATACACCATATACTTCTTAATGCGGCTGGGCTGGGTAATTGTCAGTAGTATAATGTCTGGCACGATGCGATGCCACTAAGTGCTAAAAGGTGCATCTATTAAAAATAAATTAAATAAGTAACCTTCAACGACAGGACTGAATCTTTCATTTAAATGGTACATTCAGTCATCGGACGAGATTGAGAAGTACGGTGAAGCACATTGTGATGCAAACAGGCTCTTACTTTTTTGTCAGCAGAGCACCATAAACCTGATGCCTGTTGGGGCTTTTCTCAGAGACCACTCAGTTTCTCAAGCCGCCCTCGTGCGTATTCCTTGACTTGTCTAACGAGCGCGTTGCATTTGGTCGCAGCGACTCCCGCTGTGTCCATGACCTGCATCCCGAGCTCTGCCTCGGCCAGCTCCTGCAGCAGCTCCTCCACCTCTCACCTCGCCTCGCCACCGGTTTGTGTTTATTACTTTATTATTTAGTCTGCCGCCCCACCTGAGACTAAGTCATGAGGCTGCTGTTTCAGAGCCAAGTAAACACCTATTCCTCCCACGTCCGTGCTTCCTGTCTCTGTTTACCTAAGACTTTCTCTCCTCCCGTCCCTTCCAGCAGTCTCTCGCCGAAGGTCAGCACTTGCGTGCCAAAGCTCTGGCCTCCCCTACCCAGGAGGCTGCCGGTTTCCTGCTCAAGGACTCCTCCGGTGGGGCTGGCAGCAGCAAGAACTCCTCCTCCTGTGACACAGATGACTTTGTCATGGTGCCGGCTCACTTCACCAGTGAGATCTTTTTTTTTCTTCTACTTTAATCCCAAAAGCCACTGTGCACAGTCTTCGGCTTACTGAAGTCATATTTTAACAGACGTGATTTAATGTGGAATTAATATTTTATAAGCGTCAGCTGTAGTTTGGGTTTACTTTTTTCATGTCTGGTTTCTAATTTTCTTTTCTGCCTGGTTTCCAGCGGGCGAGCTGACGTGTGAGAGTAAGGTGCTGCAGGACAGCCTGATGAACAGCGGGTAAGACACAATGACCGGTTATTCATTCATTTTTTTATATATTGCCATTACCCGTATAAAAACTAATTTAAAGTAGTTTTGTAATAATGTTTAAGAACGCCGCTGTCTCATCCATCATTCAACTAACAGCAATAGTGAGGTCACGTTGTATTCCCTTCCAAAATGACATCTCAATAAAAGTCCTGATGGCGTGTCTCTTTTTAATTAGCTCTCTTCTGGCTTCTGCTGGTCTGTGTGGCCAAGTGAAAACCCCCCCACAATCACCTCCCTGCAGCGGGTCTCCAAGTCCTGTCAGGTAACGGCTCAGCTCTATCTGTTATGTGGTCGTGGTGATGCAGGTGGTGCTGTGTAGCTCACGAAGCAAGAACCCGTTGGAGCTGGTTCTGTACATTGTATTCCCTGATAGAAATTACCTTTTACTTTATTCAACTTCAATTCCTTTGGCCCACTTCTTCTACCTGTCGTCGGCAGGCCCAGCGAGTTCTCGGGAAGTAGCTGCGGTGGTAGCTATGGAAACCATTGCCGGTCGTCGCCTATCCCAGTACCCAGCCAGGTCCAGAACTACCAGCGCATGGAGCAGAACATGCACTGCACCAGGCTGGATGGCTCCCCCCGGTCGGTACCGCTGTTACTAATCCGCACGCATCGTCTACATTACCTTTGACTGACTCGCCAACGTTGCGTCACCAGGCCGTCCGCACCCGTGCGTCGCTGCAGCAGCGGGAGCTCGTTGGGCTTCGCTCGGGCCGGTCCTTCGCCCCCCTGCGGGCAGGGGGCAGCCCACGCCAATCGCAGGCTCTCCCTCGGAGGCGCCCGACCTTTCCAGCCGTCCCCACAAGGTACCGCAGAGGCTTCACCTCGCACTGAAAACCACATCCTCCAATGCGCGTGTCGGGGTGGAATTAACGCGCACAATATATATATATATATATTCCAGACTTTCAGGCGGGGCGCCCCCCTGATATAACGCTAGGGGAAACACTGGTATAATAAAGTGGTTAGGTGCAGTACTAGAAAGTCACACTGCAGTACACCGGAAATTCAAGTGCACACAAAAAAAGGGGAAGTGCTTTTGCGGTTAGCATTTGCCAATGTTCCTCTTAGTTTAGTCAAGTTCAACTCAGGTTGAGGCCATGAACCAACCTCCCACGTACACAGACACTCTCTTTCACACCCCCACTTGCTCTCCACTCGTCTGCGCCTCACGCCGGCACGTTCTCTTCGCTGTCTGGACTTCCAGCACGACGGCGGCGGGGGAGTTAAGCGGGACTCGTCCGCCTCTGCAGTTTGTCTGGATTTCTCGTCTCGTCTGACATTTAATTCCATGTTGCCACCTGTTGTCTAAAAGCAGAAACATTCCGACCTCTGTCCCCCCCCCACAGCTCCTCAACCTCACCCACAGCAGGCGCCCGGGCTCGGCGCGCGTCTCCACAGCGCCCCCTCCTTGTTGGAGTGCACCGGTGCCGCCGGCAAGCAGAAGATCAGGAAGCAGCACTCGGACCCGGCGGTGGCCCCCTCGGCGGGTCTGAAGACCCTCCGCCCGCTGCACTCTTCCCCCAGACTGAGTGAGCTCATGCAGCGCAGTCCCCTCCCCACAATCCTCGGTTCCCCTTCCAGGGTGAGTGTGCACTGTGGGTGTGGGGGAGTGAGAAAAGGTGCGCGCATGCTTTATTCTCAGGAGACGAGTGTCGACAAACCTGTGTTTTTTTTTTTTTTTTGTTCCCCGCTTGTCTCTCTCCACAGGCCATCCCTCCGTTTGAATTCCCGAAGCCGCCCAGCTCTCCGAACCTCGTGACCTTCCTAACACAGCAGGGTTTGGTCATCGGCTCGCCTTGCAGCAGGACTGCTCCGCCAGAGCCCAGAGACGTCGGACAGCGAGCGCTCACACAGGTCATCCAGCCGGCCCACTGCATCCACAGACGCAGCGATGACGCCAAAGTCTTCGGGAGGTTAGATTTTTGCTTTCGCTGTTGTTTTCTACGCGTAATGTCTATCAGGTCGATGCCGCTTATTGAGGGGTAATTGGTAACCTACAATTTCCGGCGAGACCGGAGTGCTTCTGCAAACCGTTTTGTTTTGGATGGAAGGAAATAGGCAGGAAAGAAAAGAGATGTGCTTCTAAATCCTATCGCTCTGTTTCCCTTTTCTCTGTGCGTCCCTCTGGAGCAGGTCTCAGAGTGCAGGTCGTCTGTCTGACATGCTGCTGATGGCTGCGTTCGGACCAGGCGGACCCGTCGGGGACCGAGACAGCGCAGAGAACTTGACCTCTGAGAAAACCATAGACATAATGGGTAGGAAACCTGGCGATTTGCCTCCACGAACGTACGTCTGGTATTCAGGATTTCTGTTTCTTCGAAATCCGTTTTAGTAGTTCTTAGAGCATCCGAATTGTCGATCAATATCCATCTCCGACCTTCACTCACGGGTCGTTTCTTGTCTGTAGTGCCGCCGGGCGGTGGGGGAAGTCCAGCGCCCGGCTCAATCAGCCCCGCTCAGGTGGTTTTCACGGTGGGATCTCCTCCCAGTGCCAGCAGCCCACCTCATACCTCCAGACAAAGGAAATACTCAGGTAGCTCATGCACATCAAACAAAATGCAGGTCAATTGTTTGTCTCCGCGTCCCCTCTGCAGCTCGCAGGGATCAGATTCCACCTACGCAGCAGCATTAGTGTTATTCTCCGCTCATTGCACAACAGCACTGGGAAGATATTACTTTCAATTTCCATGATGTGGAAACTTAATTAAATATCATGGAGGCGTTATGAAAGGCTAATTTTATTTTATTTTTCCATTAAACCCAACTATGGGGAGATGTAGCTAAATTCATTTTTTTTTCATACAGGCAATTTTCTAATTGGTAATTGGAGTTTAGAGCAAAAGAGATAAATTCATGTAGCTGCTGGCAGATGTTGATCATTTACTGGAACAAATCTCTACTCAATACAGTCGTCATCAGGTGTGAAAGAAACAGGCCTGGCATTCGATTAAAAAATAAGAAACTTCTTACTTACGTTTAGCTTTCTCTTCCTTTTTTTTTGTGCCATTTCTTTCTGACTTCCTGATTCCTGCAGGCTCGTTCGCCTCGGTCAGCCCTGCAGGTTCCTTCACAAGCCGCTATCCCCAGACGTGCACCTATCTGGATGGCTTTGAGGCTCCTTCCAGCCCCCGCTACGGTTTCACCGATCCTATCACGGCTAACATGGGCGGTCGTGTTACCTTCGAGCCGCCCGAGCTGCCCGAGGAGACGCTGATGGAGGTGAGAAGTAGTGTTTTAAACAGCTCGAGAAAGCAGGAAAAAAGGAGTCGTCATTTGTGTATCCTGTGTATTTATGCAGCAATTACTTTACAATTGCTGTGTTTATTCCCACGAAAGCTTGATATGAAACCTTATAGGAGCATAATGTCGTTGATCCAGTCATCGTGGTAAATTAGCCTAATGTGGAATCTGAGGGTGGAATAACAAAACGCATCGGTTGACCCGCCTCCGGTTAATGCTTTCCTTCATTTCACCATTGCAGACTTAATTGGAAATTACAGTCTGTCGCCTTCTGTTTCCGATGTTATGTCCCAGAATAATAATAATAATAATCTGTCTTTCTTCCTGCCTCTGTGTGGAGAGCAGCAGGAGCATACAGACATTGTGCAAAGCCTGCGCTTCACGTTGGATTTCGCCCGCTGTCTGATGGAGGTCGCCGGAGCCTGTGGGGTCGCGGCGTTGCGGGAGCAGGAAGACGTCTCTCATCCCTGCCTCCTGCAGCAGCAGAGCGTGGTAGCAGATCAGATAAGCTCACTGAGCCGAGAGTGGAGGTGAGGCACTATCAATCACGTCTTTGTGGACGGCTAGGATACCCAATTTGGGTAGAAAATTAATTCAGTGTAGATCTCCTGCGAGGGGGGAAATATTTTTAAACCAACCTTGTGGACAAACTGTTTTTGATTCGATTTTTTTTTTAATTGGCAAAACGCTTTGGGAAGTGAGTTTTTTTCACTTAACTGCTGTCAGATTTGCGGAACCTGCTCATGGCTATTGATCCTAATTGTATAAAACACAATTTGTATGCTCAAGACAGGCTGATCTGACAACGATAGTTGTAGAAGGTGAGGGCATGTCAGGCCTTCCAACATTTGGGAAAACACACTGCGGATGAGTTTGATAATGAGGAACCTGTAATAGAACGTGAATGTGAAAGACTTCTATCGCCTCTGGGACAATCAGATTTATTGTACTGTAAATTTAGTGTGTGTGTTTCTCTCCTCAGTCATGCAGAACAGCTGGTCCTCTACCTTAAGACTGCAGAACTCTTGTCCACTGCCTTACACACAGCCATGGAGCGAGTGAAACAGGGCAAACTCTACCCATCCTCCACAGTCAAACAAAGTAGGAGCCATTGGTCTTTCTAACTAGGATGGTCTCGTTAAGGCCTCATTATTGCTTATGTGTGTCCTGGCATCTCGTTAACATACACTCGTGTCCATGTGCAGTCGTGAGGAGGCTGAACGAGCTGTACAAGTCCAGCGTGGCCTCCTGCCGCTCGCTCAGCACCCGTCTGGAGCGCTTCTTTTCCAGGAAGCACCGTTTAATGGACCAAATCACCTCCATCACAGCTGAGCGGCTGCTGTTCAGCCACACTGTGCAGATGGTAAGCATGGGGGGGATGAGAAATGTGTTGGGATCACTGAGGAGCGCGTTAGGGTTATTGACCAGCAGGCCGGAGCGTAATTGTTCAGAGACTGTGTGTGTGTGTGTGTGCATCCAGCATAGAAATTAAAACCGCATTAATTTGCAGCCATAGCGCATGTATGGCAACACTGGTGTAAGGCCACTAGAGTAGCTTGAAGCTAATAGTATTTCTATAAATGGATCACACGTTTGTATTATGATATATTGTATAATTGCTAAGGAAAGAGGACCACACAAAGCAGGCGAAACAAAAGCTGATTGACGCTGTCCGTGTTTTAATCAGGACTCAAATGAAACATTTTACGCTACATTGACTCCTCCTGGTGTCCTCTCAGGTGCAGACTGCTGCACTGGACGAGATGTTCCACCAGGGCGAGGCGTCCGTCCTGCGCTACCACAAAGCTCTCCTGCTGATGGAGGGCCTGTCTCTGCTGCTCACTGAACAGGACGACATCCTCAGCGTTAGCAAATGTAAGTGTGAGAGGGAGGGAAGTCTCCACTCGGCACCGCAGCGCGACGTTCCCGCAGATTTAACGGAATTAACTCTGTATATCCCGTCTTATCTCCGCACGCAGGCAAGGAGTGCATTGAACGCCGCCTCACAGCTCTGCAGTCGGGACTCTGCGTTTGACAGCGTGGCCACGATGCCCGTCATTTGCACCCTGCACATTACCAAACAAACCAAATCTCCACACACAGCTCATGGTTTTCACTGACAAATTCTTTTTTGTCCTAAAGAGAAACCACAAGGCTGGCTGGTTTTGACTCAACCGTTGGGGCCTGTGCCCTTTAAATGGTTCACCATTCCTCACAAGTTCTGGACGGTGACGGTGACTTTTCCGAGCACTAAACTCGTGCCGGTTTTGGACACGTAGCACCTAAGAATGTCTCCAATCTTGTCTATGTGAGTAGAACTTTGCTCCGGCGTGTGTGTGTGGCCGAGAAGACGATTCCTCTCATCAGGCGCTACACCTGCAGGATTGATTATTACCAAGTAGTCACATACCTTCATGCAAGACTTAACTAAACATTAACAGATGGCGTAAGATGGGCACACACCCATCCTGCAACTTTGCAGTGGGCAAATGTATTGACAAAATGTGATCTTTTACCAAGATTATAAGCTGGAGGGATGGTACAGTATCTGCAGTACACGTATACTATACATATAGAGAAAGGGCGTGTACTGATGAAGGGCGGCAATGTCCAAGTATCAATCTCATCAAATGTGTGTGTTAAACCCATTGCTGTCCTGGGTTTCTTTATTTCTGATATTTATCTAAATGTTATTTGCTTGCTGGAGAGGAGTTTAGATAGCAATGCGACAGCTTGTTTGGAAGCACATACTAGCACTATTACAAAACTGTTGCCAAAATGTGTTTTATTTCAAATATCTGTGCGTAGCCGCGCCGGTTCGGTCGGAGTCACTTTACAGATTCTAAATTTAGGCTTAATGTTAAAGACCACGTTCCATTGTTAAAACCATAGTGCAAGAGGGATTTGGTGTTTTAAATGCTGGCTGGTATTAAAGCTGCAGACAGAACACAATCACAAGCCCACTGTTAAATAAAGCTTTTAATCCAGCACTGGTCTTTTAGCCTCCCCGGGTGGAAACATGCTAAATGTGCTGCAATAACCTGGGGTGCATTCTTCAGTCATACAGAAGCTCGGGTGCTGCAGTTGCTGGTTATTGCCTTCACATGATTCCATATTCTGGCTGATCATATGTTATTAATCAATCATATTGGAGCTGAGCAAGTTCAATCAAATTTGAATGTAGGGCTGACAGAAGAGGGACGACGTTAATACCAGCCCATTGTTGCTAAAGTCGAGGGTTCGTCCCAGGATTGACGTCTGAACGTTTTTGCACTGTTGAAGTACTGTAGGAGGAGATCTTGTGTGTTAAATGTGTCCGTTTTTCTATTTACCTATAGACGTATGTGCCCGCTTAGAGGTTTCAATTCCACGCTCCATAGTTGCTGTCAAAAGGCACTGTGTGTTAGATGTGAGAATGCTGACAAAGAGATGGTATAAGCTATAAAACCTTATAGAGAGATTTCTTTTGAAGGAAAATAAAAAATTGCTTTACACTGAAAAATGATTTGCGTTGACTTTGCCGTGTTCGGTGTCAGAGTAGTTAATGGGTTGCAATTATTTGTTTTGAAAAGTGACCGGTTGGATTGCAGTGCAAGTTAAAAATGTGTATTTTACCTAATATATTTCTGTATTGTTTATCTTAGCTGCATACCTTTTTACTCCCCTGAATTTTGGCCGGTTGGGAAGTGTAAACTTCTACTTTGAAGTTTAAAGGTTTGTAAGGATGCATGAATGCATGCATGTGTGATGTGGTTATATGTATTATTGGATAATGGGGGTTGTTAAAGGCTTTGCTCCGCAACTAGATGTGAATGATTGGATTTAGACTCCATTTGATTGTGCGTATGAGGTTCAACACTATCCACTGAAAATCTGATTTTCCAAATGTGTAACTAGCTTTCTCGTCCCTGAGCTGTATTTTCTTCTGCCTTTTTCAAAGTTAGCTAACGTGGAGGATGTGTAAGCATCTAACTGCATATTTTGCAAGACGTTGTTTGATGTACGGTAAGGGCTGAAGATAGTTTAAGAGGATATTTTTGAAGCCAGTATAGTAGCACTGTCAGCTGAACATTACAGGAAATAGTGATATAATTATATATATTTTATTTTATTTTACTTTTGTCTCTCCGATATTTCTTTCACGCATTTTCTTTGGAATAGCTCTACCAAAAGCATTCTGCATGTGTACAATGTTTGTTGCAGTGTGCATTCCTAATAGCAACTCATCCACTGCCTCTCTGTTTCTCCCATGTGCTTTTCTGTCTCGTCAGTAAGTAGTTGCAATGTCTCAGAACATACAGATAGATGTTACCTTTTTATAAAGCTGATGCATGTCTCACTTTTTAATGTTCCACTCAAACTTTGCTGTTCGCTATCTGAATGCCAAGTATGTGTGGACAAAGTCAAAAGATAATTTGTGCAAGTTTTTGCAATGACATTATAAACCAGCAGGGTGGTGTATTAAGTGCAGAGTCGTGCCCTTTTCCTAGCATGTGTCCGCTCTGCTGAAGTGTCTTTGGGCAACATGCTTTTTCCCAACGAGCGTTAGGGCTACTGTTCAAAGTATCACGCTAAAATACAATGTAATCGGTGAAGTCCAATTATACATCTGTCATTGTTTTGGATTATTATTTTGTTTGTTTGCTTACTCAGTCTGGACCGACTGTAAATATTGTAAAGTTATTGCTGTAGTTAACGTGATGCCGCAGTAATGGAGAGAATGGCACCGTACCACCTAAACATTTCCAAAGAATAGGCCTTCTTCTGATCTTCCATATTGTCTCTTACTGTTGCAAACACATTTTAATGTTGTCATATCTATGACAGACACACTCTCTGTGTCCCTGTGTGCAATGTAACCTTCACTGTTTGAGAGTCGCAACATGAATAAAGTGAAAGGAAGGTAATTTTTGGGGTCTCAAGAAAAAGTGAGTTTCCTTTTGGGGTTTTTATATAACATTCACAAGAGATTGTTTTCCCTCATGTCAGTTAGTATATTGTCCGGCTGCTGACCCAGTTAACCTGCTGCTAGGACCAATTCAACTTTGGGACTTGCACTATGTGGTTATACAATAATGTTTTAACACGGTTGCTACGATTTATTACAAGTCACATATATTCAATGTTACCGCTGGTTATTTCTTCAAACATAACGTGAACAACAACATACGATGTCTACCAATACATTGTATGTTTCACAATAATGGCAGTGTGTTTTGTTTGGAAACTGCTGCAATGATTTTCATAATTTATAATCAGACTGCCCCTAACCAGCTGCACCAATCAAACGCCTATGTTTAAATGCGTCATCTACGCCGCAGCCAGTCCCAGAGTTGTAGGGGGGCGGGACCTTACGGCAGCCTGTTGGTTGTCACGGTAACGTTGTGTGTGAGTGGCACGCGTGTCAAATGAGTGCGCAGGTAGGTCAGAGACGGCTGGCATGGGAGCTGTTTATAAGCCACAGACTTCTGCAGACTAGTTATTTTCCTCCTGTTGTTGTTGTTGTTTGCTAACAATGCAAGTTTGTTCCATTTACTCACCGTTGACGTTAGCATTAACGCTAGCCTGTGCGGAAACAAATACCGTTAGCGTCACTGGTCGCTTTTGCTAGCGTATAACTCAACAACGTTAGCCGAACGCTAAGGTTAGCTGAACGAAACCAGAGCCATGTCGAGTCACAGCCTGCCACCCGTACGGCATTTACCTCACTGGACTCGAGTCGGGACTCTCGGGAAGTCTTGCTCTCCGCCGCCTTTACTACCGGCGATCCACCAGCAACAGCTGCGGGCCCCCCCACCGGCGGCGGCGGGCGCAGGGGCGGGCCGGGCGGCAGAGACGAGCTGTCGCTGCGACGTGGACCCCCGCGTCGCCTCCCTGCAGAAGAATATCCAGTTCCTTCAGCAACAACACTCGGGCACGCTGCAGAAGCTCCATGCGGAGATAGAGTATCTCAGGCGGGAGAATAAAGGTGAAGACCGCAGTGGAAACGAATCCCGATATTGTTAGTTATTTACACATGGCTTGTGTTTTCTTGACAGTTGAAGGGGAATAAATCACATTAGAGAGACTGAGGATGTATTAGAGTGAGACGCGTTATACACAATACATATTTTTGTTTTTAACGTTAAACAAAAAAATATTAATGCGCTCTAATTTGCTGCAGGTTTTTTTTTTTGTTGAATAGCAAAAAGACAATGCTTTTCAATTAATAGTCTTATTCATGGATAAAAAAAATAGTACCTCATTTCACTCCAAAGAGAAAATAGTTTGTCATGCAATCAACTACTATGTGAAGTAGAATAACCTATAACTTTTTTCTCCTTCAAAGGGTGTCAACTTATTAACCTGCTATTGATTCCACGGGACACCATTTATATAATGAATCCAAGTTAATGAAAAAGACCTGTCCGTCTTCTGATAAGGTGCTGAAAAGACAGATATTTAATCTAGGTACCGTGGTTGCATAGCAACGCCAGGCCAGTGATGGTCTCTCAGTGGGGGGGTGAACAACGATCCAGTTTCCCATTACTGAACAGGTCACATGCTGTTCCATATAAATCCATCTCACCACCTACCGGGAGCCTCTCAGCTCATCTGTCTTTGTGCAGTCGGGGGCCCCGTATGTGACTCCCTACAGTATGATGCACGCTAAAAAACTCTTAATGTGGATGTTGCAGAGTTGCAGTACAAGCTGATAATGGAGCCTCCAAAGTCAAGTAGAAAAGGTAAGATGGATATTTTTCTGCTATGCTCTGTAATGCTGTTCTCACGGGAATGGGGAGGTTAAAGTATAGTGGACAGTATAAAATCTATTACATTTTATGTATTTATTTTATCTTTATTTTCACAGGCCATCACTGAACTAATCCTAAGAATAGAAATGTTGTGTTGTTGTTGGTATCTCACGCCAGGCCAATTAGGTCGGGTAAAAACTCGGCTGCCAAATAACTATCAATCATTTCTAACGATCCCAGCCTCGGGTTCCTCTTTCTTCTAGGGATGACGTACAGTCGGAGAGGCAATAGACCACCCACTCAGGGGAGTGAAGCTCGTACGGGACTCTACCTGGAGGAGCCGCTGCAGGACACACGGACCGCACGTGACCAAGCGCTAAGGTGAATTTCCATCCAGCTATCTGGTTCTTGTTAGGTTCAAAACGGGCTTTTCAGAACAGGCTGAATGCTCGGCCAGTGGTATTACTGCTGGCAGCGTTCTCTGGGAAACCAAAATCACACTTGACACTTGGCTGCAATGACCAGCCATGACACAGAAACACCCGGGAAATAGATCTTACAGGTCTGGCTCACAAGAAAAAAGGCAGACTTCACTGAGAGGTCATGTTTTAAAACTTGCGCATGGGGCAGTGAAATGTTATAGACTTATTTTGAGATTTACGTATAAAAGGGGTTTAATAATGACGCTAAAAAGGTTCTAAAACAACTAAAAAGGCCCCACAAGCGCTTGCACAATGAAATATGCAAGTTTATTTATTCAATTATCCAGCATATTGCTAGAATTTAAAGGTCCACCTTGAACGGCCATTAAGGGAATTTAGATACATTGTGCCTCTGGTTCACTCTTCCCCTGAAGTTAACATGTACATGCAGCTCTTTATTTTGTGGTATTTGTACAGTTGTGTGAAGAAATCCTTTTGAGAAGATTTACTTTACCATTTTGAAATGGAAACCTTACCAGTAAGAGAAGGGGCGTATATTAAATTACTCCTTTGTGTGGAGTCCTCAAATCACTTAATCCACCTCTGAAAAACACCATTAATTAGAGGTAGTTTCCAAATAGATTCATAAATCGCTTGCTATTACATAACCACCTTGGCTTTAAAGTAGAGTGCGAAACTAATTAGCGGTGGTAAAAAAAATCCAATGATCTCTCATCTCATAGGATCTAAATCACTGTTCAGCTGTCCAGCCCAAAAGGAACTTGTAGCAAAACATGTATGAAGCGCAGTGTAAGTGAACCCGGATGTACAACACTGAATAATATACCCTAGCCTAGCACATGAAGGCGTGTGAAATGAACACGCTAAATTACATTAGCGGAACATAAACGCCGCTAAGAAGATGTGAAACAAAGAGCAGAGTATTCCCAACGTGCCGTGGTACACCACAGCTACAACACAGGAAGACGAATAACACGAGATCACAAAGGTGTGAAACATCTGGTTGACAATTTTGACGTTTTTCCATGAAAAATCTAGAGTAGATAAATGAGTAGATAAATGTATAATTATTTGTCGTTCACCTGATTTGATGTTATGGATTTCTTCTTACTCTAACGAAATACAATGTATTATTTCATAAAAATATATATTGCCAAGACATATCGTTTATTATATTAAGACATATTCTTCAGATACTACTTGTACAAGCAAGTCCAAAGAACACATTTGAGTCTTGATCCGTGACCCATAGGTGACGCAACGAGGCGTTTACAACCAAAACGGCCTTTAACATCTCACCTGTTTATTCCAATTGTCATTGTCTCACTCACGGCAGTGAAGAGGGCAGCGAAACTCTGGGCTCTGCCCGTCTGGACCACGACCCAGACGTGAGGGGGGGCCTCATCACCTCGTTGCAGCCGCTACGCATCCACAGCGACCCCTCCCATCCACCGCGCGCCCCCACGCTACAGGAGTGTGAGGTCATCATCCGCCAGCTCTACAACGCTAACAGCTTACAGTCTCAGGAAGTAAGTGCCCCCACCCAGCCGCTTGGAATTAGAAAACTACATACCATTTTTATGTTGTTTATAGAACTTTCGGTGGAAATAATGACATGAGTTTATGACTCGTTTAGATTATTCGTGTGAAGGCGTTGCTGAGAGATATTGTTTTGAGCAAGAAAATCACCCCAGAAAACTACCTTCTCACCAAGGCCTACCTTGTTGATGGTACCCGGTAAAGTGATAACATATATTACATTTAGTTATCTTTGCCAGTATACTGTAAAGGAAAATAGCACAGTTGTGTAAGAGGGTACCTCTGTTCTTTTGCACTTCTCAGCAAATCTTCTGAAGACAATAAACTTCCAAAGCTTGGTGTTCAAACGCATCCGGAAAAAACGTATGTAAATCTACGTAGCACATTGCTCAGTTCTTCTTTACATTTACTGGCTTTTGTAACCAAAACCGAGGCTTTTTGCAGTGCTGCTCTTGCCATATTAAACCTGCGCATTGTCCTTCCCAGGTTCGGAGCCCCCCGGCCTGCGGTGGTGCTTCCGGCCCTCAAACATAGCCTGAGCTCCAGCGCGGCAGAGAGGCAGAGGAGGACGCGCGCTGTGCAGAGAGACCGCTTCAAAAGGACGGTGCATTGACAGGATGAAAAAGCTCCTGCAACACATAGCTTCATTCGTCTCAGTGTCAGGGCTTTTTCATGGTTGTTCTAAAAAGCACAGATGATATGAAGACTAAAAAAAGTTATGGACAATTTATTTATTTATGTTGGCTGATTATTTCAGGACATTTAAAACATCTCGAATTCATGTTTATTTTCAAAAAAACAAATTAGTTGGTTTGGTTCTTAGTTAGTTTAGTTGTCACTGTAATTCTGCCAAAATTCTGGTGGGATTGTTGCATAATTTGTGTAAATAACCTGTTACTTTTAAAACAGTCGGTAAATAATCAAAGTTGAGCCTTTAAAAGCACATGCAATTAATGAAAAAGGAGGGACTTATTATCCTTATTTCTCAGGCACTATTTGTCTTGGTTTGTGTTCATGTTGTTGTGCGTTACCACTCGAGCACCTGCAGCACAACTTCACACAGCAATACAAAACTCTACTAATTTGAACAATAAAAGCGATCTACTATTTGTTCGTTTTTTTTTTTCAGATTTCAACAACAATGCAATTCATCTTTTGGCAATTGTGTGAACATTTCTCAGTAAGTTGTTGCACAGTTGTGAGAAAGTTAACAGATTCAAAAGAACAGAGCTACATCTTACAACATAAATCGAAATGTACCTTAGTGTTATTCTTGGCGTACAACTCAACACAAGTTAATTTACCTGAATAAATTACAATGAATGAGATGAAAAGCTCCACATCAATCACACCTCAAGCCGCAGCTCACAAGGCCAGTTGTCCTGTTCAATTAAGTAAATAACCGTCTGTGCAAACACTAGATGGTGGTGTTTCTGAAGAAACGCTTCTGTGGGCATCCAATAAATCAAAGACTAAATATGTTTGGCCACTTACGCAAGACTATGTAATAACTTACCTCGGCCTCATTTCCAAACCTTGTGTAATGTATTATTTCATTTCATTGATATTCTGCATACAATCTGTGGATTCATTATGACCACAGAATATGCAATTATTCATATGATCAACCAAAGAATCTGTACCGAATGGTTGAAGGTTCATATTCAATTTAATGGTTTAACCCCCGTGCTTGTGAGAGGTCAACATTATGCCTCCCTCACTATTAGCCCTCTTAAACTTTTGTTTCTGTGGAGGAAGAGGCCCTGTTTGTGTGTGTCCATCCTATTTTTTGCACCACTGCGTTGTGGTGGGAATTGGCAGGCGTGAGCCATTAAGACCCAGTGGGTGCAAATCTATTAACATTCACACAGCGTTGCAGCGATGAGAGCTGCTCCGGACCAGCTGCAGCCTCCTGATGCACGTTCACCAAACCTCAACAAGGAATAGAGCTACAGCGTTGTATGTTGTACTTTCATTAATTAGCAGAAGTTGAGTCGCCACATTGGACAACTTGTGCTCAATCCGAGTTCTCCAACATATTCTTTGTTTTTGTATCCCTCTTTAGACGCACTCCACTTAAATTCACGCTCTCCCTTCCTGCGCATTGTGTGGTGGAGTTGGGGAGTTCCAAATCGATTTGGCACAGTTCTGTGCCAGATAACTTATGAGTATAAATTGAGAGGAAGTTAAAGAACAAGAGGAAATTCAAATAGGGAAACGTGTAAAAGTGTTTACGGGTGGTGGCGTGAAATAGTTGTTGACTGAGCACATATGCTGCACCTCAGACATATGAGCCACGCATTTAACATTACACCGTTATTGTCGGGAAGTTGAAATTGTATTCTGCATTGGGAACCCCAGTGATATAAAGATCTCCAGCGCTCTTTACTTTGAGACTTTACTCTGTAGATGTATACAGTGGTGGTTAGTATCTAAGTAAATGTATTTGTACTTAAGAGAGTTGTCACTTAGTACTTATTTACTTTTACGTCACATTTAACACATAATTATGTAAAATGCAAATATTTAATATTTTATATATATATATATAGTTCAAAATTAGTGTTATTACTTAGTTTGCACCTTAAGAAATAGAAAAACAAAGAAAAGTTGACATAATGACCCCCCCAGTCAACTTCACCAGCAAAATACTACTTCCACACAATGCTTCAGTTTTTAACAGTCCGATACTCAGACATTAAAAAGTAAGATTGACTGCATGAACTGAGCGTATTAATCAGCTGTTATTATACTACTTGTTGCGTTTTTAAATGCAGGATTTTCACTTCATGTATTTTTTCACTGTGGTATTGCTACTTGTTTTTCTTCAACCACGGTTTATTCTGACAGATCTACAGGATATGGATGTGCGACATAATGTGAGATGTACTAATCGCTTGTGTTGAAAGAAGTTGCGCCCTGATGGTGTTAGTCATGTAATAAACAAATGTTTAATTTATTGTAATTTACAATTTGAGTGAACTAATTGTGCACAGTACATTACATTACATGTCATTTAGCTGACGCTTTTATCCAAAGCGACTTACAATAAGTGCATTCAACCAACTCAGAGGAACAAGAAACAAAGTGCAATTTCCTCAAAAAAGCCAATTTACATTTGGCTATAGATGAGTGGCGTTATAAGTACAATGACAGTGCTACAATTTGTTAGTCTTTTAGTCGAGGTAGAGTCTGAATAGGTGTGTCTTTAGTTTGCGGCGGAAGATGTGAAGGCTCTCTGCGGTCCTGGTGTCTTCAGAGAGCTCGTTCCACCATTTCGGAGCACATATTGAACTGTCAGTGACAGTAGGCCTTTAGGGTTGTGCTGCTCTAATAAACACATCCGCCATGTCTTCTTACTTTGAATGCTGGGGGTTTGCCCCGAGACGATGACATCACTGCTTTATCGGTTTTTTATACAAAATGTTCTGCAGCTGTGTCATGGAAACATGATTGACACTTCGTTCGGGGACCGGAGGGGGCGTGGTCTCGCCCCCCCGCCCACCGCGTTTCCTCCTCCTCCTCTTATGGGCGTCGGTGACGTGCGGATAGAGAGTCGGACCTGCCCTCCCGCCGCCATTTTTTCGGTCTCGTACTCGTACTTCTGGCGGCTCGGGTAAGGGGGGGGGCAGAAATAAGGGAAAGTACAAAATACGAATGCGTTAAACCGGTATCACCTCGTGAAAGAGTCAGGAGTACACGCGGGAGCTGCGGCGCAACGGCTGCTGCGAAGTCGGTTTGTTTGTGTGGAAGACGTGTTTGCGAGCCGCCATTTTTTTGCCGTGCTTGCCTCTAAAAGTCTGTTCCGACTCGAGAAAGGGAATTCAAAAACGCATTTCCATGACGCGCGGCGTAGCGTAAGATCGAGAAGATACAAGCTAATCATTTCGTTTCCGACCAGTGGCCGCTGGCGACTTTTTTTTTTTTCTGGGTCGACATGAGGATTTATCAGATGAAAAACGGAGGACCCCTTTCTTTCCGCTCTTGTAACTGACACTGCCTAACGGAGATACAATCATTCGAAGAGACGCCTGGTGCTTCTCGGAAGGCGGAACGAAAAGGGGAAGCTCCATCGATCATTTGTTGCTTTGCCCTCCGTCGATGGCGTTAGTTTTTTAGTCGTTTTTGGCCGTCCAAAACACGCAGGGACCACATTCAGTTCCGAAGTTGGATCGAGCCAGTCGCAGCCTGTCTCGGAACACGGCGGGTTTATTTTTGTTGTCTGTTGTATTTTTTTGTTAAACCGGAGGTCTACGGAGCCTGCAGCATTTGTGCAGAGAACCAACCCCTCGCAAACCTCACAAGGAGACCTGCACCTTCGGAATCCCCCTATTTACTGTGATTGGGCAACTCCAACCACACAAACGCGTTTTAACTTATTGCCTCGTCGTATTTTTTTTGTAATGTGTTTACCCCTATTTTTAGATTGATATCATTTTTTAGCAACGGAAATGTCAACCGCTCGGTTCGATTCGTCTGATCGGTCCGCCTGGTATTTTGGACCCGTGTCGCGACAGGAAGCCCAGAACCGGCTACAGGGGCAGCGGCACGGCATGTTTCTCGTCCGGGACTCGTCGACCTGCCCCGGGGACTACGTGCTGTCTGTGTCGGAGAACTCCAAAGTGTCCCACTACATCATCAACTCTTTGCCCAGCAAGAGGTTCAAGATCGGCGACCAAGAATTCGAGCACCTCCCGGCTCTCCTGGAGTTCTACAAGATCCACTACCTGGACACGACCACGCTCATAGAGCCGGCCCCCAGGTAGGAACCCCAATGCCCCTTCTTACAAAAAAACATTGTCTGAGGGACATTATGGCCTCGTTGGCATGTTTTACCGCCCAAGACCGGATAATCCGGGTTATGCAGGTGGTCTGTTTATATCTAAAGCAACCCACTTTCTGGCCCTGACACCACTCATCTGGTGGGTGTTGTTTTTTTATTTTTAAAGACTTGTGTCTAGCTGGTGATGTTGACATATTTAGGTACTTGCTTAGCTCTCAACTAGATGATGCTTCCTCACCGTCTTTGTATCAGTCTGGGTGTTGCTCAGTCATTTTTATACTTCATCAAGCCTTTTTGCAAACAGTTTGTATGCGCTGCATTATTGGTAAACCTGCATGTGCAAAACTTTCTTATGGATGCACATGAACCAAGTCACTTCCTCACAACCGTACAAATGTTATGTTCTTCACTCGGCCTCATTATTGCAATCTTTCAAGGTACCCGAGCACGGTCAGCGCTCCCATCCAGCCTGTGGGAGGCCCTGAGGACAACCAGGAGTACGTGCGGACTCTATACGACTTCACCGGCAGCGACGCAGAGGACCTTCCCTTCAAGAAGGGGGAGATCCTCATCATTCTCGAGAAGCCAGAGGAGCAGTGGTGGAGCGCCAAGAATAAAGAAGGACGCGTCGGGATGATCCCCGTGCCCTATGTGGAGAAATTGGTTCGACCGTTGCCTCATCCCGGCCAGCCCCCACATGGTTCTCGCAACTCCAACAGCTATGGGATCCCGGAGCCCTCCCACTCGCTTGTCCACGCCTATGCTCAGCCCCAGACACCGTCGCCGTTGCCCCCCGGAACGGCCGGAGTGGTTAACAGCCCCCTCCCGTCCATGCAGAACGGCCCGGTCATGGCGAAGGCCATCCAGAAACGAGTGCCATGCGCATATGACAAAACGGCGCTTGCTTTAGAGGTATTGTACTTTTGAAGTTCACCCATTTGTCTTGTCGTATTTGCTTCCCGTCTTTTCTGCCTGTCTAGGAGATAGCAGTGACTTAGTTAGCTGTGCACCAACATCCTGAATCCCCCCCACACACACACACTCAAAGTGCACCACGGCATCATCTTCTATAATGCAAAAAAAGTGAACCAAGGGGCTGAGTGGGGAAACCACAGCTACTTCCTTATCATGAAAACACTGTGGTGTTAAAAAAACTATAGTTTCTTAGAAACTACTGACATGGCATATAACCTATACATGTATTGTTAAACAAACCACAAATAAGGAGAGGATTCCACCAGTGATTGCTCAGTCAGTCCCCACCATTAGGACCATGTAGGGGAGAGGTGAGGGGGGCAGTCTGATTTCAGCATAGATCATCTCCAACCGGTCGACTCCATCTCAGCGTAAGCCTTTCTAGATGGCCGTTTGAACAGATTTTTTCATCCATCCCCGCATCTATATATTTCCCCAAAGTTGAAATATCCAATAAAATGCAGCTTTGTGTCCGAGCTAGCCGCACCTGTCATATGAAACTTCAGTTTGTGGGTTGTAATATCTAACGGGGCCATATGAAGAGCGTTGGGAAAAGATGTGCGTCAGTGGGCAAAAACCCTTTGAGCTCTATATTTCGTTGATGGGAAACTGACTGCGTCCATCGGTGCAGCGGGGGGCACATGGCGGTAATGATGAAAGGGGTTGATGTTTGCCGGGAGTTGCTGCCAATTTTTTTCTTCTATATGTGTAAAGGTATCATAAGATCACTTGCTGCTCTTCGGCAGTCATCTTACACTACATTTCCTGTGTGGTCACATCAAATTATTCTTAACCCAAAAGGAGCCACACTCAACTCCATTTGCAGGGGGTTGGTGTCCATGTTCATCAAGCTGATTGAGCTAGTTTTACTCCGGGCCGTCTCATTGTGCTGCATGCTGATTCAATGCTGGTGAGCTGCTCCTTGGTGGCATTTATTGAAAGGACCTGAATGTCTGCCATGTTTATTTTGGAAGGCCATATATCTGTTTTTGGAGACACTTTGACAATGGTTAAATAACGGCGGATGGGGGTTGTGTTGAGACTGACTACAATATTATATCCGTACTTCCAATTCTAGGGTTGAGCGGAGACCCATTTCTACCCGTAGTCTGTGGCTCACCTCGCGCTAGCCGGTACACGTAGCAGAGGCCTGCACCGATGCACTTGGCCCCTCTATTGTATTTCCTCGGAGTGCACTCTGGCTAATACAGCTCTGCTTTGACTATGGTAACGTGTCTGAGCGTGTCATGTAATGCATAGGGCTCACATACTGTGCCTCCGAAAGGCTCCTCTCTGACACCGGGCTGAGCTGCAGCTATGCCCCCGGGGGATTGGTCGGCCCATCTCTGCTGCCATTCACTGACGTCACAGTGAGTCAGTGGAAGTAGGAAGTAAACCCGGCCGCTGCAGTGTGGGAGCTGTGATGCACGCTGTCCTATTTGGACCATGAGTCAACCCGGTGATGGGTTTTCATTCAAAAGGTTGAGCAGCGCGGGCTAAGAACATATCCAGCCCCCCTCCCCCTTCGTGCCTTTTTCTCTCCATTTGCAATCACCTGAGGGGAATGCCTGATATCTTGTAATGGTGGGTGAAGACGGTCTGAGTCTTTACCTCGCACCACCTTTCCGTCCTCATCGCAGAGAGAACGAGAGGGCAATCGAGTGCATGCTCACAAGAGCTGAAACAGAAACATGACCTAATTTCTGTCATAAACAATTCTTCATCAGGATGCATTTATTTACTCTTTGTGTCTTAACTTAGAGATGCAAATCAGCAGTCATAAATCTACGGGATTTATTGCTTTGAATTGCATTCTTTTAGCCCGTCCTTTTGCGTCGTGTCCGTACATGTGATCAGGATATGTTGGGATTCGGTTCTAGGTTAACACAGTCTTTCACATACCTGGAATACTTAGTCTGCATTATTAACAATCAACCTATTCTGATATGCACATGTTAACTCCTTGAACTGGGATGTAGTTCAAATTGGATATTGAACTGGTAAAAGTTTAAAACTGCTTTCATTTTTGTCTATATTTAGAATCTCTGTGAAAGTCGTCACATTATGGAGCGTTTTCCTGTCGTGCCGTGGCGGCGTTGAGGATTATTGTTTCGCATAATGTCTCTGGCCGGGTGTCCTTGAAGCCTCGTAAAGCTGCAAACAGTTCGCCCTGCCATCCTCGTTTCCGTCAAGTCTTTTTTAAAATATATATATATTTTTTACTTTACCGTTCTAATCCTGATGCAGAGCATATGGCTCTTCAGATTGGGGTCACGCTCGGTGGCACAGACCCTTCTGAGCGCCGTCACTGCGCCACTCTGTTGAAACCTCAGCGGGATCCCACAAGCAGCTTTTATTCTTGAAATAATGCCTGAATAAATTCTGTGGGTGTTGTGTACTCACCCGAGCTTACAGAGTCTGCAGAGAAAGTTTAAAAATAAAATAATGTGTCATATGCAGAATTGTCTGCTACATTTATCTTGTTTCTTTACTGTAGTCCGGTGCAGCAGTTCATCACCAGCTCGAGGTTTCGATTAATACATTGACCCTTTTTATTCGTAGTTACCAACAATGAAGCTTTTATTTGTCAAGTCTTGTCAAAGTAGGCAGTGCAACACATTCAGGAGTGTGTTCATCTGAGTGGAAATAGTCACTCGTGGATTCGACTGAGTTTGCTTTGCTTCTAATTTCCCCGGATGATTTCTGGAGTGAACTAACCGAGGCGGGTGTTGATGTGTCCACACCGAGCAGCGCAGGAACGGTCATGATGCATAGACGGGATCAAGTGGTGCATTGCACGTCATGTGACAAGGGTCAACCCATTACAGCCGGCAGACACCTTCCGTTTCCCCGCATTAAATTCACGGAGGAGAAGGTCTCGGTGCGCGACTAACCAAAGCCTCACCATCTGTCCCCACGGACTATTCTGCTTGCTTCCCCCTTGCCCGTTCCAAGACGTCTCAACATCAATCTGGCCAAAAGGTTGGCAAAATCCACACAGAAGAGGCCCCTTTAACGTGACCCTAAACCATTACGGGATTATTTAATTTAAGAAATCAATGAAATCATTTTTAAAAAGAATGTCCTTTGTACGTGTTTTTATTGAACCATGCTCCTCCTGTAACTCTGCCCGCAGGTTGGCGACGTCGTCCTGGTTACGCGGATGAACATCAGCGGTCAGTGGGAGGGGGAGCTAAACGGACGGCGGGGTCTCTTCCCGTTCACCCATGTCCAAATCATAGACCCCCTGAACCCGGATGAGAGTGACTGACCAAGGAGTTGGACCGGACCGCCTCGTCAGTATTTCCTGTAGGCTGAATCGGCTGGCTGTGTCCACCTTTCCCGCCAGCGTCACCACGGTTACGTGCTTGCCTGCTTGGGGCTGTGCCGTGATAGCGGCCCCTCTGTTGTTGCCAGCCGTCGCAAGGCTTTTTGACTGTTTACAGCTCTTTGGACTTTGGTTCCAAACTCTAAAAAAAGAAAAAAGAAAAAAAAACTGGCCCTCTTCTCCATGTTCCCTTTTCTCGCAACTCTGCTCCAGGCCGGGCAGTGTTTTTCCCCCCATTAGTGTCCCCTTCCTTCCCAGATCACTGGGTGTGTGTTTGTGTACACGCATGTGTGCGTGTGTGTGCGTGCGTAGATATTTACCACATTATGTCAATTGTTTTTTTATTTTATTTCTCTGAATATTATGTTTTACAGTATTGCAGATTTAGAAAGTTTTTTTGTTACATTTGTGTTTAGGGGACAGCAATGTCCCTGTGGACTTTGGAGAGCACTGAGGCAACGAGGAGCTAACCAGCCAGTCAAATGTTATTTCTCCAAACAATCAAGTCACTGTTGTACGTTAACACACACGCACACATTGGCCATGAGTTATTCAGGTTGACTGTCTTTATTTCCTTCCGTGTTGTGTGACTGGCGTCAGGAGGAAGCAGGAGAGGGAGGTTTGTGGAAGCTCTAGGATGACATCATAGCTCCCTCCTCTCTTCCACCTGGTCCACGTCTGGCTGACGCGACTTATTTATATTTTGTTACTAAGACACAACATGGCCATGAGGGTTTTCATCCTTTTCCTATTTGTGCCACATGATCAAATCTAGTTTGGGACCTTGAAGGTGTATTGTAACCACGTCCACTCTGCACCTCACTTTGCTGTCCTTTGCATTATTTTGAACTGAAAGGATGTTGCTTGGAGAATAGTTGCTTTTTAGTTCCAACTGCGCCGAGGACCAGAAGTATTTTGACTTTCGGCATAGGAGCGCCACGCTATGAACAGGGTTTTACTAAAGTGTCACCGCCACTGAGGGGAGAGTCTCCAGTGGCGGAGCTAATGAGAATCCCATCAATGCCTTTTTCAGAGAGTAAGATCTATGCATCGGTTGGTGCATGCAATCTTCTCTTCAATGTGTGTTTTTTTATTTTATTTTGTGATGCATGTTTCCGCCATCTCTATGACTTATTGATATTTGGTCCGTGCACAATTTGGTCTATTAGTGGGGAAGCATCTTTGTTCCTACAGTCCTGTAAGCAATTTCACCCGTACGAGCAGCCAATTAAGCAGTTGTTGGTCCTTACATTTCTGCTGTAAAAATGCCCCCACCTACCCCCAAACAGGTAAATCTCTCCTCCTGGGGGTTTCCCTCCCATTCACTCAGAGTAATATTGTGCCGCTTTTAGTTGTATCCTGATTTTTTTTTTTTTTTTTTACCTTGCTAGTCTGCTATTAAATTGTGCATTTTCTTAAAATGACTGATGTTATTAAACTTGAGTATCTACGGTGACATTTACAAAAGGGAAAAATGCCTGCTGGTTGCCTCTGTGCATGACCTCTGGGCCGGGGCAAAGGGCTCTGCCCGGCCGAAATGCTGCTTAATGCCATTTTCATCCTTGTTAAATCAAGGTTTATCCCGTTGGAATCCCTCCTGGTGTGTGCAAACGAGCCAGAGTGTGTTTCTCCTCATCAGACCTAATGAGATCTACTAATCAAGCAATACACCCTGATTATTTCCTTTTTGTTGAGGTGAACTTGCTTTTCTATTGCTTCGGAGTTGTTTTTGTAATGGCATTAACAGTATTACTGTGCGCTCTACTCATATTCTAGGAAAGCCTGTCTCTTACTTAAGAATTCAAAATTGTGCCTTTTTTATTTTCTTATACCATTTCCATGTGTTAATATTTCCCATGGTTAACACCTGTGCTGGTATTGACCCCTTTATGTACAGAACAAGTAAATAAAATTTACGTCTACTTCTTTAAATGTCCCCCCCTGTCCTCTATTTGCGTGTTGTCTTTTGAAGAGGCGGTCTGCTGCAGCCTGCGGTCGCACCGAGTGTATCTGGAGCACAGGACAGCTGCTCTTGCTCCAGTTTTTTGACAGTTCCAGTTTGCGCCCAGGAGAAAGGAAGCAATTAATGAATTTTAATGAAGTGCTAATAAAAGCGACGCCGCTGACCTAGAGAACAGGAATGGGAAACTTTTCAAGGGCGGTATTTCAGCTCTGACTTGTTTGTTTAGCACTTTTCAAAGGAGGTGCATACAAAGCTCCAAATAATAATGTTAATCCACAAAGTACCATTCGCTATATATGAGCAGACTGTTCTTAATTAAATATAATATATATCACTATCTATCGGGCCTTTTTAGATGTGCAAAACCCTTTTTTTTTTTTTTTTTAGTTCTTGCTATCCGGATACGAGATATTCATCTTTGGAGGTTACGTGTGTGAAACGGGGCTTTAGATAAACATAAAGAGGATTCCAACAATTAACGGTGGCTTTATGAACGCATAGGTTTGTTGTAGCCATGGCTCCTGAGCAAATGTATGAGTAAAATGCTGCAGTTTCACACGAAAACTATGGGTAAGTCTTACATTTTGGAGAGTCGTGTAATTGTGCCTTTTTTTTTGTTGAACAAACCGTTCCATCATTATGGATGCTGAATATTTATTCCCTTAGCCCCGTGCTCCCTGTCTGCTTTGTGTGAACGTGCAGGGTTAAATTGGCTTTAAAGCGGATCGATGTTTGGCCACAGACCGTAACGGTGTGAATCACTGGGACTGACCTCCCCTCGGGCCACAGCGCGGGCCGGCTGTGTGTTTAGGCGCTGAGCGGTCAATGAAAGCCTTCCTGCAGTCCATTACTACCTCACACAAACCCAAATACGAGATGCAACTTTTTATCTCCACATATACCATGACTTCTTTTTTCCAACATGTATTTCCATTAGTTTTTCCCAACTAGTTTATTCAGCGTACTATACATACAACATATTGTATAATAACCGTTTATGACATACTTTTTTTTTTTACATAGTTACTGGAATTACATCTGATGCAATTTATTTCACTTCGAGGTAAGAGGAACCTGAGGAGAACAATGCGGGTGTCCCCGAGTGACCCAGGCAACTTAAAATAAACGTTAACTCTACATTCTTAATGTCCCACTTTCATACATCTTGGATGCATGGATTTGAATTCAGCATCATTTAAAAACAGACTGAAAACTGATCTTCTCTTGGTGTGGCGCCGTTCCTCGGGCTGCTGTTCTATTTGTATCTTTTTATAGTGATGTTAAAGAAAAGTATCAAACAAAAAAAAAACATGTCAGCTGATATGCTCTAGAAAACGAATATGCAGTACCTGCTCCCTGAAGCTGTTTTAATGTCCCAGATATGGTCTCTCTCTCTCTCTCTCTAGATATAGATCTCTATCGCTCGCTCGCTCTCTCTCGTGAAACATTTAAAGCACAGACGTCGCTGCCTTCTGCAGAAGAAATTGTGCCAGACTATGCTGGTAATTTCACACTGTCATAACAAATCAGGTCAGACACATATATACATATACATGAATACACACAGTTGGTTTCTGAAAAACAATTCAAGTGACCCCCCCCCCACCTCCCATGGAACTATAAAACACTATACACATTGGTAAACCTTTAAACATGGACTTGCTGGAGCGCCCTGCCGGTCAGTTGCCGGTCACCCCCCCCCCACGCCCCCCTTTCTCCCCAACCCCCATAATAACAGCACCCTTAAGGCTTTCACTCGATTCTCCCCATCAGTGATGTCACCGTTGCTCACCAACAGGAGTAGGAAAAGAGCGGGTACTGGGTCCAATCCGCCGCTCGGCCCTGGTGGTAGACGTGTTGTTGAGCGTCGTGCTGGGAAATGGGACGGAAGGTGGCCGACCGGTCTGCGCTGGTTCCGCGTGATTGGAGGAAAGAAAGGGACTTCTGGAGGGACGAAAAGCGAGACGAGAAGTTTACATTTAATGGATGGTCGGTTTGCATTTTATTTTTCCCTCTACTGTCCAAGCGTGATGATCTCGCCCTGGGTGGGCTATCTCAAATCACCTGTAACACTGGTATGGCACGGATGCAGGCACCATCTGTTCTTCACAGCTGTAATCATACTCTTGCAGCTCCAGGGGCTCCGATAGTAGACTCTCAGATGGGTCCTGCTCCGCAGCCACGGCGGAAAGGTCAGCGCCCTTCAGCGGCGTCTGCGTGGAAGCCGTATCCCGCTCCGTCTGCACCGACTGAGAGGACAAGGGCATCCTCTGTAGGCCTTAGGTACAATCACAATGTCAATAATAATATCGGGGGGGATTCCTGTTAATTGGGTTAATTGTAGTTTGAAATCCTCAAAACTTACCAGGAGGACTGTTGCAAAGGGTTTTCCTGTCCGGTGTGGCTTTTTTTGGCGGAGGGCTTCTATTTGAATGACACCTATGGAAAGAATTGACTTTGTCAAAGCATTTTTAAAAACATTTCTGCACATTTTGTGTTAGCCGGACAATTTGTGGTAAAAAACCCTCTTTAATTTACAGAGTAAAACAAAAGCAGTAAGTTATTGCATCATTTTGTGTATTCCTACCTTTTGATTCGGAAATGTGTGCCTCCTTCCCTGAAGCCCTTAGCAAAGGGATTGTGGTGGATCTTCAATTTGGTGATCTTAAATAAGCAAAAGTAGATTGTTGGTGGTGCAATGTGTTTGTGTTACATTAAAACCTTGAAAATAACCACATTTAAGTTGGGTTAAAGTTTTGTACAAATCTGCTGTGCAAGCACGTACCCTTGGATTTTGGTAAGCCGTCACTGCGGTGAAGGTTGTCTCTGGAAAGGAGAACGTCTGAAACGGGGCCCAGCAGATGGTGTACGGACTGTCGGCCTGGGTGACGTAGAACCTGGGGTAGTAGCGGTGCATGGAGTGCAGGACGATCTGTTGGTTAAGAAGAAGAGAGAAAACTCGAGTAAAGTTAAAACTAGACATTACGTCGGTGTCGTCACCTGAACTGTGAATGCCGAGACGAGCGGTCTTACGTGGCCGTGTTGGTCCAACGTGTTGTTGGTGAGCTTCATCCTGAGAAAGGACAACGGCTGCTTCATCCAGTGACTTCCCGGGGCAGGAGAGTCTGGGTGCACGTACGTCCGACACGGGGGCTGAGGCTCTGCCTTCCCTGCGGCCTCCCACTGCTCCTTTTTCCACTGCAGAGAAACAGTGAGGGAGGGGGGGGGGGGATGCAAAGTCATCAAGCATCACACCTCAGGGCATGTCTGATTAATCAGAAGTCTCGCCGAAGCATGAAATACGTTTATTTTTTCTTTTTTTTTTAACAATACAATTCAGAGAGGGGGTGCATTGTGTTTAGAATGTTTTATTAAGGGGTAATAATAAACTATCCCTGTTTCAACAAATTCACCCCCCCACCCATGAAAGCAAAGTCTCTCAAAGCTCTTCTAAAGTCCTTTCCCTTTATTATGTACCTCTTTGTTTCAAGTGTGTGCCCAAAGCGATATCTGTGACCAAATGGGCCTCAGCAGTTGGTGCAAGAGTCGTTGGATGTATGAATGGGCCGACTGCTACTCATTCAACGATATGTGAATAAGGAGGGATGCTAATTGATGGGGCTTCCAGCCGGGACTGCACAAACAGGAAGCAATGAAAGGCTTTGAAATGCGGCCGTGAGCGGCTCAAAGTGGGCAGACCCGCGTCTGGCCGCAGACTGTTGCGTTTTTTTTTGTTGCATTCTGCTGTTTTTTCATCCACCAAATGATCAACTCCAGCGCTAAACAGTATGCGCTTACCTTGTATTTGAAGCCGTCTGCGGGGACCATGTCTATCATGACGACGTAATTAGCGAAAGGTTGGAGCCCAGATAGACTGATGCTGCAGTGGGGAAACATCCTCCTGAAGCAAAACACAAGAGTTGTGTAAAAATATGTGCAACTCCTTTGCTCTTTTAGCGCAGCATCTTTTAGCATAGGACAATGTGTTACAGACAAGGTGATAAATGACACGATCACTATTGGCAGAAAGGAGAGAAGTAGAATTTGTTGGGCAGGATTGGTACCTTCCATGCTTTGTAATAATCATCTCTGTTCCAAAAGTATGGAAGGACTTCCAGAGATCAGCGTTCTCGAGAGTCATCCTGATGGAGTCCTGCTGGTACGAGTCAGCTGCTGGGGGGGACCGGGTCATCCTCAGACTTGATTTGTTCTGTAGGGAAAACACGCATGTGAACAACTCTGCAAAATCGGATGTGTTTATAAAACATGTGGCTGATTCATAGAAAAGTCATCAGGGGTTATTGAATACAGTCACACCCTGTAATCAATTGCATTTCAATTGAAAGCAAAGTAAAATAAATAAAAATAACTTTTCAATTCACGGTGGTTCGTGTGAGAACAAACCGCTGCATTCCATTTCACATTGTTGTCATACAGCACAGTCAGATCTGATTCCACAAAACTTACCAGAAACGTGTTGCTTGTTACTTTGTCTGCCTGTTATCGACACCAACGCCGCCTTGAGACAAAGTGCTGCTTTCAGATGTTCTCAGATGGGTCTCTATCCTGCTGAACTCGATTGGTCATCACAGAAAGGGCGGAGTCTGGACAGCGGAGGGGAGGGTAGATGGAGGGGAATGGGGGCCAGGTGAGAGTGTTACCTGATCTTGTTCAATTTCCCTGGTATCGGAATGTACGCTTACAGAAATAGCCATGAAGAAAGGCGTTTGGGTTTTATTCTAAGCATGTCTTTAAAATAAATAATATGAAAAGATAACTCCATAAAAGTGCCATGGAGAGATAAATACATACAATCCCTGCGTGTGTCTATTCTTGATTTACTGTCTGTTTGGCTTGGCTGTTGTTATCTTCTGAACAAGACATTGAGGGGTTAGAATACAAACTTAATGATGGGTTGTAAATAATTTTGCAGATACTGATGAAAGAGAGTAAACCACCCGCCACCGGATTCTGGTGCACTCATATTCTGTGTGTGTGTGTGTTAGGCCTGAGAAGCATACAAGATTCTCTCTCCTTCAGTCCAAGTTGAGGGACAGTGAGCAGAATTCCAAGGTGCCTCTGGGGGGAGGGGGGGCAGGCAGACATGTCCCTTCCTGGCAGCTCTGGTTGTGTATTGAGAAGAGATCACAAGATTGCAGAGGTGATTGGGAGTTGCAGTGAAGCCTTAAACAATGCTGGTAATCCTGTGGGGGCATTTGGGCCCGGCCCTCCACCCCGTGTTACTTCCACCCTGGGAGGTGTGGGAGGGAGGGGGTGAGGCGGGGGCTCTTTGCTGGAGCAAGAAGTTAGCAGCCCGTTTATATGCATGACTGACGGGAGGAAGCAGTTCAGGACTTTAGAGGATATTTAAGGAATTCAAAGCAACTTGTTTGTTTAATACTAAATGGATTTTATTGCACCAAACATGTTCCATCCTCCTGCTTCATGGAAAGGTTTAGTCATATAATACATACATTTGTGAGGTTATTGAGATACCATCAGTGTAAAGATCCTACTGCTTCAATGATGAGCTGGAACATGTGAATACAGAATAAATGATACAGTCTGACAGTGGAACAAAAACTAGATGGGTGGTTACAACTTTGACATTCGTAAGATAAAAAGAAAAAGGTGTTGTAAATTATTTCTACTTACTTCAATAAATCAAACGTATTGCATCAAGGTTTCAGATGAGCTGTTCTGAACCATCAATTTACCAAAGAATATAAATCAAAAGGAATCTGTAACAGCATTGATATTTCTCGTCCCTCAGTGAGCTGAGATTTGTGAGGAGAAACTCAGCCTTCAGAATGACCAGACACCTCATTTAAGGTGATGAATGTTTTTCAATTTTATTATGATTCTATTTCATTCCTACTTGGCTTTATTGACCGTTTTCTATTAACAATCTACAGTAACTCTTTTTTCCCTTCTGATTATGTAATGGTAAAGTGGTTGAGGATGTACTGTAGAGTATTTTCATAGTATTTAGCTGATCTCTGCTGATTTCACAGCACACGCAGCCTTTGTTAGAACTTTACGAAATGTGTCAGCGCATGTTGACATATTCTCTGTTTAAATCAACTTCTGGTTTAAAGATGGATTCCAGTCTGTTGCTGCCTGCGGCATGTGTCACATCTGCAACTATACAAAGTCAAGTCTGTGTAGAAGAATATATCAGTACCATCTGCCTCAGCTAATGGTGTTTCGGCATGATTGGGCAGTGCTATAATGGGAATGCAAATGAAATACAGTCGACGTTTGCATTGGATTTTGGGTAATTTGCATCTCAGTTTTAGCCAGTGACAAATCCAACGGAAGAGTAAACTGCAGTGCATGCATGCATGCATGTCCCATTTGTTTGTATTAGATGTTTGTAGCATTTCTCCTGCATTACATTTGTTTGCTATAGTGTTTCTGTAATGCATCGGATATGCTGCAAAAAAAATAACCCATGGTGCAGGAAATGTTGTGGTTTCCACTTTTTCGAAAAGGTAACCTAAGCTGCATGTGGAAGATGCAGTGCATAACCCTGGTGGTTGTTTGGGGACGCGGCTCTGTGATCTGTTCACCGCTTCGGATGAGGTGGCTGAGTGGGTGGAATCTGACGTACCGCCAAAGCAGGTCATTTTAAATACAGAGGAAGGAAAGGCGTGTTTCGTAGTGTGTGGAGGAAAAATCCATTTAATTTCAATTCTAATTCTAACAAACAGTATCCAGAACCGCTGGGTCATTGTAGCGCATTAAATGTACAACTGATAACTGAAAAGTAATTCGATTGTGATGCTGTATTGTAGAATTGAAGCAAAGTTGTTGTAATGTAATAATGTCCCCAATGTTATGGAAGTTAGTCTAAGATTAACTAGCTTTTACTTGTGTTACGTTTTTTCAATAAAGTAAAATGCTCCATGATATTTAACATCGTACGGCGAATAACAACTTAATGAAACTCTCATTTTATAATACTGCCACCTGCTGGATTCTTTCAAATCTCAAATTGCTTTTAATTAATGATCCGCTCACTCACAATTGTATTAATATGTGGACAATGCGTAATTGTTTATTTATATTCTTATTCATACAGTCTAGCAAATTCCCAATATTTAGACGTAAATATCACACTAAACACACATTAACTTAACTAAATGTAAATGTTACACACACCCACACATATCTGATATATATTAAATACAATGTAATGCTTTTTTTTTTAAATGCCTGTAGTAGAGGCAGCGCTATTGCAGATCAATTCCCCGGTCTGCTGAGTATGCTGATACATGCAGTTGTGAAAAGTACCATTTTGGCACCTAATATAATAATTATTAAGTATCCCTTCTGAAGGGGCTTCATCAAGATGCAAAGCTAGTTTACTGAGGGAAACATAATAATAGGAGGACGGCCATTCTCAATCATCGCAAAGAACAAAGATAGACTCTGAGTTTTTTGGTTTCTAACTTGGACTCTTATTATTATTTATAGAGGTGCTTTGTCTGAAGCTTAATTAATTAAATTAATTCCTGCATTGATCATCGCCGAATAACTAACATGGAAAATGATGAAAGTGTCAAAATTAAACAAATGGTAGTAAAATATGATGTTTTGGGTTTACAGAGAATGACTTGAGGCCAAAAATCATGTTTCTATACGAAAATGTAAAGGCAGATATTATGTTGCCATTAAACTTTGAGGACATCTGTTACTTCTACACTGTAAGGGGCTTTACATCATGTGCACCTTGTCAGGCACTTGATATACGGTCAATTCAACAGGGATGGGAATAAATATACCGTAAGGGTTGTAAAGAGACATTTTAAAACCCAAAGATTTCATGCACAGGGATAACGACTCTTCCAGATTTAGAGCCCAGAGCGTGTTGAGACAAAAGGAGGCGAGCCGAAGGAGAAGGAAAGGGCAAGAGAAAGGGAAGGTGGAGGAATAATGGATGAAAGATGAGAAGGAAGCCCTTGAGAGAGCGTGCAAGAAAAGAGGAAACCTGCAGAGACTGGAAGGGGCAGCTAAAGATAAAAAAGGTAGACAGAAATTGAAAGGACAGTTCTTCTTCAGGGAAAATACAATAATAACGGGTGGGGGGGGGGGCACAAAGGAGAGCTCTGAGCACATCCGTCTGCTTCAGAAGTTCCAAAGTAAAATAAATAAAACTTTAACGGTTCAGACACTCAAGTGCCTGTGCATCTGAGAAAAGCTGACAGAGGGGTCTAAGGGAGACCCACAGGGACAGCCTTTAGTCAAAGAAGCCCAGATACATTTAAAGAGACACAAGATCTGAGGTAAAACGCCTGCGGACATTTCTGCTACCCAGGGGAAATCTTAGGGAACGTCAGCCAAACACTGAAAGTGCTTTAACCCCCTTGAACCCAAGTGGAACTCGTCTCGGTCTGTGACGTAATCATGGAATACTGATCGCAACGCTCTGCATCCACGTTTACAAAGACTTTTGTCAAAATGTCCCGTTTCGCCACCAGCAGAGGGCATCAGCACGCAAACAAAGGGCAGATGCAGAGATCGACAAACAGGATTACCTCTCTGCATGTTTGCGATGGGTTTAACATCGAATTTGGAGTTAACATGTCTGTTTCTATACACATTACTTTTAATCTGAGCCGTTCTTGTTTGCTGTCACTCGTGATGATATTTGGCCAATTAGGAGTCTGTGATTCAGAAACAAGTTCAGGCGACTAAATTATGAAAGAGCCCCTGAGAGGAACCCTTGTAGAACACCCAAATAGAAAACCACGGATCTAATGCCACTACTACTACGACTACTACTACTACTACTATGAGTAAGCTAAACCCAGGACCTTCCTTCACATGACCTGAAATTGGTCATGAAGAATAAAGTTAATAAAGAAAAAACGTCAGACATGTTCAGAAAACAGTGCTGAGCTGTTTGTCACCGGAGGCTTCCCATCCCATAGGAGTTCACATCCCATCACACAATTTCACAGGAGTTTGGCAGGAAATTGCTTGGGCATCGAGTCGGGTTCTTCTCACATTGATTGATTGGATCTTCCCAGCTTGTGCTATTGGTAACGCGCACAAAGGCCTTCAGATGCTGTTTCCGATTAAATGAAAGGATCCAATGCCTGGCCAATTATCTAATTTATTTAAACAAATCGACCCAGTCATGTCTTGAATATGCTTGCAGGAGGTGTTAAATAGAGGGAATCGGGAGTAATCCATATGTATTTCTGATTTGACTCGTTAGTGCTTTATCACAGTTCAAAAAAGTTACACCGTCATCCACAGCTTCCTTCAGCTGAGCCGGTTATCGTGTGCTCCAGGGCCGGCTTTGGCATCCCGTTCACCTCGCCGTCTATATCCCCCCACGGCTCCAACTTTGTTACTCGTCAGGTTTTTAAAGGTCTGTGCTGTGTATTCTGCACCTGCGCCCGCTCCAGGGGCCCCGCTCCGAGCGCTTTGATGTGCGCGTAAGGACAGGAAAAATGCTAAATGGACAGCCACAACAACAGCTGCTCCTTTCCCCCATGACCACCACCCCCTGGTCTGTGGACGGCAATCCTGAAAGCCAAATGTCTACGCACACACACACACACACACACACACAAACATATGCCTCTGCACTTCTTTCCTAACATTAACCATCACAACTACATGCCTTAACCCAAACCTTACCATACCGCCTACTTCAGTTCTAGAGCCCATACTTTGAAGGTATTAAACTGCAGTGGTCCTCACAAGTAGAAATGTACCCACATGGAGGGCGGGAGGGAGCCAGAGAGAGAGCGAGAGAGAGAGAGGGAGAGGGATGGAGAGAGATTAAATAACCACATGCACGTGTCCGTGTGGGTTCGCCAAGCTACCAGCGTTGCAAAGAGAGTAGAAGAACAAGATTGAAAGAGATAGAGAACACGGTTCGGAGTTCAGAAAGCACTGCAGAGCACTGACCGGGTCTGAGGCAAGTGTCTCTCACACACACAAGTCCTACACATGGTTGATTGATTTTGCTTAGCCCTTCTCTGGTAGCAGCATCTGGTCATCGGTCTGACAACTGGCACCTGTCTGAGCAGGGGTGTTTGATTTGTGACTCGCAGTCTGTCCGGATTTCATTTTGTAATTGCGATCTATATTAAATCTGAATCCTGTTAATTTAAAAAGAACATTATCGTTAATAGATGAGACTTGTGAATGTGGCGGTGTCACTTCAAAAAATATGGCCGGTCAAGAGATGTGTGCAGTCAGGTGACGTAAATACGTTGAAGTCACAGTTTAGAGACCAACCTCCTCCTGTTTTGTCTTTCTGACATTCCATATCTATACATATTAATATATACAAAACGCTGCAGGTTTCCTTTCCAAATATAATGCTTGTGGTTCATTACCTGTGTTATCATCTCATCACGCCTTGATGCAGCTTCAGCCAGAGCAGTTAGCAGCAGCATTGTTATGATCCAAACTACAAAAAAAAACTCCATGTTGTGATGAACAGAAATGTCCTCTGACAGACAATAGAAGCAACAACCTCCAATGCGGATAACACTTACCGCTAAATGGCTTCTTCATCTTTGCCACCGTCTCCCTGGAGATGATTCCATTTCTAAATCAGTGTTTGTTCTTCAAGTTCTCTCATCAGTTACCTGTGTCGAACCCTGTGCCCCTCTATTAATCTAGCACTTGCTGTCCATTTGTTTCTCCCCTTTTACACGACACAACCCCACTGCAACGTCCTCGGCTAAAGCAAGAAGCTCCTCGACTCTGTTATATTTCAGTTGCAGAGTAATTGATTGGTTCAGGCCGGCCCATCTGGAGACTCAAGCTGTGAGTGGGCCATGGGGAGACTACAGAAGGAACTCTTTGGATGATGACACTCTTTTGGAATTTTCACTGAAACTAAATTAAATTAAAAGGCATCTAATTGTTGCGTGAATGTGTGTGGACAAACAGGAAGTAAAACCTAGAGAGTGACCTCTCCGTGGTGCAATTGCCTGCAGGTGCAGGTGCTTTTCCTGGTGGCTGCTGAGACACACCAGCTAATTAATACCACTCGAGTGTGTCGAGAGCAGGGAGGGAACATTGCTGCGGTTTGCAGAAATAATGATTGAGGGACTGTTTTGACATTTGAATTGAATTTTACCTCAAGACAGAATCATGTTTTTTGGTCTGCAGTTTTTTCTTAAAGAGTTGCATAGACATGCATATTGGTGTATGAGTTACTGATGGAAACTGTCAATATATACACATCTTAGGGCACAGTTCACAATGTCAGATCTGTTAACCCTTCACAAACAATATTGTGTTACTGTTTAGCTGTTGAAATAAGGGGATCAAAATCAGATTAAAAAATAAAGATAATATTAGGTGGCCCAACTGATTTAAATCTTTACCTTTTGGATTACTTACAGACTGACCCTCTGAGAGGCAGTGGGTTGTGCCTGCAGACTGCCAAGCCACAAACTAGTGCATAAAAATACAACTTCCACTGCACGTTTTTTAACTAATTCATCCTTTTTCAAAATCCAATATACTCCCAATAATCATCTCCAGAGGAATTGAGCATCCTGTTGACTTCTGTGATTGGTAAATCAGCAGTATCTGTGCAGCTGAATATTTCTTGGATTGGGTTGACATTACTTACCCTGACGCGACTGTATAATTCTCTGACAGCAAATCTGTTCATGAATGAACTTCAGAGCGAGTTTGTGCTTTGATTGACAAGTTGGGTTTTGCAATCCCGACCATAACAAGAGAAAACATCAGAGAGATGGAGAGCAGCTCCCAGTTGGTGTTTGCAAGCTGCCATGTTACCTTCATCTGCCTTCAAGGCCGCGCTCCTTTTCAATGGCGCATAATTACGCAGTCACTCAGACACGCTGAGTAGTCAAGATAATCTGCCTCCGTGTACATTCAAGGGACCAGCCAATAAAGTCATTCAGATGTTTTTTTTAATTTTCTACAAAAATATTTTACATTATAAAACACAGCTTAAAATATACACAGTCCACTCGGTTCTGCAATGAGTGCAGAACCCTTCAACTCACATATATCAATCTATTAGGTAAATATATCTTTACAGCAAGAAGAAATCCACGGACCAAGTTGTGACTCATTCAGAAGGGTCTTCATAAGCTGTGGCCTGATCGAAGCAATGTTGAATAAACAGGATAAATGATTATTTGATCTGAATTTGATACAAACGATATAACTAAAGCTGGAAGAGGGAATGCATTTTCAACCAGAGGTGGAAATTATAAAACCATATACGTACAAAGGCAATCGAGAGAAGGAAACTGGTGCCCACAGTCCATCCACCTACACATCCTTCCATCCTTAAGGCTCTCACAGTAAAACGTTTGCAAAATAAACAACTATTACCAATTAAAAATGTTCCCGTTACTCTGGAAAATCGACAAACAAACTATTTTCATTGAAAGTAGTTTCAAATGTGGAATTCATCCAGTGAGCTTGATGACTCAAACTGAGCTACAACCGCATTGTTTTTGCAAAGACAATGTGTAGTTTTGCATTGAACTGAACAAATACATTCCTTTTAACTCCACTGCGTTGAAGCAGAGGCATAAACCGTTACATCATAGTAAGATGGCTTACTACTTGAGTTACTATCAGAGATGTGTTCATGTAGGTCGTGGTGTAAAAAAGTGCTGACAATATTTTAACTCATTTTGTACAAATTTTGGTGAACTTTACCTTGTACTAAGGTATCTGCTATAATTTGATGAAATAAGCCACAGTGTGTGTGTGTGTGTGTGTTGGTGCCCTGTTCACCTTTGGACCTGCCTTCATCCAAGGATCCCTTTAACTTAACGTTCATGAGGCATTGCAGCAATTGGAATATATTCCAAAAATGTATTAACTTAACTACTTACTAATCTTACTAATATTTTCCTTCTGCGCATGAGGCAGTTTGACCATTTAGTAAAACACTTTGTAAAGCATATGTGGGTTGACGACTACTTAAGCTGGCAGAGCCCACTACATGACCTGTAAAATAAATAACACAAAAGGATACCAGAGACATTGTCAGAAGCTGCTTCCACCGAGCTTCTGGCCCTTCACCACCATCACCAATCGGCTCAGGAACGCCCGTCCCGCGTTTTTGGCATCATAGCGGCTCTGAGCGCAGGGCCAGCGACAGCGTCCAGAGGGGCGGCAGCAGCCACAGGGGCGAAGGGGAGGGGCGCGCCCCCAAAGGCGAGGCGGTGTCGGAGGTGCAGGAGCACACCTCGTACCCGTTGTCCGCGTGGTCCGGTCGGCGGTGCACGTTGGCCCTCGTCTCCGTGCCCTTGGGTTCCGCGTCCGGAGAGTCCGACTGCATCTCGGTGCACAGCAGCCAGTCTTTGGCGACGAGGCGCGGGTACCCGGCCTCCGCCTCCATGTCGCTGCTGGGCACCCGCCAGTACTCCTTCCCCTTGAAGAAGTAGGAGGAGCCTTCGGGGAGAGCAGAATACAAGACTGTGTGATTTACTGTTCCCACATGGTGCAGAACTGTCTTTTATTGGGATTTGGAATACACCTCAAGAGGAGAACACATTGTTGGGATCTGGCAGTACGGACATTATTAGCCAGTATGTAAACTAAATAATTAATATTAATACACATTAGTCCCCACTGCGGGAAGAATATAGGATTATCCTATCCTATCTTAATACAAATATTAATGTCTGGGACTATCAACATGTATTAACAATAACAGGCCACAACCTTGGGAACAGGCACCAATAACCAATGAGGCGCGATTGTTGGGTTCCACCAAAACTCATACACAGGTGGGATTTTTACGTCTGATGGGGGTTAGTGCACTGGAACCACTTCAAGCTTTTGTAATGCCAGCTAGGCCTCTTTGTGTCAGCCAACATAAAACAGGCCTTCACATGGTGAATCCGGGATGCACAGTGGTATTAACATACCACACGGTGCACCTGTTCAACACAGGATGGGATTTCCACCCTATAAAAAGACATGCTATGCATAAATTTAAATAAGAGACAAGAGCTCTCAGGGCATTGACACAATACTAGTTTAAAAAAAAAAGTAAAACCAACCACCAAACAAGCGGTTGTTGTGCTCGCTGTAACGTTGGTACTTTAGCCTTTATTACCTCCATAAGACAACAATGGCCAGCTGGCACACACCATTGTTACCACTCACCGTGTGGTGTCTCAACCTTTTATTATTTGGTTGCAGTTAAGTATTTTTGAAGGGTGGTGATCCAACTTGGAAGTGAACCAAATATAATTAAGGTGGCAGATGCGTCCTGTAGGAGGCTGCACGCAACGACTCTGCTGGTGGGAAAGCTGCAAGCGAGTGCTCCCACGTCAGAAGGAAGTGGATAATTGAACACCAGCGAGAGCATGCATAAACAATACTTAAATGAGCACGGCGGATTTTTTTCGGCGTTTAGTAGAATTGGGTGTCATAAAAATCGAAACAAATTAAGCCTTTTGATTGCATTATGATACTTTTACGAATGTGCATTTACACATTTGAAGACGGAATAATTAAACGTTGTTGAAAGTAAGTACACAAAAGGGTTATTGTCATTTTGCGAGTTCTTTGTGGCCGCACTGAAAACTTGAACCCTGCGTGGGCATTCGTGACACCGTAATTGCAACGTGACAGTTGATCATCACTGACAAAACCCCTTACTGTGCACGTCCTTTCACTTCAGGGTACTTAATTCATTGTTGTTTCTAAAATGTCAAATGTGCTCTGGCGGAACAAAGAAATAACTAACGGCTGAGTGCTTATCAAAATACTACTTCATAGGAACAAAGCCTCCAAAAAGTGTTGAGTGACATTATGTTAAATAGGGTTCAGGAGATAGATGGCAATATTTTTGCCATGCTCCTTTGCTATAGACCCATGTCAAATATAATATCCCATTTGACTATTAAAATCTGACTGGATTCTTTGTACATTTGCCTGAAAGCAGGAGGGCCACCGGCGCCCACAAGGATGGTAACAAAAAGACAAGCACGAGGACAGACGTAAACAGGTGATGGTGTCGGAAATTATCCAGTTCCTTAATTGATTGAAATTAATGTGAGACAAGAGATGAACAAGTGCAGGAGCTTGAGCAGAGTGAAGAATGATCCCCGCTGGCTAATGGCATTGGGAGCTCCCCGTTAACGGTGGATTAAATGCTTGTTTAACTATGGAAATGAGACTTTCGTTAATTGTGTTGACGGAAGGAAGACAATCACATGTGAGAAAATAGGAATAAAAAGGACAGAAAATGATGAAATCAGTCAGGTTATTTCTAAATGTTTCCTGTACCCCCAGTTGGAATATTTAGGCGTTACTTAGACGTCATGAATACAATTAATAATGCACATTTTGTGGCGGTGTATTGACCAAACTTCTTTACATTCACTTATCCATGCTTTGCTCTTGATCCCAAACATATTAATATGCTGATATTCCGTGTAAGCGTTAAAAATGTTTTCTTCTAAGAAAATATGCCTGCTCCTATGATCTACTCCTTCATATTTGTTAAGGTAAACCTTTCTTTTCTGTGAAGGCTCTTCATCCCCACCTTCACCCCCACAGAACCTTGTAGAGTCCATTTGCCGTGTATAATCATTAGATCATTTCAACTCGTGCTGCAGCCTGTTGGAATAAAAATAAGGTATAAGCTCTATATTGCAGACAAACGCATCATACCGCTAACCTTCTGAGGACTCATTTCTCTCAGCTCTACCTTAACCATAAAATAAGTTCCCAAAAAGCTCCGAGGCGCTTTTGCAATGAGGATTTATTATATCCTCACCTTCCAAAAATGTTCTCTTCTACTGAGTCTAGAGCTGAACTTTATCCTCACAAAGACATGAGCACAAGAATAATCGCACCCACAAAGTCACTCTCCTCGTCCATCACTATCATTGAAGGTCCAATCCCACAGGGCGGAATTCCACATTGCAAAGAAAATTCTTGCTTTCCCCCAAAGTCCTAGCTGAAAAAAGTAGTGAACACATCTCACCACCACTTGATCAGCTTTCAAATAGAGATTTAACAATTGAAAAACTCAACCCGAGTAAAAAAGTACATTTATTGAGGTTATTTCCATTTGCGATCATTATAGGAATCACTTCCTCACATAGTGGGAACAGAGACTGTCACTTTTAATTTACTGATGAGACACTACTTAAATTATGAATGCTGACTGGTTGACTTGAGCTTCCTCTATGGATTAAAGATAACATATGCTCTCACCATGACTTAGTGCTAGAAATGTTCCTGGTTGCCATGCCGATGCCAGCAGATAAAAGGCGTGTTATCACGACTACAATTTTCCCCGACGAGGCGTCCCTGTGTCTCCCGCTCCTTCTGGCTGTCATATCACTAATTTATTCCCGTCCCTTCTCTCTCTGTTCACCCTGAGCCGGTGAAAGAAACACCGTCTTTGAAGTGTCTCCAGCTGACATGCCCCATGGTTTTGCCTTTTTCCACGTTTACCCCTTCCAGGCTGTGTGGTGATAATGACCTGGGGTGAAGCGCCTCGGGGGGGGAAGAGTCATGACGGTGCGATTGGCCTCACGTGATGCACATCAAAGAGCTTGGAGCAGGAGACAAAGCGCAGAGCGGAACACCTGACAGCGATGGAGCTTCCTTGTGTTAACTGCCGCGCGGGGGGATTAAGCGCCTCCGCGCTCCTGCCGAGAGCCGCCCCGAAAGGGCTGCCGCTGCTTTTTGGGGGTATTTTAGTAACAAAATGCCCTCGGATCATTCAGAGCCTTTTACAGACATGAGCCAAACAGAAAAACAAAAATCCTCACAAATAGTGTCCATGTGATCAAATGGCCGAGGACGGCGTTTTGACCTTGACTGTCACAGTGGAGCTGATCAGTGAGATTACATTGGCTGAGGTCCAATGAACGTGCTCCAATCTGTGAATGTAAAGCAGCCGTTGGCCCGAAACGGACCACGTGGGCTACGCCAATATAACACACAATACCTCTGAGAGATACAATTGGATGTTTATTCACATTCAATTTGAATTCAAACCACTTTGAAGATGTTGAACCCTGTATTCCACACAAACGTCAACAAAATGCAATTCAATGGCAATGGCACCTTTTCTTTGCTTAGCGTGTGGTGCTTCGAGGTCGAGGCCTTTGTCAACATGCTCACCATCCCATTTCGAGCATGCTAAGGAGGTCGATTCATAACCGTCTTTGATTATCAGTTATCAGTTAGCGTGCTAACACCGGCTAAGTTTTGCCAGCAGCCAAAGTATTACCAAAGAAAAGTATTCCGATTCATCCTGAAGGGGGACTTAAAAAAATGACAAATAGCAACTTGAATGATGATATTTGAGGGATTCAACCTCAGGAGACCTGGTCAAAGGTCTAAAAAGACACTTTCAGGTGATTCCAAACTAGTTAATCATTCTCATGCTGCTGGAACGGGGTCTCAGGACGGTGATCTAATTGCAAAACTTTACCCAACACTTCGGGCTGCATGTTTGCTAACTTGCATAATTGTTGCCATCCTCGTCTCATATATCTTTTGTAATTCATTTGTCTTTGAGGATTTCCCCGAAGAAGGATATTGCACAGTCTTGCCTTTGGCACCAGCAGATACCAGAGCTACCAGTTACCGGTACGCTGTGGTGGAGTGTTACAACTCTATTGCCCTCTGAAAAATGTAATCACCTGAACAAAGAGACAGTGGTGATTCATCATTTATACATTCAATGTAATCAATCAGTACCCCTTTATAATCATTTTTATTAAAGACGGAAGAGGTCAAAACATGTCACTGGTTTCATTTCACACACCTTTTCAGTGTATCATAGATTGCTTTTGGGGATATGCTTTGGACTATTTTTTAAGTATAACAGCATTTTCATTACATGTAATTTGAACTTCATTAGAAAAGGCGCCATTTGTTATTTCTCAGTTATTGAAACAGAGAAAGACAAAGGAAGGGCATCTGCTTTTGTGCCATTCAATGTTACAACACCAAATGATATGCCTGGATTGTATTTTATTATAAAAGACACTTGCTCAAGAAAGGTACTATATAAATCTTTTAGTTCACTTGCATTACTTTCAGCACAGGAGAGAGCGCGCTGTAGATTGCCCATCACATGCCCACTTTATGTAACGTGTCATCCAACCCCCTCTAAATGATAGCCGTTCAAACCCAGACACAGACAATCGGACAAGCACCTGACTTGAAGCATTCTGCTGCCTTGAAAGTCCCAGAGCAACGCTTGCCTCCATTCAAAGCTTTACTCTTAAAACGTTGGTTATTGGCAAAGAGTGAGATCATTGATCTTTTGGACAAGAGGTGAAATTACAAAGTAACTGGTTTCACTCTATGTGACAAGTGCAAGTGCACAAACAACCTAAAGGTCCATGATTGCCTTTTCTTTAAGCCCTGTCCGCGACAGATCAAATCTTCTAAATTGACAGAGATTGCTCAGATGTTCAGCAGGAGGAACTAAAGGGGAAGTTCCTGGTAAAATGAAAACAAACGGAAATAGAAAATCCTTTTACTTCTCAAATGTCATCTGTGGCTTTTATGAGTCTTTTGTCTTTTCAGAGCAGGTCTTTATGGTTACTCACCATCCGACCACCTCATGGCGTCGTCCAGCTGCGGCGGCAGCCCCTTCCAAAGCGTGCTGTCTTTCGGGTAGCCCGGGTCCATGCGTCTCAGGTGGTCATCGTAGCGCCAGTAGTGTCCGTCCTTGAAGAAGTACGTCTTGTCGTTGTGTAACCAAACAAAGGCCGCGTCCACCCCTTCCAAGGGCAGGCCGAAGTCGCTGATCGGACGAGGGTAGCCCTCCTCCACAATGGTGTCCTTAAACACCCAGTACTTCAGACCTGGAGGGGCGGGGAGGGTATACATCACACACACTGTAGAAAGCGAATGCACTTGAGATGATACATTTGAAAAGATGAGAGAGGCACAACAAATGTGTTAAGTAGACTCTGATGAAATAATGAAAAGATTCTCACATATGTTTCAATACGCCGCTAACGGAAAGCACTTCCTGGCAGTAAAGTAACATTTTAGATCAGACGTGACCTCGTTTCTGCACCCGTTTAAAGTTTCGCTTCTCTAAATTGACATCTTTTATTTTCCCTCTCACTAAATGAAATAATAACACCAACTCTGTTTCAAAGTCCCTGCAGGAAACTTGTAATACATGATCTGTATTTTTCTTTTTTTAATCTTTTACTTTTACAAAGAGAACAATGAGGACACTTTTTTACCGACACTTTTTAACCATATTTTAGTAGATCGCAAGACTTATTCCAAGACGTGATCTTTTTTTTTGTTAGTGTACCTTTGAAAAAGACTATTTTGTGGTCCCCGGGCCTCTCGTATACGGCATCCACGCCGTCCAGATTGGGAGGGAGGCCCCTCCAGAAGCGGTGGATCTCGGCGGGACGCAGAGACACCAGGTGCTTCTCTCTCGTTAGTCGCCAGAAGTACTTCCCTATGAGGAACAAAAAACAGTTGGGAGGATCCGCACCGTTTAGGATACTGGCAGACGACAACGGCGTTGGCGGCCGTTACTATTTGTGATTTGACTGAAGAAATGAATGAATTTCTTATTAACCTTAAATCCATATACATTAGTTGTTTCATTCCCGTTGCAGTTTGACCATGTGGTCTGCGGGCTGATTGAAAACATAACACTGTGCTTCAGACAATGACCAAAATATAACTTCAATTTGCAAAATTGCAAGCAAAATCTTCACTTTGATCAAATCAGTCGTCTGAAAAAAATAACTTTCAAAAGGGCACAAAAACGACGAACATTTTTCAATGTCATATCAAATATATATTAAAAAAGGTAAATAAAAGTTTGAAAACTGACAGTTTAAGCTTAGTATACTTTCCTAACGCTTCTGTTGCTGAAGTTATGCAAGTCTTTTTCTGTCAGTGGGGGATTTGGGGTCATCGCACCAGAGGGCAAGCATGAAAGCCTGATGTAACGTTTGGACTGCAGTGCCTCCGCATCGCTCCACTGGCTCAGTCGGCTGTCTGCATCCTCTCTCACTTTCCCTCCTTTTAATTTGATTTCCTTTCAGATGATTTAGCTAATTATTATTATTTTTTTCTTCCAAGCAGCTACGTGGCTTTGAGTCCATCTTCCTCCCTTTGTGACTCAGTACCTTTGAAAAAGAAGGCCTCTCCTCGTATCTGGGCCACTGCATCAAAGTGACTGGTGCATCTGTCTGGGGCATCTCGAGCCAGCCTGAGAGAAATGTGGAGAAAGAAGAAATGAAGAATGCTCAGGAGGGGGGGAAAAAATGAATTATTTTGTAAAGTTGGACAAATCTTTGAACACCAGTCATTGATGTTCATGTGCTCTGAACAATGTTTATATATTTTAAAACATATTTTCATGAATATCATTTTTTTCTCCCACTTTGCATCCAGATGTCTAGCGGTGACATCGGGCTAAACTAGAGAGGAGATCTCTGACACATTAAGATCCCTAAGTGCAGTTGTACTCTGTTTTTCAAGTGATTTAAAGCACTGACGTGGCTGGCCTTCCAATGATGAGGCCGTCAGCGCCACAGTGCCGGGAGGGGGAACCCGCCAGGCCTTATATTACCAACAAAGGTCTGATTCAAAGCTGTATTAACGCGACACCACTGCCTAGCGGTCAGCATTAGAGCCCTTGTCGGAGCTAATCCAGCTTTTTCACGCCTCATGTCCCGGTTTAGTCAGTGGGAAATGATTAATGAAGGTGGTGGCAGTCCAAAAGTGAGGAGAAAAAGAATATTGAAGAGCGTTCAATATTGCACGACTGCCTGTTTTAGCTTAGCCCTTCTTCTTAGCGCCGACTTGCTGTTTATTGTTGTGGGTGTGCGCATGTACATGTGGTTGTTTTTTTTTGATAATTTGAATTGCAACAACCTTTGCGAATAAAGACATTGTTGTGTATGTCTTTCTTTGCCCCCCCCCCCCCTACCTTGAGGTAAGTGCTTGGTGGTTTAGATGTGTGAGTGAGTGTACGTGCACTCAAATACATAAATGGGAAAAATGAAGCAGAATTATCCTCGATGATGGCGGCCAAACTAGCTTCAGGGAATAACTTAATTAGACGGGCGAGCTCCCAAACACACTTTGCATCTTTGCTAATTTGCTTTGTTGGCAAATTATGACTTCCTATGAAAAACCAACAAACTCTATTTGACAAGAAATGTTGATTATTACTGCATGGAATCATTACAATGTTTTTCAGTGGAAGTTGAAAATTTGAAAAATGATCACATTATAATTACGCAGATGTAAAGGGAACCATCAGAATAATAGAATTCTGTATAACGAGATTGAATACAGTTACCCTGCAAGAAAATATTGCCTTTGTGAGGCCTATTAACAGTAGTGTTCATATGAAAGTAGCTAAACTTCTATTATTGCCCTAACTTTGATATAGATACTATTCATGACTGTGTACACATGCAAAGTTAAGGAATGTATTTCACATTGAAACAGGATAAAGGTAAAAAATGCATTTCCAACTTTGACAGCTGCAGCCAAAATACATCTATCAAAAAGCAGCACTGGTAGCTAATCGGATGCGTCCCGAGTTGACTGTGCCGCAAGACTCACTTCAGTTGCCAAAATCGAACGGCTCCATCGCGTTTTGTATCCTCCCTGCTGCGCTCATCTAGCCATTGAAGGCTGTGTCAGGTTGGATGGGATCAGCAGAATGAGGCTGAAAAGCTTTTCTAAGACTGTAGTGGCAGATTGTTTTCCGTTGAAAGATTCCAAGTACTCTTGCATCTTCACTTGTACCCTTGTAACCAGTTGGTTACCGTTTGACTGATTAAAGATTACATTTCAACTGGCTTTGCTTCTCGTACTTACAGGACGGTGGATCGGTTTTCGGGCAGGTCCAGCAGGACGGGCGGCTCGGCCGTCTGGGAGGGGTCGCCTGGTCGGTTTGTGTGGGACACGGAGTCTCGGACACCTAGGAAGGTGTCAAATGTCACCTCAAATGAATGATAAGCATCATTCCTGTAATTCTTGGTTATTTGCAGCACTCTTATACGTCACTGCACTCGTCTTCATGTTCCATATTTGCTTTCCTCACACGGCCGTTTCCAGTCTCCTGACATAACGAGGTCCAATTAAACCATGCATGGTATCACTAAGTCAATAACCTTTCTCTACTGAGCTCATCAACTGCCGCTTCCTTTGTATCTTCAGTCTCCAGCTAATGACTGTTTCCAGAACTTAACCCGGGAAATATGCAGAGTTTACAGCCGAGGCTCTTATATATCGTCAGTGGAGAAGAGTGAGTGAAAATAATGTCTCCACAATGTTCCTGTTTCGCACACTGAGGCATCTCTGCACTGATGAGGCAGAAACATCTTTACAGACTCAAATGATCAGCTAATTTAGCCGTGCACGTGGTGTTAGGCCAGATACTGCCCACTTTGATCTCAAGTGCGCCAGGCCATTAAAAATCAAAAGGGGGGGGGGGGCATACAGTCATTTTCAAGCGGGCGCTGCTGCCTGGGCGGAAAAGGTCTAACGCAGGGGTCCCCGCAATTTTTCGGCTCGCAAGCTAGTTTTCACTCAACTTTTCAATGCAATTCATGGCAATCTACCCCCCCCCAGGACCAGGTCCCCCTGGTCTAGCTGATTCGCTCACTCACAGAGCGCGACCCCCAGTGGACTTTTTAGGAATAGCAGCTACATTTATAGAAATGTGATTTATCTCTTTCTGTAATTCTCACAATAGCAAAGTCACCTGGCGGGCCGCACCGGACTCCGCCGGCGGGCCGGATTCGGTCCGCGGGCCTTGAGTTTGACACCTGTGGCATAGTAGGTGGACTACATATTCCCTGCGTACCGTAGAGCTGCCAGACGCGGACCTTGTCCTGGTAGGGGAGGTCGTATTTCAGGGGGTCGCCGATGGGACCCTGGTAGTACGGCCTCATGATGGACTCGATGGCGGAGGTGTGGACCAGGCCGATGGCGTGACCGAACTCGTGGACCGCAACCGCAAACAGGTCCATCCCGTGAGAGTCTGAGGGAGACAGAGGGGGAGACACTCAAACAAAAGCAGCGGTTTAATCTGAACTCTTAAATCACTAAATACTTACAAAATGGGTGGTAAATTCTAAAACTGATTTCCTAACAATTCTCCAATGAAGTACATGTATTTTTTATAGACGATGAATCTTTACCGCTCATTGTCTGAGAGACTAGTTAGTCACAGTGCTACTAATAGTAATCTAGTAAAAACTGTGGCCCAACCGATAATTCTAAGACATCATCTCTTATTGTGGTAGCCATTAGACTCTTATAGCTTACAGCTACGTGCACATAGTTCATACACAAAGCTTTGAAGCAGCATTTTATCCGTGAACAATATGATGGTTCAGATGGTCAAACGTGTTAAATGCATCGTTCAATATACTGTAATCCTTTGTGAATGGCCCCCGAAAGGCCAGGTGCGATACTCCGCAATGTGACCAATATACCGCGTGTCCTACATTGACCGGGTCAAATCCCTATTTTATGCTGATTCAGCTCATCTGCTCACGGTACAAATTAAGAGGCATGACAGACAGCTCAGGCTCTGAGTGCCGTTAAGCATGTGGTGCAGTGAGATAGCGATGGAGAAACTGGCAATCAAAAAACTGTGTGGAGAGATTCCTGAAAAGGCAGCTGGCCATTAAAGCATCCCTCCTCTCTATGTTCAGCAAGAAAAAACCCTCCCAGACTCTTTGTCTGACTTTGCCAAGCAGGACAAAACCTGCGCTTGCAGATTCAGAATTGCAAAAATGTGGAGAGCTTGCGTGTGGAGCCCAGCTAGCTTAGAGATCCTTGGTGGCTACGCGGAGGCCTGCATGCGGTTAAACCTAAGGTCGGCCTCAGCTTGGGACCTCCACGCGTGCTTACAGTACCCGGTTGCCAACTGTAATCTACAGGAGCACATGGTGCAGAGAGGAAAGATGGACAAAAGAAGAGAGAGAGAACAGGGGCTCAGAACAGAGTATGTACGATGTCATCATATTCACCGTCTGCGGGCCGCTGACAGAATGAACGTAATGCCTGTGGGACAAAAGTAGGAGCAGAGAGAATTGGACGGATGAACCAGATTAATTTATGAAGGCAGAGAGAGATGGAGAGACAGAGAAAAGTGTGTTTAACTTGACAGATTATTTAATTATTTTATATTTAGGGGTTCCGTTTTTTGTTCCACTGGATTAACCAGCGAGCTGCTGTTAGGCGTTCATTGTATGATGATGATGGAAATTAGTTTAATAGACCTCTAAACTCGTGTCTGCAGTCCTAAAAAAAGACCGTAAGACTTCCATTCCTGCAGTCCTAAAATACAGCGGCCTTGATCTTAGACGGCCTTGATGGCGGCGGCCTCGAAAAACATCACACGCCCTTCAGCTGATGCCCTGAGGTTTGCCTACAGGGCCGGCATGTTTGTTGACAACTAGCTCAGTCAACATGAGTCTGGAGTAACTTTTGATAGCCGGGGAACGTGTTTGGAGACCTTACATCTTCCAGACCCCCCCCCGTTGCTTGTTTTGCACCGGATTTTTTTTACCAAATCCCCACATGGCTCTCTCAGAAACTAAGTTTCAAACAAATATTTACTGAATCACGTTGCACTTTTGACCAATACAAAGCACTCATCCCTTATTCTATTTTAGTGTTACATTTAGCAACAGAATTCTGTTGAGGCGTTCCTGGTAAGTAAAATCTTTCAAAGGAACTACTTTCACTTAAACATCAAGCAGGCTTATCGGATGGGATGATGACTCATGCAGCAGTTAAGGCCAGTACGAGTGATCTCTGATGGCCTACAGCCAACACCCAGTCGACCATCAGGCAAAACATTTCTCTTTCTGGATAGAGACCAAACCCCACAAATAATTGAGTAACCGGAGATCATTGCCAACAACCTACTCATTCTCTGAAATATATCTGCCCCCTGCGGACCCAAGAAGATTGCACTGAACATCATTACCAACTTCTTTCACACACGTTGTCCAAACTCTCCCTTCCAAGAAGCAACTGGAAGCCATAAAAGCTTCTTCCCCTCAGCAGTTCTCATCAATACATCGGATATCACCGAGAATTTACAGCGGTCGCGGTGCATTTTGCTTTTCTCGTTCCACGCTACCTTCTTGACTCGATTTCGACACTTTTTTCAGTTTTTCTTGGTATTTCCTCACAAACAACGGAAGGCTTCAGGTGGTGGTGCTGCTTTTTTTTTTACCATATCTGCATAACGCATATAGATTAGGACATTTCACGTTGTCACTTCTCGTAGACCCTTCTATGAAGATTTTTTTCAATCAAAAGCTGCATTGTAATGTATTCAAAACAATTTTTAAAGAGCCGTAACCTTTAAAGTTGTATATTTGTTTATTGTCATCATTGCTATGCAGTTTTCAGTGGCAAAATCAGCAAATATATCCAGCCACTGAGTCTATAGTCAATTCCCTATTTAGATGGAAAAGACAATGTGTATTAGCCAGTATGCGAGACAGTTGATCAGAATATGCAAGATAAATAAAACACTGGGCTTGGAGCAACCTCGCGGAACACATGATTAATCAGTTTCTGTTCTGGTTGCCGCCTCCTTCTTCTTCCGCTCTGTCAAAATTGAGCTGACGACGGCGTACCATCCAGGTTCTCAAGCCCTTATGGGTGTGAAGGTTTGACAACGTTTCACATGTCATTTTCCATTGTTAGTTGCATCGTTTTATAATTTAATTTTTACTTCAGGTTGAGAACCTGGTGAGAATAATAATCAGTGCACTGGAAATTCAGGGAGACAAATGCTCATCCGAACAGAGTAGTGGCATAAACAAGTCAATTTAAACAAGCATAGGCACACTTTCCTTACTGCTCACTGAGCCCCAACAGAGCTCTGAGTTCATACCTTTATCCATTAGACGTTTATGAACACAGCGTACATTGTGTAAACCTGCTGATACTGCAAGTCTGTCCACTGGCACAGTTCAAATTTAGCAATGGTGAAAACAGGTAACCTAATGGCCCTGCTGCCTCAATCACAAAGTACACAAAGGATTGAAAAAAGATACAGTGTATTACGTGAGCCAGAATTAGATTGACGACATTCAGGCAAATTCTGTTCAGGAAAATGTGATGTGATTGAAAAAGGCTATTATCTGATAAGGAATTTAAATTAATTATAATATGGCAGCATTAAACTGTCAAAAATTAGTTTGTTGGTTCATATTATTTTGCAGAAGACGAGTGTGCACGGCCGCACCACGAGCACACAGAGGGAAAACAATTCATATCTTGAATGTCTAAAAACTCACTTGTAATCAGTTTGCAGAAGCAGATTGCTGGCAGACTGCTAATTTCACAGAAGCAATCTGCTGCCCATCAAAGCAAAAACAACACTCCCAGACCTCCACTTAATTGTCTCACACGCTCCGCCCTCTCACAACTCCTAATGGAGGGCGGAACTGTCAATCGCACAGCTGGGGCGAACCGGTCCGCTAAATGTGCCGCTTGATATTCCAAAATTCAGCGTCATCATGGACATTAGTGGACGGCCGTGGCAGACGTAGATTCAGGGTCCCGCAGTGAACAACGCGCCGAGAGACGAGGGACGGCAATTTGCGAAGGAAATTACTCAGCTGAGGATTTGTGTGATAGGGTGACACAGGTCTGCAATCTGCGGCGGCACCGACATTCACTTCTTGCCCCCTGCGCTGACCTAACAAGTCTACATCTCCTCAAGGGATCACTGCGCTTGGGAAAAAGTAGCTAGAAACAACTATTTATGAATCCGATAGCTTTGTGCAAGCTAAATGTCCGCTGCCTTAAAAGCACAACGGCACATGGAAGCGGCCGCGAGAGAGGCCGAAAGTGACAAATGGATGATGATGGATGGATGATGATGGGGGAGAAGAAGAGAGGTCTGTCGCTCTCTTTGGGGGGGGGGCTGACGTTTTAGGCGAGTTTTAAGTGGGCCCAGCTGACGTCCAACCAGGCACACTCAGACTCATGAAATATCTAAGATTTTAAAGGCTTTTTAACTAGAGGAACACAACAGGAACAATCATCCTTCAGTCTCCCTGGATTATTTTTGGCTGGCAAAAATGATTACATTACATTCGCATGTTAAAAAAAAAAAAATATATATATATATATATATAAGGCAATAAATCTGCTGTCAAAATGTTCTCAGGTTAAGTTTGTGCTTTTACTGTATTGTTATCCAACTACAAATGTCTTAAATACACTTTCAAAATATACTAGTACTTTTATAACCTGCTAAATAACTGTCTTTTGGAAAGCACCGGGATTGAGGCATAGCAATGAATTAGTCAATAATAGAGGTTGCACCTCTGACCGCTCCTCCCTTTACTGCCCAACTCCCATTAACCAAACCTACATATATGCAGCTGTTTCTGACCACCGCCACACACACACACACACACACACACACACACACACACACACACACACACACACACACACACACACACACACACACACACACACACACACACACACACACACACACACACACACACCTTGTCCTGCCACTGTTGCGGCCTGGTGGGAGGTCTAATTGGAGCAGATTGAGCTGCTGTCCTGTAACATATGGCGCACAGCCCTGACATTAGGAAACAAAGGAGGGAGACCGGCGCAGGTTCTGGCCCCGTCAAAGACTCAGCAGCTGGGATGGACGTACACAAACACACACACCGTCTAAGCTCCATCCTATAGTTGAAGTTTATGGGGCTTTTTTTATGGAAAAAATATAAACTAAATTGGAATTTGGTGGTATCAAAACAATTGTTAACCCAATTTCAGAATCCAGATCTTTATGATGAAGATTTTAAATACACACAATACTTGTTGTGGTTTCACGCATTGTTACTAATAAAGAAAAGTTTACTAAAACTAAATGAAATGTAGCTTGTTTGATCCCAATTGTTGAATTTTCAATTTCTTTTGGCTCAACCCGAGTGAAGTGACCGTATTCAACAGAGACGAATAAACAAGGCAGAGATTTATTTCCATACTTTACATTCATTTAGGAATAACATGCTATTTTAAATGACTAATTCTTCGGTCTCGTGGCATTAGACAAGCAATTGAACCCGCTTGGTTTCAAACAATATCAGCTCAACTTTTGGAACAGAGGTGATCTTTTGGTTCTGCTTAAAATCCTTGACAAGCGACCAACTAAATGTCAAGTGGTGATCCGAGCTCTTGATATCCTGAGAACAATCTGGACAACATGCAGAGAGCTACACAGCTGATCGATGACAATCACATTAAACCAAAGCAGCGAATGCACAAACACCTTTCACACTCACTTTCTGTTAGATGGTGCATTATTTAATTTTTTTTACTTATAATCTTTAAAACTTTTTATTTTTAATTTAAATTCCTATAATTGTTCTTTCACTATGTTGTCTTATCTGTCTTGTTGTCCATGGTCTTATCTGATGTTATGCGGCAACCGCCAAATTCCTTGTATGTCTGACATATTTTGGTAATAAATGCTCCTGATTCTTGAAAAAAAAACAACAACATCCGCGCTGTGAAAGTCTTACCCAAAATGTAGAGGCCAAATTCCTTTTTACCAACCACAGAAATACATAGCAACTAATCTTGATCAGAAGCCAAACTGAAACTGCGGCGGTGTTTCTTTTGCCTTGCCGCCTTTCACTGATACGTGTAATTTTCTGAAAAAGACCTGAGCAATATTCAACCAGACCTTCACGGGTGAGGATTCAACTTCTTAACGGAAAAAGGTTCCGTCGCCTTGTGTGTGAACACCTGAGAGCAGCAAGTATCACCCGTCTGTGAGGAGAGACTGTGCATCATGTTCCCATTTACTCTCACAGCTCAACTGCAGCTGGTTGCTATAAGTAACGGGTGACCATAAAACACTTCGGGGGGTTTACTGTGAGATAACCAATAACCTAAAATTGTAACAACCTTTTTGCTCATTTGTTTAGTGCATCAGCTTTTGTGTATCACTGAATAACGGCGTCCCAATAACCATTATAGCTGGATGCTGAATTAACTCAGGAGGATTGCGCCCTCGAGACACTCGTCTACCGATCCTTTGCTTTATTCCCCAGCCAATAACGCAGCCACACAGATTCATGGCATTTTCTTATTTTGTATCCTGGCTTAGGCTCAAATAAAACGTGTTTGCATGTGTTCTTGCATACACACCCAGTGTGAGCTTAATGTTTCAGCCTTCGTCACATTGCAATTTAAAGGTGAAAACGGATTTCCATTTCGTCTGAGTTTGTAAAGTAGGAGGGCATTTCCCCAACTGGCAAGTGGACCTAGAGTTTGATAACCGCGTCATTAGAGTTACAAACTTTCACTCTCTTGCCCGACATGTTTGTCGCTCTCCTCCGCTGTCCGTCCCCCTTTCAAAAGGAAGGAGTGAATATAGGTACCGAGCAGAGGAGAGAGGAAGGGCGTTTCAAATGTAATCATCCAGATGAAAGGAAGAATAAAGAAAGCCAGTCAGAGAAAAGGAGAGTTAATGATTCATGTTGTCATTCGTGTGACCGCCTCTGCCTGACGATGCATTCAACGCGACTGGATCACTGCAGCCGCTCATTTCGTCCGGATGAGTGGACTTATACTGCTCCTCTGCCCTTTCCTGCTCCCCAGCTCCCTCCCTCTTTATTCAAAAACAAAGCGCACAGGACAGTGCGATGAATGAGGATGATGCTGTGTGACAAGACCGCCGGAGGTTTAGAACATGTGACGATTAGGTCACATTTTTTTTAAATGGTCGTGCTAAGCCACTAATAATTGAATTTGCACCAGTGAACAAACGAACGCGCGCGCGCACGCACGCACGCACGCACGCACAAAGGACAAGTCTGGAATTCACAATTATCCATAAAATAACAAGCCCCACCTGCAGAAGTGCAAAGAGGACGCAGGTGAACGATGACGTCTGCAGAGAAGTCAGTGAGTGAGTTAATGTATCAAGTGAACGCGCGGAGTCAACTTTCACAAGCCGAAGGAACCCGGAGCGCCGTGTTGTGTTTTGTGGAGCTGTCAAGGCATAATGGATATCTCTAACTTAAGCCTGCCTCTTTTTGATTGGCAGAGCTGATTGAATTCCACTTAGAGCCGCTGTCATTCTGTCCTCGTTTCAAACTCGCACATCTCCCTCAGCAGGGTAATCACACTTTCAAAACGGTTTGATGAAAGTCATTTGGTCAGATCATTCAGGATACGGCTGCATAAAGCAATCTATTAGCCCACACAGCTCAAAGCACTAACAACGCATGAATGTGCTTCACTGGAATGGGCCAAACCCAGCGTGAGTGTCAGACACTGTGAAAAACAGACTTAATAACAAAACAATGTCAATAAAACAGATAATAGTGATCCCGACTCTGCTTAACGACCTGTCCTGATATTTGACTAAAGCTCCAGCTCACAAAAAGGACGGCATAACTAAAGACCATCTGGGGAAGCCGTTGCCCGGCTAAATAGAGATTCACATGCTCTAACATGTACATGTAAACAAAGCACACGTAAGCTTTGATTACACACACACACACACACACCACCCTATATTTTTACTTACAAATAGTGGTTTGTGGCTGTATGTATGATGTGGATATCATATTGAGAAGCACCAAAGAAAAGAAGATCTTGTTCAAATATATATTACGGATAGTTAAAAAAGTTAAAAATAAAATAAAAGAGATAAAAGAGAAAGAAGAAGTTGAAATTGTTCCATAATACAATATGTAATACAAACCCCCCAAACAACATAAATAAACAGCTTGATAAGAGTTATCAAATGAATGCCACACATCAGTAGAAGCGTAATGACACTGGCTTAATAAAGCATTCAGTACGGCAGGGCTCCTCACCTGGAGATCTGAAGGTCCAGGCCTCGTCATCGTCAAAGTGCGTGTCCCCGGCCGCAAACTTCTCCCCGGGAAAGAAGGCGTGGGCCACCGTGCCCCCCGGCCCGTCGAAGGGATACCCGTCGTTGTGGTCGGCCTTGGTGAAGTCGATCTGGATGTCGGCGTCACTGCCGGCCACCTCGTGGAAGTTGAGCGGCGCGATGTCGCTCCAGACCTTCAGGGCGTAGTACATCAGGGCCCGGACGGTGTCCCTGCCCAGCAGGGCCGAATCCTTGGGGAAGGTCCTCACTCTGAGAGAGGAAAGCAGGGAGACAGGCATGTTACATAAGAGGAGAAGAGACAAGATGGCGTGAGGAAGAGAAGAGAGGGGAGAGGAGCTGGCTGATGAAGGAAGAGCATCGGAGACTTGACAGAGTAAAAGTGGAGACAAGAGGAGAGAGCTGGGCGAAGGTGGGAGGAAAGGGCGATGATAGACAAGGAACAAGAGGGGGAGGTAAAGAAGAAGCAAGGAGGAAAGAGGTACAATCCGTGCTAGAGGATAGAGCAATAGGACATTGACACATAAGAAATGTGATATGACGACATGGTTATAATATGGGGTTCATGTATGAAAGTTGTGGATGGGACACAACAGGAAAATGTATGGGAAAGAGAGCTGAGCGCAGGAGAAAGAAAGAAGAGGAAAAGTAGGTTCCAACAACAGATACTGGCAGGAAAATAAAGGAAATTCTAGAAAAGCCACTGGGACAATTTGCCACTGGGACAGAACTGCACAGAAACAAAAATGATGTTTGCATATAGTAATCCCATTGTTTTTTTTATATTTCATGGTTAGGTGCTCCCGCTGCGCACACATACTGATAATAAATAGTAAATGCAGTGTGAATTGGAATAGATTCTGGCTCGATTTCCCTTTACATTCCCTATTTAATTTTCCTCGTCTTATCCACCGAAACAGGACGAGAATTAAACAGAAAATCACCCACAACATTGTATACTCTTCCCTTTCTAAATCCCCACCCATTCCCCATTGTTTTCCATCCTGCCTCTCTTCGAGTGAGTCCTTGCCTCCACCTTTTTCTCCTGACAAAAGCACAAACACAAGAAGCAATTTGGCCACAGCAGGCCGCCCTAGGACATTTGATTAAAGCTCATGGTCGCTATAGTGTCGCTACATCTTATCGCTATCTTCCAAATTGTTTTGTGTTGTTGTCTTAATTAAAAAATCGAACAAGAGAGAGTCACAACATTGACATATTTCTATCAGCTAATGGTCATTTTTAGTACAGAAAATCTGTTTAACATTTAGTAGGTGTTGAAGGTTATTCTGGTTGCCCGTCGTGCTCGGGTGCACTTTTGAACAGCTTGATTACATCAACAATCTTCACCACTTTTTCCATGTGCCGTGTCTCGTATCAAATAAGGCAATACTATCCCTCAAAGCAAAAAGAAAAGAAAAAAGAACAAAAACATAAATATTGATTCACATATTGATTGTCATAGACAGACCTGAGAAATAGTTTAATACTACGGGGCAAGATGTCCCACACATATTGATTGAATTCCACAGGTATAAACAGAAAATATTTGTCTCTGAAAGGGTAAAACGATAACATAGTGACATGGACGACGAAAAGCCAACCTGTGGAGAACATCATTTTCCGGATGTAGCTGCACCAAAACTAAAATGGCCTTCCGTCAAATCACCAGGATGCAATTTGCATGGATGACGTTAGAATACGGCAAATGTAGGTGAAATGGTAAATACAGACATGTGCACTTGTGATTCTTTGGGATTTTAAATCACCTGACCCATGATGAAAGGAGTTAGAGAATCGGATAATTTAACCCTTCATGATTAAGGATTTTCTTTTGCTGAGGAAGTAATGAATGTATCTGAAAACCAGATACAGAGTATCAGCCTAAGAACTCTCAGACTCTGAGAGTTCTTAGGCTGGTACACCGATCACTGGGAATTACTCCACGTACTGGTCCTTACCCTGACAGCTCATCGCAGGGGTTTGAAAGTAGATGGTCGCACTCCAAAAGCAACCCACTAGCATACAAGCAGTAGTTCAAGTTGAGGCTGAATGGCTGAAATGTGAGTGCACGTCAATGTGCGTCAGACAGAAACACAGTGCATGCACGGCTAAACCTGTGTGAGCATTTTAAGATCATATTGTTGGTATTCTTTTCATTAATTATTAATTAATTTCACTATTTCACTCCCATATGTATCTCAGGAGAACATACTCCACATTTGCAGAGAAACAAAGGGCCGAATGAACACAACGGCGCAGGTTGGACGAAGATAATGAGCAACAAAAAGAGACCTGCCCTGATATGAGGCACAGTGAGTCAAAAAGCCACAGACTTGGTAGAAATATTTCGACACGGCTTCATCTTCCACCGTCGCAACTTTAGTCAGTATCACAGGTTGTTCCTTAAGTTTCGGATTCTCTCCAGGCTGCTACACTCCGAGGGATTAGTGATCACACAGACACATTTCCATCTCTGACAGGATGTGAGGTCTCCTTTTCCTTACCCGCAGAAAGAAATGTACCTCGGTACAAAAGCCCTTTACAAGTTTTACAGGCATGTTCGGTGGTACAAGTGTGTGTGTGAGTGTGTGAGAGAGAAAGTGTCAAAGACATTTTAAAAATGCTCAACGTATAGCAGTGAATGAGCCATTATCAAAAAGAGACATCATACCTTCCATGATAAATTATATTTGTAAACAAATACTATTTACTGTTTATTATAAAACTGGTAATTACATTCAAGGAGAATGAAATGTAATGTATTCTCTTTGTGAAACAAACACATGTCATGGTGTCTTATTATGTTCTTTACTGCCTTTTATTGTGGTCCAATTTGAGTGTTACGTTGTCAAATGTAAATCAAAAACATAACAAATAAAAATTGCAGAGAAAGGAACGGTATTTGCTTTTAAGCTCCAAGTGCTGGGGAAGCGTCTGCGTAGCCTCAGAGGTGAATCCCAGGGCAGACAACGGCCCGAGGACACTTCATGTTCGTTTGGATAATATCTGGGCAGTTAGAGGGGGGGGGGTTAGAAATATTCTATTGAGTCTTTGAACGTATCATAGGGTCGTCATGGATACCCTGTAGGGACACATCAGCAACGGAGGACTCATGCTGGACGCCACCGTTTCAAAAATACCACTTTCTGCAATATCAGTGAACGGCAACTGCATTGCAAAAGTGAACTGTGCTTGAGGTAAAAGTTGGGTTTGGCTAAAAAGCGGTGGCTACGGTTAGGGGAAGATTTTAGTTACAGTCTTGAAAAAGGAAACTTTAAAATGCATACGTGCCCATCTACAATCCCAACCGGAAATTGAATGGGACATTGGGTTAGGAAATTACAACCTTGCATTAATGTGTCTATGAAAGAAACAACACTGCACAATTGCCAAAGCTGGAGGCGCTTTCCACAGTCCACAGTTGAGAAATGATGGTCAGCAGGTTTTCGAATTTACCATGAACTCAACAGTGCAGTTTGCTCACTGGTCTTTTTTTTTTCAATTGCAAGGATTCCAAACAACTTTCCACCCCAAATAAACCAAATGTACTGCGTTAAAACATCTTCTCAGGTGACAAAGAGGGCGACAAACCTTCCAGCTTTTTGCACCAGCGAAAAAAACAAATTTCACTCAGTCATGTTTCAGGTCCCTCCTCCACTCTAATGCAAGGTATGTGATGTGGGATGTGGCCAACAGGCAAGAAAAAGGTCTGCAGCCCATTTTACTTCCTGCGCCACAGATTAGGAAAAAGTAATTTAACAGCCTTTGAAATTAGTTGGACGAACAGAAAGCTGATTACGATGGACTCCTCCGCTTTCCCAACCTATTGAGTTCCATGGCACGGTCCCCCCCCCCCCCGTCGGCGTCGTTTGGCGAATGTGGAGCCTCAAGTGTGGGGAAAGGTGCATGTGTGCATGATGCATGCATCAAGCTGATGTGCGGAGACACAAGCGTCTCCGACACACGAACCCACGACTTTCACCTGTTCGACTCCTAATTTCCACGTACTTCTTACAGGCCTTTTGCAGGCAGAGAGACGATTCAGATGAAGAGAGGCGGAAGTGAAAAGAAAGAGAGGGATGGACGGAGGGAGAGAGAGAAGCAGACGGAGAAAGCTCTCAACACTCGTTTGCTGTCTCCCCCACCCCGCCTTCAGCCTCTCTGCAGGCTCTTACCTCCTGTGGCTCCGCTGAACCCCGGAGACATGAGCTGACATCCAAAGTGATGCTAAAACGCACAACCTCGCATACACACACGCACACAGTAATATTCCTCTCTTGTGCTCCGCTACCCTCCGTAGACATAAGCTGATTAGTCTGGAAATTGAAAGCTCACATGCAGCCGTAGATTTATATGCTGATGTACGTTTGCAGATGCACACACGTATAGGGACACAAACACACTCACAAAACAGGAAAATGTTTTGCTGACAGAGACACAGACTCATGCTGTGTGTTACCACTAGAAACACACACAAGTTGTGACATTCAGGATGAAGATGAAAGACATTAAATTAAAAGGCTCTGCATGAATCTTCCCTCTCTCAAATCTTCTTATCCCCCCTTCTCTGTCCGTCCCGACAGTCAAAGTCACCAATTCGGAGACGGCAATGTGAAAATATAATAAGCTGATAATAAGATAACACTCAACAATAGTTATAGTTATTCTTAAGGGTTCGACCAAGCAATTTCACAGGTTGGTGGCCTCAAATGGCAGCAGGGAGATAAATGTTTACGAGTCCAAGCCCTAAAAATATGAGCCAAGTCAATAAACTGTTCTGGATGGCAGAACCGCTTTGGATTTCTGATTGGCCAATAATAGATGTATCTCATTTAGGGGGGAATCCCAAGGTACGAGCTTCCCTAACTAAGAAGATTTCCTCTTTATTACTCAAGATTGTTCATTAGAAAATAGTCCACCAGTGACGTGCGTATCTCTTCTTGCTCCGACTGCAGATAAACGAGGAAGTTTCCTTAGGGAATGTAATCATTGGGAGTATTGTAAAATATTTGAGAAGATTAACAACAGCAAAGTTTCCTGTACAAATCCTGCAGCTACTTCCTCCGTTTTGCAAAAACTAATTCAAAATATGTGTGTACCACAAGCTTTCCAGCAGCGGAATTAACAGATGATTGCTTGACATCTTAGGAGTGCATCTGTGCGAGAACAAAATATTGCTTTTATGATCAAATAAGAAAGATGTGTCAAAATGTCTTCCAGAAATAAATCATTTGGGTTTGGTTGTTATCACGATGCCACATCCCAAATCCATCAAAACGGCCTCATTGTTTCATTCAGTCACAAACACAGTAGTTATATAGATTCCTCATGAATGTTAGCCAGCTCATGGAGGTATTTTCGGGCAAAGTCACACCACCACTTTGGACTACATTGAAAAATCTAAAATATCTTTGCACAGACATTCATGGGTCCCAGATGAAGGGATGATATTTTGTCCATCCATCCATCCATCCATCCATCCATCGTCAAACCGCTTATCCTGCACACAGGGTCGCGGGGGAGTCCATCCCAGCCAACTTCGGGTGATAGACGGGGTACACCTTGGATTGGTCACCAGCCAATCGCAGGGCCACACAGAGACACACAACCATTCACACTCACATTCACACACCTGCGGGCAATTTAAAGTCCCCAATTAACCTGATCCCCAGAGCATGTCTTTGGACTGTGGGAGAAAGCCGGAGAACCCGGAGAGAACCCACGCAGACACGGGGAGAACATGCAGACTCCACACAGAAAGGCCACTGGGCGGAGTCGAACCCAGGACCTTCTTGCTGTGAGTGCTAACCACCACCCCCCCGTGCCGCCCCTGATATTTTTGTGTGATCTGTCAAAATTGGACTGGAATTCTTTACATTATGACCAAAACGCGTCTGTGTGTGTGCGTATGAGTGTGCGAGCACCTGTCTGTGTGTGCGCGCATGGCTATAATTAGGTGGGTTTTTTTTGTTTGTTTTTTACGGACCTACACAGGTTTCAGAGCTCCATGCGAGCCTCACAGGACAATGGCCTTGAGCTGTAGGGCGCCATGATAAACCTAAACGCCACACTGCGTTGAGACAATGGTCCCACTGGGGATTTACGCCCAGGATGGATATTTCTTGCAATTAAGTGTGTGTTCATGTGCCTACATCGCTCATTCCCTGTGCTCACCTCATTGACTTCATTAGAGAGATGGCATGTCCGAAGAGATGGATGAGACTCGTTGATACTTTTTTAATCCATCCAGCATTAAGTCAGGTGGTTTCACAGCAACGAACCAGATGCAGAAAGGAAATATGCAATCTTCTCCTCCGTGTTTCCTGCTTGTTTTCGGTCTTTCCTCTGTGTTATCCGTGTCTCAATCTCCTCTCTAAGCGTGCTACACACCTTTGCGTTTGACTTATCAGTTGGGCTGCTAATGACTGCCAGGCTGTCTGCTGTGATAATGGGAAAAAAACACGAGATAATGGGCTAACAGTGGACTCCTACACACCCGAGCTGCAAAATGCTTAGCTGATTGCGGCGTGCTGTATGGAGGTGTGTGTAAGAGGAAGACAAAACGAGGTAAGCGGTTCAATCGGGGATTAAGGGCTCAGCTACGGCATAAAGACTTGCAGGCATCATCACAAAAATAATTTACTCACATTTCTTTTGCGGGGGAAAAAAAACATTACTTGAATCGCAGTCCATAAAATCAATGGCTACTTGGCCTAATCCATTATCTTTTTTTTTTCTTCTCCACTCTGTGAAACAACTGACACTCACCTCCTACTCATCCCATTTTCCACACAGTGATGTGATTGATGTGTGTGAAGAAGAAGAGGGGAGTATGAAGAGCCAGACAGACATTTACAATTCGTTAATTCGCGATGAGCTAATTCAGGCATTGGAAAAGTTAAAAGAACAAACTGAAAGTCGAGGTCTCTGTCACTACGCGAAGCATTTGGATGCCTGAGTAGAGCTATGGAGCAGTAAAATGCTCACACCACATAATTTCACTTTGCATCATCTTGCACAGCTACAGTATATATTTATTTTTTAATCAGAGGGCGCAAGCATAATTACTTTGTTGTTTCTCCACATTTCATCCAGATCACCGTGGCATGAGCAGAGAAGTCTTGCAATAATTGCAATATTAATGTGAAAAAACAACCACTAATTGATAATATTGTTATACAGACATTTGCCGTATGATTACTCTAATTAATGTAGAGCTTTGTACATCATTCATTAATCATACACTCTTTTTGAAATACACTGTTATAAAACTCCAATAACTTAAATATTAATAGAATCATTTGCAATCTGGGACATGTAAACTTGAATAAAAAGTGGTGTCGAATCCAATTATATTGGATAATTACCTTGTATTTTGTGTCAGCTTCTCCACAGCAATTTATCCCTGGCTTTGCCTTGTCCCCCTGCTGCTATTCCACCAAGCTGTCAGAGCTACCGCGCTGTCACTAACCTCCCTCCCTGAATGGATATCATTTCATTTTTGAGAAAAGTATTATTCAACTTATGAGAAAAGAAGACAGACATGGAGGATGTGAAACAGATTCGGCTGCAAAAACGAGAAAGCTCAAAATCCACAGAACCAGCCGTGTTCGGAGTGTTGGCCACTGTCATGCTATAATAGGAACGATTTAGTGCGGTTAACGGTATTAATTTATCACCATGTTACCCTCCAATTGTTCCCATATACTTTGCCTTCATCACTGAACAACAACGAAATTACTAAAAATGACAAATTGATGCAATATTTATGTTGCAGCAATAAAAATAGTCATACTTTTGCTTTAATCCGACTGATGTGGCAGATAAAAATATTAATATTTAATACGGCTGTCAGATTGCATCAGACTCATTAGCTGTTTAGAGCATTATCTCAATTATGTCAGCCCTGTTCAGCCATATAATCTAATAAAGCAAAGACACCATGAAATATTGGATGATAAAAATAATTTTCCCAACCCAGCAGTGAGGAAATCACAATGCAAAGTGCCACGGTGTCCGTTGAAAAAGACAGAAGGCAAAAGCGGAGCAGAGAATCACAGAGGTGGATAATCCATGCAGAATATCAATGCTTTGTTGTGGCTCTGGATCATCCACAACTCCTCCAGCACACATCTGAGTGCTCTGAATACAAAAGGTTCTTCACTGGACTGAAGGACTAAAGACGGCTGGACAGCTGACAGGAGCACGTTTTATGGTTGGCAGCAGAGAAAAAAAAAATGAGGAGAAAGGAAGTTAAACCCCACCAGGAGTGGGGCGAACGAATACAGCCTTCTGTGCATGTGCATGTGGACTGAATGTGTGTTGGCTCCCCTGATGTCTGGAATGATGCGCGCACACACAAACCAGTTTATAGCGGTTTATTGTAGAATCGGCCCCTGAAAGCTTGTGCGAATCCCCACGGACCAACCGCATTTCACTGCCCCCCCGGCTGTCCAACACTATAGGCTGCGGCTTCTCAGGTGGTCACAAATCCACATTATTCTATCGTGGGTCACCCACAACACAAACCTCTCCTGGTAGCACAGCTTCTGCTCTTTGGGGATCGCACACACTTGACTTTCTTCTTTCACCACATGTAGTTTTAAACTGTATTTGTATGGTGTATATTTTGGCAAACAGCGGCTGTCATGAAGCTTGGATTTGAACGTTGATATATAGAGTCGGATTGTGTGCTTTGAGATGTTTCTAAGGATTATACTGTTTGGTGTTTTTTTTTTTTTCCAGAGTGACTGGGTCACCTTGTAAATTCAATATAATTAAGATGGAATTGCAGTGGATCCAGTTGATGTATTCAAGGTATTCATGACTTTTCAATCACTTCATCTTTTAAATTGAATGGTATCTGAGTCTTTTACAGAAGAGGCACACGTGTTTGTTTCCTATTAAAAGGTATCTCTAATCAGTTAATTAGCCAATTTTACAAAGTGCCTTTCCTTTGAGCCAGAATTGATTTGGAGGGCAAAATATTTCCCGGATTGAGGACGAGTTCTCTAATCAACAAGATGGCACGAGGCTCAGATAAACGGATCTGATATGCAATAAACAAAATGATGCTGAAACTCACAACACAATCTTTAAAGGTACATCAACCTGGAGTCTACTAGACCTAATATATCATTGTTCCTACCTCCAGGACAGATGTCTCTTGTTCCATTTGTTCTGAGGCGTCGGGCTCCGTTTCTTGCGGCCCGCTGTGTCCTCGGCCTCAGACACATCTGGCAAGGAACATCTGGGTGTTGTCATTAGGCCCAGAGTGGCTTGGTCTAAAGAGGATAGAGAGCTATAGTCAGTGTCGTTCTTGATTGGATTAGAGTATGTCGTTTATTCTCATAACCTTCCCCCAAGTAGACGACCACGTACCTAAGACTCCCGTCTCCGTCAGCCCTCCGTACTTCTGCATGGCTTTGATGGCCTTGGTCAGGGCCTCCTTGGTCTGAAGCTGACCGGTTGCCGGGTCAGGGGGCGGGAGGTAGCCGAACTTACTCAGCCAGTCCTGAAGGGTGGTGGGGTGTGGGGGGGGGCGGCAGAGAGAGAGAGAGAGTTCAAGGGTCATCACGAGCATTTCAACGACTCAGTTTCCCCGAGCTGCTGAGAGCTCAATATGTGCACACATGTTATGTGCTTGCGTGTTGAGCTTTGGCAAATAAGCAATTTAGAGTTGGTGTGTTTAAAATCACAATGATTCACACCAGATGCCATGTGGCATCCCTATGGTAAATTACAGTGTTGATTCACAGGGCCTGTGTGTATAGCGATCCGTCGACAGTAACGACAGGCAAAGGAACAAGAGGGGTGACATGCAATATGTTGCAAATGCTCTCCAGATAAAATTGAATGTACAAATGCAGGCGTATACGGTCATATTTGTAATTAATTGTGGGCGGTGCAAAGCGGGCTCAAGCGCGCAGGCTTCTTTGCTATTGGTTGACGCTCTGATTTGCCAGTCGGGAGTTCGCTTACGTTTATTAACCCAACGCGACGAGATGCTGCAACCCCCAATACTGCAACTCCATTTCCACTCCACTCCACTCCAATGAAGTTGCTGCTATTGGAAGCTGCCCAGTCGTGTAACTTGAATGTTGCCCTTCTCTCTCTGGCCTTTTCTCCCCTGAGATCAAACCGGGTATTCTTTCTATCTATTCTATCTTCCCCTTCGTGCGTCTCCACCAGACTAAACACGCTGCCTCCTCATGATCTGGCGGTGAATAAGTTGGTGACACAGAGCAAAAGCAAGGCATCCTTTCTGTATTGACAAGGCCAGTGAAATCCCATTAACTGAATGATTTAGCGCCGGCATGGCTCTGTGTTGTCTGGTATTTGCCTATTTTATCCTTGGCTTGTTTAATGTGCTTCTCTGCTCTTGGTTCTGATTAATAGGCAAGCTGCAGAGTTCTGAATGAACTGAAGCGTTGTTTTTCAGGGGGAGGGCAGTAAAAAGTGCATTACGGTAATCGAGCAGGAACTAAATAAAGACATGAATCAGTTTTTTTTAGCAAATTGTTGCTCTTTAACTATGTTTGAAATGTATGTAATTTTTCACATTTTTATTGCAGCTTCGATCCTAATGTAGGAAAACACATAAACATGTAGCATAGGATGTAATGTTACAATATTTTACTAGATTATTAAACAGCATTTTGAGGATTTCAATTTTTACCTTGTTAAACTTGAAATATTGCTCACCCATTTGTGTATCGCAAAAACAAAAGGTAGTTTATAGCTGCAGCATAATGTGGATCAGCAAAAACGTACAGTTGTGAGTCTTCCGCATAACTATGAAAACATCCTCGGCTCTCTAATGATGTCCCCAAATGGCTGCAGATATACAGAGATTAATAATGGCCCAAGGCAGCTCCCTTATGAAATCCCCAAACAAACGTAATGTAAGATTTTGAAACAGTTTAACAGTCTGAAAAGTCTGAAAGCTCAACCAACTTTTGAGGAGAATCAATGAAGATATAGTCCACAGTGAGAAATGACACCTGTCTGTCAGCGTGTCAGTGACGTTCTGTGGTTCCTTTGGACAGGGGGTTTGGGGGCTGGGGCCTGATATAATGATAGGGGACACACTGCTATTATTAGACAATTGATTAATTTAAATAATTACGTGGTTGAATTAAACCAATGTATCAAAGCATATGCCTGACTGCGTTGGATGCAGCCATGTCGCGTCTCACCGCTTGTCTTGGGGAGATAAAGGCAAACAGTTCCAAAACCGAAGCCCTTCTTGTTGGCACTCCACACCAGGTACAGTCGTCCTCCATTACCCATCTCACCTTTGACAGTCAGGTCATACCCCTCTCCTCCACAGTTACCAATATGGCAGTTGTCTGTTTGACCTTCACCTGACCTTTAATGATATCTGTGCAAAACCTCCTTCTATCGTCTCAAAAGCATCTCCAAACTCCGCCCCACTTTGACCCTGTCAGACGCAGAGAAGCTTGTCCATGCCTTTGTCTCCTCAAGACTGGACTACTGGAATTCACTTTTAACTGGAATCACTGGCAAGAATATCCTGAAACTACAATACATCCAAAACAGCGCCGCCAGGCTCTGCACCAAGAGGCGTCCGGGCCTTTTGCTCTGCAGCGCCACGCAAGTGGAACAGTCGCCCTGACCACCTGAGGGCAGCACGGTCACTGGACTCTATTAAAAGTGGCCTAAAAACCTACTTGTTTTTTTCGCTCTTGCGTTCCCCCCCCCCCATGTTTTTACTGGTTTTTACTTTATTTTAACTATGTTTTCCCATCTGCGTCTCACTCTGAGATCTGTTTATGAAGAGTGCCTTACAAGTAATAATTTATTGTTATTATTATTATACTGTGTGAATGAGCACGTTTCCATACACACCCTGAGAGGTTTATGTTATTCTCTGTAAGCAAGGTGTGCCAGTGATGGATTGCATCTGCCGTGTCTACACAACCGCAAGGCCCCGTTGTCACACTCATAAACTCAACAGAGGAAACTTTTTTTTGTGGAGCCAGCAACTCATTTAAAGCCTGACATTGAAGCTCATTGGGGAGAGAGCAGTAAAGGCTGCCAACGAATTCAGTGACATGCTGAACACTTATTATATAAATTAATGACATTATATATGTCACTGTGTTTAGTTGAGACTGTGTACTTATAACAGAATATCGTACGTCACATGACTTGTGTCCAAAAGGAACAAAAAAAATATTCCTGCTTTAGGAAAAGTTACGACAAGACAAGACAGGACGGAAAGTGACAGCTCAAGAAGACAATTAAGATTGTAAGGAGACAAAAGGATTTACAAGCATTTCAAATTTAATGAACTGAAAAACAGAATGTTTTTGCTTTTTGTCTTCGGGTCCTAAGAAAGACTGATGCGGTTGGGAGAAAAACCCAGAAACTGGTCGGTACAACAAATTAATCCTCTGCAAGTCACTGATTAAGTGATTAATAAGCGCTTAGACGGCTGATCCCTTCTTTGTTGTTTTGGCTCATTAAGATACACTAAGTACAAAACACCAACACCTCTACATAGAATCTATAAATGCACAAAAATGATGTGCATCACTATACTGCATCCTGAATAAGAAACATTTCTTAAGCCTCTGATGCTGCAGGGGTAACTTGTTTGACTCAACTATTGCTGCAGTGTTGTGATTGCCGTGTTGTGTTTTGCATAAAATAAAGAGTGTGGACTTTTACTTTCTTGTGCCAGAGTTACAAGGCAGAACTGAAAGAACATTTTGAATAGCACGGTGTAAAGTTCAAATCCTGCTTCAAGCTGCATAAAAAAACAAGGTAATCTCAAGAAAACAACTGGAGAGAAAGCGGTCCTTCAACTTTGATTTTCTCCTTTTTTGTTTTGATCAAACTTCTATTACGACAAGATTCTCGGCTGGTTGTCGTTTCACTTTCGCTCAGGAGAAAATAATCAGTTGACACATCAAACCTTACTGTTGGCAAAAGTTAACAGAAGAGAAAAATTGAGCCGTGTCTTTAATTTGCACTTCAAATCGGTGTCTTTACGTTCACATATATCAACATATTTTAACATATTCAATAATGGAGCCTCGGATTACAGGATGGGGAAAATACCACTGTTTTAAAACCTTGATTTGGAAGTGATGGAGAGCTCAGTTAAGTAGTAGAATTTGTGTATATTCAGCAATCTCAGAGACGCATCAAATGCAACAATCTCAAACGAGATAGAAAGTTATTCAACATCCATTTCCAAAGAACAATATATACAGAAATGCGTTCATTTAAAAAATCCTTGTGACAGATGTTTTGATATATAAACCAATGAATACTGTGTTTTCTGGCTCAGCTGCAGTCCAGCAGCCCAGAAGCTGCTATTCAATGACTTCGGGGGGGCAAATTCTTTCCGACGTGGGGCCTTGACCCGGCGTCCCAACTCAGGCACACAGGGTACTCACCACTTAGCCTTTCCTCGTGACAACATGACCTACACAGCACTGGTGAATTAATATTCAGTTTTGATTGGTGTGGTGGAGGGATAACAAAGGCAGAAATGTTAGTGTAAAATGAAGTAGGGCTGCTTAGAGGAAGTGCACGTGCTGCCTTGTCTGAAGATGGAGAAAATAATTTGTTGTATCGAATTTTAAAAGGTGGGTTCACCCGAAATTGTTCTAATATCTACTCATAAATGGAAATACACTTAATATGTTGAATCAACTGCAATTTGCAAGCGGACTAAAATGTAATGAACGTTGAACCCAAAACTTAAGTAGCTCACTGTTGCAGTTGATTTTTTTCCTTCAAAAATACACAACAACAACATGTTTCCAGGGTAAGACATCAATCCTCTGTGTGAAACTAAAGTGCCGTCTTCTCTAATTTGAAGCCTAAGTCTGGTGTTAAAGAAGACGCTTGACATTTTGCAAATTAGGATTATTTGTTTTCTTGCAGAGACCTGGCTGACTTAGCATAAAGAGCAGAAACACAGGGACCGTTCACTCATTTCTCATGTTAAGACCATGCAAATCTCTTTTTTATCAGTTATCAGCAACTTGGCCCCACATGAACGTTCAATCGTATACTTATGTTGGAACAATTTTGATTACTTTATTTTGCATTTTGCAATTTTGCAATTTTGATTACAATTTTGCATTTTTTTATTTTTTATTTATTGTCAATCAAATCACGACATCCCTCACTCCAATCTCAGAAACGCTGGCCGGCCGGTTGAACCCCCCCCCACTCAAAAAAGACAACTTTGCATTTACACGTTTTCACGTTGACGACATAGTTTGATTTCAAAACGGCGAATTTCGAAAAAGCAACATTGAAAAATCCAAAGTCTCCTTCCCAGCGCCATCCTTTTCTTTTCCACAAATGAGTCTTCCACCAACTGTTATACAGTCATGTTTGAGAACAATGTCATTAGCAGAGTCCCTCAAGTGCTCTGCAAAACGACGTCTTTCCGCTTCCCATTTGAATAATGCCGGCTGTGCTGAATTGCATCAATCTGAGCAACACTTTTCATCACTGTCAGTCAGC